AGTGCTTCGCCACGTAACCCTAGGTCTCTTGGATTAGTTTTCGTCGTCTTCGGGCTACAGACGCAGGTTCATGCGGCAGCGTTAGGTGGATTGCTAGCATTTCCCTGTGCTCGTCGTCAACTTCGAGTACCGTGACTGCGAACCTCAGTCTGGTTTCGATTTGCGATATACCAAACATAGCGGCTTCACGCCGTTGCACGTCATTGGAGACGGTTTTCTGGTTGTTTCGCGGATTCCACTACATCGCCCGCGTCGGCAACCGCACCTCTCTGCACTATATCGGACCGAGCGGGCGCTAGCAGATGATATCCACGTCGCCAGCTCAAATCATCATTGACGCGATGATAATAATGGCCGACGCAGACCTTCCGCGACCGCTGCAGTGGATGCCGACCTCTCGCGTCAGTTGTCTGCCTCAACCGGCCTTAGTGTTTCTCAGCAAATACCACAATTCGTTTACCTTGATGTCTCCCATTGGCTCGGAAGTCACTTCACGCCGACATCGGTCGCCTAAAATGTTGTACTTCGTTTTAGGTGTCTTATTCCACTAATTACTCTTCGCATTCGCCTTCTTTGCGCCTGCGTTGTTTCCGTACCACCGCTTCACCTTGTATTGGACCCATACCAAAACGTGATCAATTGCTTCGTTGTGCGTTTTACTTAAGTGGCGATGCTCCATTCGTTTTTATCAGGTGTAGCACGCCGCATGCTCATCTGCTAAAATTGGTGATTCGATCTTCTTAAGACAAAGTGAAATGTCGACACGTAGATAAATGGATCCACGACGTAAATGGAGACAATTTGTACTTAGAAGTAAAAGCGATAAAATATAAACTAACTTTTATTTGATCTGTTATAATGACCTGCTACACGCTTCCCCACGTGTACGTGTAAGCCAGGCAACGTCGCACATCTCTTGTTACACATCACCGTATTCCGCGGAGCTGCCCATGGCCTTGGTTGATATCCGTACGATGCAACATTCATCTCCTAGTTGCACTTCTACGAAGTCAGAATTTTCTTATTCTTTGTTGGTATCTGACACCTTTTTTGAATTGCGGCTTGTTACGAGACCATAGAAAATTCCATCGAAAGGGTCATTGCCTACGTCTTTTTTAGTGGAGGGAGTACTATTTGCTGCGCCGTGTGTACAGGGCATTTTTAGCGCGTCAATCATTCCAGTGTAGGTCATAATTACTGTACGCGAGTGAAGCCCCTACTTGATATGATTGTGCCTCTCACAGCAGACGATTATTATTGTATATTACACTAGTTGTGGTATGATTGACTACTGTTAAAGCCACAACCCGGCTATTTGCCGCTTTTATACCCCCGTCACCCACCGGAGAGATCTTAGTTAAGTGCTATCTTGCTCTAGTAAAGATATTATTTCACGAATTATTGCTATCAAACTAATTCCCACGACTACTAGTGAGTCAGAGATGCAGCATATGTGGTTCCTTGTTCTAATGCAGTAGAGGGTAAGCATTTCGTGGAGGTGTTTGATGATCTTGCTAAGGATGAATCATTACAATTGTTTCGGAATATTTCGGGCTCGTTAGACTCGTCTTCTTCAGGTCTTCGATTTGGTACTGCTATAGAGCAGTCCTTTGATAGACCGCATTCTCGCTACCAAAACATATCGGAAAAAACCACAATAGTAGCTTCGACGAGGACTTGTAGCAATAAGAGAGAAGAATGGAGTATGCATATCCAATGATTATAAAACACTTCGCAAATATATCAAAAATGTCATGAATCTTAGCCCAAGGCGCCCAGTTCGACAATTTTCATTTAGGAATGCGTTGCACGTGCACGACTTTCGATACGAAATCAAATCTTCAATTAATTAAGAAGATAGAGTTCAATATTGCTAATCGACATTGCACAGTTTGCGAAGTAATCTTCTTGCTACGAAGTTATCCTAGGCTGCTTCCCTGACATATTTACGAATATCGTATATTTCGATCAAATTTTGCGGACCACAGCGATCCACGTACATGCGTCCAACTATTTCATACTGGTCTTAACTTTCGATTTGCGATGTATCGGTGGCATACAGACAAGTAACCTGTTCTTATGGTTGCGCTGCCCGCATAATTAACCGCAATTATGTGCAGTTAAATCACAATTAATACATGCAGGTAAAGCGCTACTTCTGGATTGCATCTTTACGCGGGGTACTATCAAAGAAAGTCTTACTCAATTCCAGCATAAGAAGAAAAACCTCAACTTTTGACTAATTGTTTACAATGAGAAAGCGGCATCACAAGCAGCATCGAGCTGAGACTTGACCCAGATACAAGTGCTGGACAATAAGATCGATCTCGATGACACCTGAGGTCGCAAGATTGGTCTGAAGGCTCAAGATCTGGAAAGGATAGGAAGAATTAGGTGCGATCAAGTGAGAAAAGCGTACACAAGTCAACCTAATCGAATAACAAGAATCTTTTTTATGGCGACCCAGGTCTCAAGTCCGATAGTCGAATTCAAGGTCGCGAGACGGCTCAAGTGTTTATACGATCGTTTCCGGTGAATACAATACAAGGCCAAGTGGAATCAAGTATACACGGAAGTCAATTGATCGATTAAAAAGTAGATTGTTTATACTTACTTGATGTGTGAATCGTTTTGCACAGCGATCGACCAATCCAGTCCCTAAGCCCAAGCGAGACTAGCATATTACAATGCCGAGACGAAAAGCACAATCTAGCTTAAATGACCAGTACACCAGGTTAGCACAAAATTGAACAAGAGCACACACTGGAATACCCCCTCCGTAAGTCGTCAAGTATGGGCAACATACAAGGTCGCCGTCATATAAAGCAATTTGTGATGACGGCTCCTTCACATTGCGGCAGTAAATGATTCCAATGTTTTTACTTTAGACAACGATGTTGGAGGCCAATTTCATTTTGCTTTTACGGACAAGCTTCAGGTCATGTTTTAATTCATTGCGACAATGATCGAAGCGACAATGATCGAAGCGACTATGATGTATATTCTCCAGAAGCAATTTTGCGATTAGCGTCCATAGTTCATGACCTTCTTTTCGACCTCAAGACTTAGCAGGATGCTACTAGCCTCGCACCCTGTGAGACACCGTATGATAGGATATACACAGTGAATGTGAAGAAAGATTGTGATGAAGGCACGGATTCGAAGAGGGGACGATCAGGTGAAACACTTACGTCATTTAATGGTAGACAGAACGCAAGAAAGTGTCCACATTGAACGTTGATTCTGCACCCTGTCATTGCTGTAGTCAATAAAACTGACTGAGCCAGTATTCTCCTTGCTAGATCATTTCTTAACTATGTGTAACTGCAAATAGTCAGCAAACGAGGTTGGCAATCATCACCAGCAATCATTTCACCATATTCCAAACCATCTATTTCCATAATCCGGTTTTGAACAAATAGCCCCATTTTGAACGTATACAATATGCATTTTATGGTATAATTGTGACAATCAGCCCACAAACAGCAGCAGTCATTGTTTTTGGTACAAACATTACCCATTTGTCAAGAGTATGTACAACCCGCTGGATTAACAGTGTCCTTATACGGTGAGTAGAGTGAAATCACATGTGTCAGAACTACACGGGATCACGCAAGAAGTAATGAAGATGGAAGATCAGCGGGCGCTCAACCTTTGTGTTGATGAGAGGGTTACTGCTTCGAGTGGAGGACAAATTCGCCACATGCAGCTGTTGTGAGACGTAGAAATGAGAAGGCCTCCATGTGGACTGTCAAGATTGATTCATCTGGTTGAAAGTATACAGCTAATTCAAATTTGTAGGGTTTTATAAGAAGAATTACAAATTCGTTTATTACCTCGTTTACACTTAGAGCGACTTTCGTCCCTGTTTTACATGTCTACCTTACGGTCAAGCGAGCTTATATCGTCAAACTCTACAATCGATTATATTAACCCAATTTGGGCTTACCTTTGTACCCCCTTTGTGTGCCGCATATTCTGCAAGAAGCAGGTGATAGACAGCACATACGCAACAGCTGTTGAGGCATCTATTCGACATGGTGTAGATCGTTGTATAGCTGACATTGAAGTGCATGTGAACCTCGATCAATACAAAGAAGTGATGAATGATGCTGAAAGAGCCGGGACAATCCAACGACAGCATCTAAGCATATTCGAAATGCTTGCCTGGGACTTGGCTGCTCGTATATGTTAGTCGCGGCAATGCGTAGTGGCATTTCGCATGTGATGCGGAGAATCGATCGAAGCGGGAAGAGTGACCGCGATCTGATGAGCTGTGGAGTACAACAAGAAGGAGACAAGCGGGGGAATGGGCTTTCACCTGATGATGTCAAGTGAAGCAAGGGATAGAAAAAGGTAGTTATAGCAGTGTCGGTACCAAATGTGCAGTCAAAAAAAGAGCGTAGAAGCATGGGGGCGCCAACGTCCAACACGTAGCCGATAGCGTGTGTTTTTAGCATACACACATGCCGCTGATACCCTTCTTACAACAAAACGCTCCATGAGTGGCGGTGATTCTTCAGTGTACCGCTTTGCCACACTTGCGTATGAACGGAGGAGGTTGCGAGACCAGCCTCGATGGAATGAAAGATATACTACATAAGCTCATTATCAAACGTGTTCTGTAGACGGAAAGCCAGCGGAATCTGGACAATAGGGCACGCATTACAATTGTACGGCGCTTCTCCGTGACAAAGCTGGCACACCAACTGGACTGAGTGTTTCCGCGTCGCCGTCGTATCTGATTTACAACAATATGCAGGCATGTCAATTGCCACTACTACGAGATGTCAAGACCCCTCAAGGTGTCATATCCCCTCCTCGTGAGAATAATGACCCGCGAAGAGTGCTATACAGCCAGACACTCATCCTTGACGTCCATTATACCCAGTGGCTGTCCACACAAAAGCACTCTGTAACTCTCTTCCCGATCCATTTATCATAACTTCCACTATTGTAACACTCTCACTACCCATCCGATTCGTAACATTGTGCCAGCTATGCTGAGGCTTTTACTGCTGCCAGTGCTCTTGGCACCACCAACGACAGCGTCGTCTGTCGGCCACATTCTGCACTTCTCGGACGTCCACTTGAACCTCTCCGACTCGTCCTCCGCGTCGGAAAAAGAGGACGGGCACGTTCGCTATTTCGCGGACGCGCCGTTGACGCTCTTTGAGTCTGCGCTTCGTTATGCCAAAGAACAGGTCGTGGCCGACCCGGAGCTCCTCCTGTACACGGGAGACCACGCTGTGCACGGGTCACTTGCAGATCGATACATTGCCAACGTCGTCGAGACGAACGTGCGTGCGATGGAGAGGTATTACCCGTCAAAGCGTGGGGCGCTGGACGTTACGGCCGTCATTGGCAATGCAGACGGGAGTACGTGCACCGACGGACTGAGTATTTTTTTGTGCTCTAGAGCATTTTCGTAGCTCTTGTTGATTGTACTGAACGTGTTGCTGTTTATTGTTGCAGGCCCGGACTACCACATGGAAGTGACGGACCCGAAGACAGAGACGAACCCGTCCATTGAGCTCATTTCACATGCTTGGGACGACTTGCTCTCGGCTGGCAATATGGACTCACTGAACCGACGGGGGTACCTGAGCTACGCACTGAGCGACAGGCTCCATGTAATCACGCTGAATACTGTGCCATACTCAGTAAGTGCTATTGAACAGCTGAAGGTGAAGCCCATGCACTGACTAATGTTTTTCCTGTGTGCTGACACGTAGCCAAATCATGTGCCGGACACATCGAACCAGCCGGACCCGTTCGGGCAGTTTGCGTGGCTGGACAAGACGCTTGCAGAACTTCGAGGTGCCGGCAAGTCTGCGTACATTGCTGGCCACATTGCCCCAATCGTAGACTCATACGGAGGCGATCCACAATGGCACACGCACTACATTGTCAAGTACAAGAGTATCGTTGGCAAGTACGCCGATGTGATCAAAGCACAGTTCTTTGGCCACGTCCACAGTATCGAGTTCCGTGCGCCTGTGATGTCGCTCGACGGGGCTGGCGCTGAGAACGATGCTTTCCAGCTGCTACCGCTGTATATTTCGGGCTCAATCTCGCCACTTTTTGGCAACAACCCGTCGTTCATGGTATGGGAATACGATACCGATACGCACGAGGTGTGTGACTATGCCGTGTATGGATCAGACATCAGCGACAGCCAACCTCAGCTCAACTGGAAGCTGCTGTTTAAGGCAAGCGACGCGTACGGGCTGAAATCACTATCGTTGACAGAGATTTCGGCCTTTGTGCGACGTGCGGAACAAAACGCGAGCTTGGTGGAGGACTACTACTGGAACATGAAGGCGCGTTCACCTAACGCTGGAGCTTGCAAGGACGCCGTCTGTCGTGCGAAGACATTGTGCTCGCTCAAGTGGTGGACTACGAGGGGTGAGTACTTGGCCTGCTTGGACACTGTCCGAGCGACGAAGGCTGGTCACGTACTTCACCACGACGGTACGGAAGCATCAGTCTCGGCTGCTATCATCGCGGAAGCTTCGTTGCGCGACTACGGGACGAAAGACGTGCTGATGACGATCAGCGCGACAGCAGTAGCAACCGTCGTCGCAGTAGTCTGCGTTACGTTGACCGTCTATGCGCTGAGACGTCGTGGGATCCTCAAATACCCGATGGCATACGAGCCCGTGACCACGTTCTAGACACTGAGCTCTACGGCCTTTTCTTCAGCTTTCGACCATTCTTTCAACCAGAAACGAACAAGCAGAAACATAACGAGCAAACGTTGTCCACTCATCATCACTCGACATACACTCGATCGATCGCGCAGCCAGCGTCTCATTTTCTCTCATCCACGCGCGCTCTTCACCACAACTACAAGAGCTTGAGGTGTCCCGAGATCTCGTCAATAGCTTTCAGCGGTGCGGGGCCAATGCTAAGCACAGTCTTGCTCTCTGGCGCAATCTGCGTCCGACCAGCGTCAACCTGCCACATACACATGGACATCAAGACACCCTTAGCACGGCACCAACTCTCTGTGACTCCCTCTCTCGCTTGCTGCTCCGTTGCCAACCCATACCACAACGTAATTGACCAGTCCGTGTTCAGCTGCCTTGTCCGCCAGAGCGAGCATTTCTTCCTCCGAGTCCACCTTGAGGCAGACCTTGGCTTGGCCCAGCCTTTCCCACGCAGACACAGCGTCGGGCGTCCGTTTCAGCGCGCGCTTGTACGCGCCCAACGTCGCGTGGCAGCACTGGGCAGCCATTTTGCCTGCGCAGATGCATTGTCAGCTCGGTACTCGACGCACGACGGACTGACTGCTCCTCTCAGCAAAAAAAGGCAACGAACCTTTGCCCATTTTCAGGTCCGTGCGCACGCACATGACCATCTTGTGGGGGACATAGTGCACCAGCTCTTCGACTTCCCAGTCGTCAGAAGAGCTCGCAGAGGATTGAGACGACGCGCCTGACGCTGCGGCTTCTTCATTTGTGCTGCTGCTGCTGCTGTGACTGCTAGCGGAGGTGCGTTTCTCAGCAGACGACGCAGAAGAAGAGGAGTTGTCGCTTCGCACGTGCGACGAAACGAAGTAGTGCGTGGCAATGCCGAGGAAGAACGCGGCGGTGCACTTCCAACTGAGGTCGTCCATTGCGTGAAATGCCATTAGGTCGCGACTGGTTCCTCCTACCGATTATTGGGCCGATTGCGATTGTAGGTTGGAAGCTAGACGGAATCGAAAGAGAGAGAAAGAGAGAAGTGTAGCTTGTGCCTACCTATTTTCGAAAATCCTACCGATTATTGGTCAGATTGCGATTGTAGGTTGGAAGCTAGACGGAATCGAAAGAGAGAGAGAGAGAGAAGTGTAGCTTGTGCCTACCTATTTTCGAAAAGCCGGCGCGACGGCAGCTGCATTTTTGGTGGGAAAAAGTGGTAATGTAACAATTGCGCTAGAATATGATGGCAGCGAGCTCTTCTTGTCTGTCCTCTGTGTCGACTATGACAAGCGGCTGCCGTCAGATTCTGGACCATATTGTTGCAAAGAACTATGATGTCGTAGTGTCTCGGACGGTAGCTGTCTGCGAGTAAACGTGTGTGTGATGCTGGCTACAAGCACAAGGGCGTGTCCCGTTCACTGAACTAGATCTCTGCACGCAAGACATCGTGTTGCTCAATACAACGTTTGCGACGTATATTCCATTCCCAGTAGTGCATCACCCCTCTCGTTGCTACGCAAATAGAGCTTCTGCAGCTTGGCAGGTGTCTGCACTTCCACTTTCGTCTCTGCTCGTTGCAAAGGCAACGGCGTCATAGCTCACTCGACAACGTGCACAGGCTTGCTCGTGTCCAGCTCGTTGAAGCGACGCAGGTCCATTGGCTTGTCCAAGAGTGGCATGACGTACGGGTCAAAGGTCTTCCAGTACGGGTTGCCCAGGTGGTACTTCTGACTGCTCTCGTGCTCGTAGCGCTCGACGATGCACCACTTGCGCGGGTCCTCGTGGTCCTGCATGACGTGCCAGTCAATGGTCTCAGTGTCCTTCGAGTACACCTGCGAGGCCTCAATGAGCTTGTTGCGTAGCTTCTCTTCGACTTCCTTGCCCTCCTTGGCGTACAGGTGGACGACGATGGTGTAAACCATTGGTGCGATCGTAACTAGATTAGGCGCTCGTGAGGAAAAACGAGAGTAAGGAGGTCTCGGGCATGCAGAGGATCTGCTGGACCTTCTTAGTCGTGGCTACTGCTACTGATAGAGTGGATGTTGGGATGTGTTGCAGAGAATCCGGAGCTTTACAATCCTGGAGGATGTCCACATGAGTTGCCGAATCTAGCGCTTTGACAGCGAGTTTAATCAGCTCCAACTTGAGTTGTAAAGGCTACGGTCAGCTACGGCTGACGATTGCTGCTGTTCCTGCTGGAGGCAAACTAGGAATTGGATCGGTGGCTACAATCTAGTGGGCCACGCTTTGTTACGTCGCTGTGGAGGCGATACTAGTGAGACGTTCATGCTGTAGACCGATTTACCAGTCTGCTCGTGTTAGGCAGTTCCTGCAAAACTGTGTGCAAGAGAACCCAATTTGACGCGAAAGAGTTTGCCGCGCAACTGGTCGAGAATCTGCGCTTCATCAGCGACACATCATCTTCCTGTCCTACACTTTGCTGCTGGATCTGGACCGGTTTTGTCATTTAACAAGAACAAAAGTTTGAGTGAGGAATCAGACGCAGTGTCCAAAATAGGGTTCGCACGTCTTCTTTGACAGCACAATGGTAACCCATTATGCAGCATGGACGAAGGAGAGATACTATTTCTGGTCCCGTGAAACCAAAGGCCTTCGAGGTGACTATCGTATTTCCAGGGGTTGCCGGTGTTTTGATCGAGAGATAAAGGGCTACGGAAGAGCTAGCTCATCGTGATAGTTTGGGCAAAGCATGTTTGATCGACTGCAATTGATGCGATCCGTTTTATCCTACCTGCTTCATTGGAGATAAAGAAAGCGTACCGTGCCGGGCTCCGAAGCGCTGACATTGCAGAAGAATACACGCAAGTACGGCACTTCGAGATTATTGGCTCGTAACATCGTACAGATTGTACCATGAAGCAGTGATTGTTCCGATGGCGATGCTGGCACATGCAAATTCAGCAGCTTGCTATCGGTACTTGTGGTACTTGTAGGAGCATGCGCGACTCTCATGGTTTGTTCATGCCACCAGATACGTACGTGCCGGCTGTACTTTCATGTCGGCCGTACGCTACTGTAATAGCAAGATGAATGAGTCGTGTCGTCATCAGTGGTTCTTGCCTGAATCCTTGAACATTGTTCATGCGACGAGATCGTTGTTGATATTTTCATTGTACTTTACTGTTCAGCTTGCGTATCGGGTAGCGAAAAGAAAACGAATCAGTCGTTTTTGCGAGCGAAGCTCTGTATCAAGCATCTCGAATTGACTGACAGAGCGCGCTCTTCACTATAGCAATAGTTTCATTTTATCATTAAGACATTTTCTTGTAGCCAAGATACACACGTGATGTTGCTGCATGCACGTGCAAGCGTTTGTTGGAACACATCGACAGAGCTACAAGCTCGCATCTTTGCTCGGCCAAGATCTCACAGGTACGGTTGGTGGGACCGATCGTGGTCCTTTTGATCATCCGGTAACGATAGGTTCAGCACTTTATCGATCATGTCGGCGATAGGCGGTATTTGTAGACAGTAACAAAGAACCTTGTCAAACGGACTTGCAAGTTTACGATATACGGATTGTGCTGGAAATAGACGGAGTCGGTTTTGAATGCGTTTCGCAGTCACGTGGAGGCTCCATCGGAATTACATGAAAGCGTTGATACCGGCAGTTTACGGAGAGGTAATGCACACGTTGTACATGTTACAGGCATGCACGTCGCTAGCTATATCGTACCAGATGTAGGTGTATCGGCATACAACGTGCGATTACCACCGCGACCGCGTCACCTGGACTGCTAGTGCGCCTTTCTCTTTCAAAATTGTGTGGCGCTTATATTGTCCCGCGTAGTGTGCGCTTCATCACCATCGCAATGCAGCAGCCCTCACTTTTGGCTAGTTTGGAAGGGAGACTGAACTGCAGAGATACTAAAATGTGATGCTGAGCGTCTCACGGGCATCTGTTAGCGGTGCATACAAGTTGCGGCTGCTTGCAGCTTCGAGGGCAGATGCGTCTATAAATTCTAACAAATCTTGCAAGTTTGGTCAGAGTAATGGCACTTCGTTTGTAGCAAATCACAAGGCAAAGTTGTCACAAACCTCTTGAAGGTGAAGCAATATTTACCGAGCAAGACGACTGCCTGCCAAGATTGCGTCATGTGTATGGAAAATGTGGAAGGCAGGGCTTTTCGTGTAAGGAAGCTCGTGCTAGTAAAAATGCTTTGGATTACGACAAGTATAAGACATATGCGTGTGTGGGAGCACAGACCAGGACGTGATCGCGCAACTAAGGGTCCGTGTGCTCCTTGGTTTCGCGGCAGCATTCCGCTTTGTGGCTTTACGTACGCTCTGTCAAGGGTTGTGATTGTGGCGCGAACACGTCGCTCTGTCAAAAAAGTCAAAACATGCCAACGAGCGCGTACTATTCTAGCTTCGCGACACTTGGCTCTCTATTGCTACAACTATGACGCTCAATCGTAGTTCGCATCCACGTATCGTTCTGCAATTTCATGTCAAGATCTGAGGTAGAGCTCTCTATGGTATATATACGTTGATTGTTCATCTGCACGTCAAGGAAAGCAAGGGTGTCGAGACGTGAAGTTACAACAACTCTTAGAGCTCTCACAGATGACCATGACCTCCACCGATGTCGTCGGTTGGCGTGTCATGCAAGACCGCGCAGATCCTTGCAAACAGACCATTGTCGAGCGCTATGTTACGGTCAATAGCAAGCGTGCCACGAGGTGCTCAAGCGGACCGTAATTGACAACAGCAAGTATGCATATCGAGTCGAGAGACCGATGGCCGTCTTTGTTGTTACTTGTATAGTCTACATATTCACCACGTCAATCTGTACAATGGAGCTTTTGACGCTTACGCGGGACCACTTCGTGACCGTCTGGTCGAGGTTCGCCGGTTTAATGTGTCGGTCACTTGCAAGCCTGTGCATGTAGGCTGAGTGTCGCAAAAAACACAAGTGTGGGATCATAACGAACTCGCGCCACGATCGACGAGTACAATGTTGCTTTCCGTGTTTCGGCAAACGTCTCGGTCCGACTTGTACAGACTTGACTTACGGAGGAAGGCTTGATATCCCGGCTATTCTAATAACTGGCCAGCGTGTCGTCCAATATCCGATCATGGTGACAAACTTGTTTCGTGTGCGTAGGATCCACTTCTTGTAGAAAGACAAGCTCGGCAACCGGCTCTCCCAGCCGATCACTAGCAGCATTTGACCAGCTGCGAAGCCTTGTAAGGCACATGGCAGCTAAGGTTCGATCGCTGCACGAAGGTAGTAATGGAAATGGAAGAGGCACAAGTGTGCCGGTATGGTCTCGAAGCTCAACGACTTGCACCGATGGCTGATGTCTCTCATGCGGGTGTGGCGGCTGTGAGCGCTAAGGACTTTAAAAGTATTTGACGTGTCGGTCAATATGGTGTGCAGCTTGCCCTTGGCGTCTACATGCTCTGTACGGTCACTTGTGAGCAACACTTTCTTGACGGGACGAGACAAGTTAATTAGCTTTGGTGCTGCTATGCGACTGCGCAATCTGCCGATCCAGACCAGTGCAAAATGGTATGTATCTCGACATCTAACAAACGCGATGGAAGATCGCGCATACTCGCAGATGTGGTGCAACATTCCTCACAAATAGAAGTCTTCACCGTGTGATCTGCTTGTTTAGTTTAGCCTGTAGCCTCATACAGGACTGCAGTCGGCGAGGACATCCCAGTAGCGTTGCATAAAGTCTCCAACACCTGGTTGGTAGTATGGGTTCCCGTCTAATCGTTTGCTCACGTGGGCCGAGATAAGCTTGACGTCTGGGCACAACGAGAGTATAGTCAGTCTTGAGCGTCAAGTTGGCTCTAGCAATTTGCTGCATTGTACACAGTGCTCTTCGAGGCTGAGACGTACCTGAAAAGTGCCAGGCGACCTTGTAAAGTCCCTCAAAGGAGCTCATAATGGTGACAAAATAAACACGGTGTGCGGGTATCTGTCTTTCGTGCACGAGATGATGCAGCACTGCACATGCTTCAGTTCCCGTGACGCACTGGACATCGAGCAATAGCACTACCTGGCGTGCACGAATGACAGGTAGCCGAGCATGTGTGATAGAAGGCCACACATTGCCATTGTAGCTATCCTTTGTGCTACCTGCTGCAGCGAAAATGACGCCAGTGGATGAAGCCGGACTGATGGTCGCGAACGCACGCAACAGTGCCATACCTTTGTCTTCCATCGAGACACCGCATATATCGTCCTCGTCCAAGGCCTTGGGCCCATGACATACGTCGCCAAACAGGTTCTCTTTCATATCGACAGGTCGTTGAGGTAGACATGACAAAGCTTCTTCCAGCAGAAGACGCACCAGACGCGTAACCCGTTGCCGAAAGACTTGTGTGCTAGTGTTCACGTCACGCAGCGCAGTCAGGAGGTTTCGACACGGCTGCGAATGCACCGACGCCTCGTGCACGAAAAATCGGGAAGATGACGCTGGACTACGGATTCCTTGGTACACGGGAGACTGCTGTTCATGCGTTATGTGGTAGGCTTCTAGTCGATCTTGTCCAGCTCGCACGCCTCTCACGTCAAGATGCTCGACCCTGTCATAAACCGCAACACTCGAATTGGAGTCCTCCAGCCTCGAAGCACACCATTCATCTCCCTGACATTGCTGCGCTTTGCCACTATCATGTCCTGGCTGGTGAGGTGCACAACTGCCGATGCTTGTGCCGTCGATGACATTTTCCGAGCTCTCCGTACAAATGGATATCGTGGACACGTTGGGCACAACGATGACCGCACCGGCGTGTCGAAGGATCGACAATGGACTTGACAGATTGATGTGCGGCTCGATACTACGCCTGACGCGAGACAGCACCGTCCAGCGATTCTTGTAGAGGTTACAGATGGCCGCACGACTTACGCCAAATTCCCTGGCAAGGGTCACCTGCTTCTCGCCATGAATGATTCGTGTGATGATCGCTCGACGGTCACGGTCGCTCAAGTACCTCGATGCACGCTTGCGAGATGTAGTCTGCTTTGACTTGCAAGAACGCAGTGTATCGACGTCTAGTGACTGAACGAACGGTTTCGGTGAGAGTAGATCCCAGACAACGGAGGTTGAGCATGAGGCAGCTTGCTTATGGGTCAGATGGACACTGTTGAGCGGTGCCAAGGACGCTCGATTGTCCGAGAGGGTACTGTCAATCGTGTCGTTGAACGGCCCTTGTCTCTTCTCGAGCTGCTCGTTCTGAAGGTGGTGGACAGTACGCTTTGTAGAGCTTACTGCGTTGCATGTACATGCGGTGCTGTCGCGTTGCTTCCTGCTTCCCACATCACGATTGCTGTCAGCTGCAGCAAAGGAGGGCAAGTACGAAGAGAGCCGAGGAAGAGCGATGAAAGACGGCTCCATTGCTACAACCGAGAAAGCACGCGACAAGTGGTTGGTCGGGATGTGAGCAGATGCTACGCTTGGGATCTCGAGCTGTCTGCTTCAACCTCAGAGATGAAGTGGTGGTGTTCCGAAGTTTAGCATCATCAAACTGCTAGGAGAAGGGACTTGTTAGAAACGAGAGCGCCATCCACGGCAACTGTACGTATGTACACGTAGCAGACTTCGTACAATTGAGGCACGTAGTCATGTAACATATCAAGCACTAAGAGATCCGCTACGACAGCTGGTTGCAGTAACGTCCTTCCTACCGAAACGTGCAGCAACTCGCCCTGGCAGCAGATGCAGTTCAACAAAGTGACCCGATCGAGAAGACAGAAAACGGCAAGCGCCTTGAAGTTAATTCGAGCGCGTGGCCCTTGAGTTAATTCAGCGTCCCGTTGGATCTGCAGCGTCTTGGGGCTTCTTCTCAGCAGCCATGTTGCTATCTATCCATCCTGCCCGTTCACCGGCAAAGCGTCAGGTGGTTGATCCGGTTTCTAGCGCGTCTTCTGCCGATGGACCTAATACCACTCGTGCCGGTAGGGATGGAGTCCCATCATTCCTTGCACGGCAACCTGTAGCGCCGCCAATGTACATAATGACCTTTTTTTCCGTCCGCTGTCGTCAGGTGCAGTTGCAGCAGATCCGGCATCGATGTCTGCCATAGATTGGCCGCTGCAAATCACGATGGGGTAAACCGGTCACCACGGACTGGCTTGCTGGCGTATGATCCGAGCATGACATTCTTAGGCTTCCTTGAGCTCTTCTGCGCCCTGGACGACCTTTGTTCGATGTTGTGAGTCCTACAGAGCCGTGTCTGCCGTGCAATGTGTGTGGACTACTTTGGGACATGGTCAACCCCGTCGTTGATGAATGTAGCGGCTGGATGCGAATGGCATCCGATATCTCGTGCTCGATGTTGTAGCAATACGCAGGCCAATTGACACCGAGCAATCTTGTCGTCGCGGCTATAATGTAGCCCAAGTCTTGTGCTCAAGACTGCGACTTGGCCACCATGACAAACTTGCGCGCTCGTCGTACCGTTGTGGTCTGTGGCTCGCACGGCCTTACACGAAGCTCGTTCATTTGTACCATGCAGTTCGTGAAAGCGTTGTGGAAATAAGCACCAGCGGCAGCTGATGGCATTGACTCAGCGACCGAAACGTCAATCGTATCAACGTCGTACCACAAATGCCAGCGCACATTTAGTAGTAGCCGTCAAAGTGTGCTACCGCTGACACGCAGTTCGTCAGCCTGTTCTTCATCACGTTGTCGCTGCCTCATTGACGCGCTGGCGTTGCAAGAATGTTGAGGGCTCATGGACGCCGTCCCGCTGGCGCGTCGTGGAAGTGAGAGAACAATGGTTGCAACTCCACTTGACGCGATACGGCGCTCGGAACGTACAGCAGAGATGCAAATGACGGTGAGGTCGATTGTTGGACGTTCAAACGAGTACTCTTGACTTTGATGCTGTCATAAACAGTCGCACTTTTCATTGTCGCACGGTCCGATCTATCACTAGAAAGTGCTCGTGGTAAACGCTACAAGGTGAGCGAACTTCAGCGGTCGTATATTGGCGGGCAGTCCTTACTCATAGCTGTTTTCCTGCAAGTGCGGAGAAGCTGGCAGTAGAGAAGCTGACGGTGCAAAGGTTAGATGGTTTCGGCAATGCAGTACGAGTAATGCATGGAATCTGGCGCCAGTGATACGGGTCTATAGTTAAAGACATGCCAATTTGGTAGCTTATACGGAGCTGACTCTGCTGCACTTTCACGAGTTGCCGGACTCAAGCACGAAGCATGGTAGGTGGATTGCAAGCCAAAGCATTCACCAATATGAACACGAAACGATACAGACTTGTTCCGTACTTTTACCACGGATGTTTGACGTAAACTCAAAGCTCACTCGGAAGGGTGAATGTGAACAGCGAAAGTTGGAAACAAGTAAGATGCAATGACAGAGAGTCGTCTATGTGTGTGCAAAAGTACAGCGCCAAGATGTCGACAAGGTTGGTGTATCGTTTACAAAGCATGCTCATCAGTCCGTATGATTGCGACAAATGGAGCACATGCGATAAACATCATTGATGCATCTATTGACATCAAAGCTGTAAACAATACGGAAACAGGGAAATCGATGCAGATGAGAGCGATAGTCGGGTTAGAGGGTAGCAAAGTAAAGCTGAGTGCGGATCACGAAAAATATGGCGCAGGAAAGTGAGATGGATTGTCGTAAAACCTTCGTGCAGCTGGGTAGACGACATGTGCATGAAGATCACATCAGATATCTGCCGATAGCATTGCAAGGCGGGTCTATTGACAATAATGCTTTGCTAGAGGCCCCGGTCAGGCTAGGTTCGAAAGCATCACGCGGATGACTGCTACACGTGTATGCAGATCTGTCTTGAAGCTAGAAATGGAACGGCTGCATGCCGCTCTGGGTGATGATAAACAATATCCATGGACGAACCTGAAATGAATCAAACACGAATGATAATGACGATGCCATACCTTCAGCAATCTCTCGTTGGCGATGAAAATGACCACTACCTCATTGCATGCAAATTTCGCGAGGTAACCTGGCCATAGCGTAGAGCCAGCACCGCCCACTTCGAGCATGGTCGACGTAAGTTCGGCCGCAGGCATGTACCAGGTGCACAATACAAAAGCTACGGCTTAGCTGCCGCTCGTACCGCATTCTTCAGTGACTGCAAGTTCCTGTTGCGACTTCACAATATGTGCACCCAGTATACAATTCCTTCTTACCGTATGCGAGGGATACACTATTACAGATATATTAACGTTACCAGTTTTCTACACTTGAATGATTGTGTTATGTGAGCGTCGCTAACCAAGACAGCTTTCTACAATGTATCCACTGGCGCTATCTTTCATGGGTAACATGCACGCTTGTATACCAGCAATTGATCGGATACGCTTGTGCGGTGCACTCATCAGGGTCTTGTCCCACCACAGACTATCGCATAGGTGGTATGTCCGATCGACTCATCATCTCATGGCACTTGCTTAACCTCCGTATTCTTGTAACATTATGAATCCAGTCTCGGATGCAGTGTCTTCCTTACCCTTTCGTTCATGGGCGACTTGATAGTGGTAAGTACTTAATCTTCATGTGTGCAGGAGAAACACAAATGACACGAGGCTGTCGTTATCGAGTCTCGGCCTTCATTTGCACTGGCCCATCTATCTTGTAACCTGAAAGCATCAACTTTCGTCGTACAACCTAAGATTGAGGTACGTAGGCGAATTTGTACGATTTCGTTCTTATCATAGCATTCAGTTGGCCTTATGAGTCGAAGAGAGAAACCTTATCCTGGCACTCAATAAACGAGCAATTTGTGTCAATAATTTCAACAGACATTGACAAAGCTGTAACAGCTGAGTGCCTTCTACGGTATAGCAATGCGCTGACTCGTACATTCAGCCACCTTACAGGTAATCTCTATGAGTCACTTTATTTCTCTGACAGCAAGGCTTCAGCAGCCTTTCTGCAAGTCCAGTACGTACGTGAAGTAGTTGACGCTTGCTGTATCGATTCCCAGACGCGATGTTGCCGCTGTGCTACTCCAAGTGCGTGATTTGACACGCCGGTCCTTGTAATGACATGATATAGGAGCTGTTGCCTGATAGCAGCAGCCGGTGACGATTGTATTCCGTGTATTACAACTCATAACGCGCATTCAGGAGCAGATCTGAACAAAGGAGGTGGGTCAGAGGCCGCAAACATAGCTCAATATGGCCAGTCGTTCCCGATTGTATGTGTATCCTTCCACCTCTTCTGGTGGTGGTCTCGAAGTATGCGTTCCGTAACTACTTTGGACAATTTCGGTACCCGCTTGCCTTGCACGACACGTGAATGTGTGAGTAGCACCAACAAACAAGCTCGTTAGCATGGACAACCAGTGATCGTTACATCTTCAGGGCTCCTGCAGGAAGAGTTAAATCGACGTTCATCAGTTTACGTAGAACGATACTACGGCATGTTTGATCGCAACGGCTTCCTATCGATCGAGATGATTGGGCGCGGGGTGAAAAAAACACAGCATAGCTTCGATCAGGGCACGCACCACATACCCCGGCTGCCTCTCTTTCGTACCGTAGACGCCAAAGCTCGATCTGGATATTGTAGAAAACTCGGTCGATTTCAGCTTTTAGGTAAGAGTGCCCTACTGCACCTCGTGGTTGATGTTACAGGATGGCCACAATACTCAATAATTTGCAGCAATCTCGTCGTCGTAACTAGACCTCAAGCTGCTTTGGTTCCGATCGTCACACAAACACGACGAATCAAGCGGATGAGGAAACCCACGACGTCAATCTTTACTAGTGCCGTCCCCATATATGCCAGCATCCATTCGCCAATTATCGTCCATGCAATTTGCCACTGGCACGCGCTTCATCAGCTTTTCCTTCATCATGCCATCGATGCAACAATGACGCGCTGGCGTTGCAAGAGTTTTGATGACTCTTGGACGCCGCCCCGACGGCGCATTGTGGACGTGAGCAGCACGAAGGCAGTGGTAACGACCACACCTGCGAAGACAACGACGGTCGAAACGTACAGCAGAGATCCAGACGTCGGCGAGGTTTACCGCTGGACAGAGACAAGAGTGTTCTTCGACTTCGACGCCGCGGTAGACGTCACGCAAGCCTCATAGTCACGCACAGTCGACCACCAGTACAGCGAACACTGCCACTTGGCTTGACACGATACGTCTAGACACGACGGCTGGAGATGCGACTGGGCTTTCGAGTTGAAGTAATATCGCTCAAGAAGCCTTGCATCGGTGGCTGTACGCGCCGCAAATCTGGCAATCTCCGACGCTCTCAACGTGCTGACACCGTACTCTTGGCTTGCTTTGAAGAGCGGCTGCCAGTCCACAGTCCCGTCGAGAGAAGAGATGTTGCCGCCGTGAACCGTGAAGTCGAGCAAGTCGTACGTCGTGTGGTCGTAATCCCAGACCATGAACGCCGGATTGCTCGAAAATATCGGAGAGATCGCTGCCACCATGAACAATGGCACCAGGTCGGAGCTGTCTTTCTCTTCATCCGCTACGAGCACGCCGTCGCGGTGAAGTAGCGAATCCAGACCACGAGCAAGAGGCAATCGGAACTCAACGCTGTGAACGTGGCCAAAAAGCTGTGTCTTGATGATATCCGAGTACTGACACACGATGTTCTTGTACGTTCTGATGTACGTCTCGTTCCACATAGGCGAGCCACCGAACGAGTCAACAACGGGTGGTATATGACCAACGATGTAAGCATACTTGCCAGCACTCCGCAAGCCAGCCAACGAGGCATTCAACCAGGCAAACTGTTCGAACGGGTCAAGCACACTCGACGTATCCGGTACATGATCTGGCTGCAAAAGCGTCACAACGCAACATATTAGTGTCAATGACAGTACAAATATTGCTCACGACGTCAACAAGCTACCGAGTAAGGGACTGTGTTCAGCGTGAGAACAGTCAGATTGTCGCCCAACGTGTACGCCAAGTATCCGCGGCGTTTTAGCCACTCGAGGTTGGTTTGGGACAATGAATCTTGCCACGCTCCAGCAATCGATGCGATCTCCGGATTTTCCTCTATCGCCGGGTCAGTTATCGTCATGTTATAGCTAGGATCTAAACACGCAAACAACACCACCTCAAGTGAGCAATCAGGTGATCGAGTCATGCCTTTGATCGCAAGGAATGACCGCACTTGTGTCGGCGTTTCCAACGACTGCAGTGATGCCCGTCATCTTGCCACTGTCAGACACGTTGTAATACTCGGCCATGGTCTTGACGTTCTTCTCGATAACTTCCGCGAGGTACTCGTCCGTGAGCTCTCCACGCACAACGTGGTCCCCTGTATAGAGAAATAGATCCGGGTCGGGTAGCACCGTCTTCGCATACGCTAACGCCGAGACCAGCAAACGCATCGGTGCGTCGTTTCCATAGGCAACCGGAATCTCTGCCGACTCGCGCTCGCTGTGCGACTTGGAAATGTTAAGGTGCACGTCCGAAAAGTGCAAAATGTGACGCACGTTGGCGCCATCGCTCGTCTTGGCAGCGCTCAAACCATCACCAACGGTGCTCCCGATGTCGTGCAGAGCGGCCACGGCCAGTTTCGTCGACTTGGCTGCTGTATCAAAGCTGACCGAAGCGGCGGTAGAAGCCGGTGACGCGAGACCGAGTCCAAGCGCCACGACCGCCACGAAACTCGCGCCCTTTCGCAATGCAAAACACCACGCAACGCGGCGAACGCGCATCACGGATCGATGCCCCACGACCGTCCGCGCAACTCAACGCACGGCACTGGAAACAACGTGCGTCCAGGTCGAGTACCTGCTCTCGAACAGGAAGTTGTCCGAATGTTTGCAGGTGCAGCGCGAGCTGAACATCACTGGTACCTCGTTGCTGGTACTGTCTGTGGTGTGCCGAACACCAATGCCGTCCCGCAGCAGCCTGCCTTCCCGCACGAATTCTTCGGCTCCGTATGTGGTCTCTCATTGGCTGAAACGCTGCACCCACGGGCTCTCCAAAAGCATTGGCTGCCACTCGTTTGAATCGCGCACAGAGGCACTCTCGACCGACGGCCTGCACGTGTATTCCTCAACGTGGCAAAAATGGCGAAAGTGACCAAGACCTTCAAGACGCCTAAGACCGCGGCCGGCCGCTCCGCTGCCAAGTTCTCGAAAAATGTGATCAAGGGCTCGCACGGCAAGGTGCTGAAGATCCGCACGAAGGTGCACTTCTACCGCCCCAAGACGCTGCGGTTGGCTCGCTCGCCGCGGTACGCGCGCAAGGCCGTGCCCGCGCGCAACAAGATGGACAAGTACCGTATCGTCAAGTGTCCGCTCACGACCGAGTCGGCCATGAAGAAGATTGAAGACAACAACACGCTTGTGTTCTTGGTGGACTTGCTGGCCAACAAGCGCCAGATCCAGGACGCTGTGAAGCAGCTCTATGACATCAAGGTTGCCAAAGTCAACACACTCATCAGGTACACGGCATTGGGTCGATATGCTTTTCGTGGTCGTGGACGGAGAGACACTTGTATAAAGGTCCCCTTTGAGCTGCCGCCTGTCTGGCCGTAGTCCTGATAGGGAAATGCGGTGACGAGGCCGAAAGGGGCGACGTGATGTCGCTTTCCGTCCTATCGGGTTGTCATTGCCGTGGCATGTACACTGCGAACTCTAGTAAACTCACCGTGTCATTGCTCTTGTGTGCTGCTGTGTAATGTCGCAGACCCGATGGGCAGAAGAAGGCGTACGTGCGCCTGACTGCTGACTACGATGCTCTGGACGTGGCCAACCGCATCGGCGTGATCTAAGCACGCTGGTTGCGATCACACAGCGAGGGATTGCACTTGTTTTTGCCATTGTGGTAAAGGGATAACAATATAGGGTTCCTGCACTATCGCCTCCGGGCTGAGGGAGCAGGCCTTGATATGTTGTTGTCGCTTGCGTTTCGTGATACGTATATTCACAATTACTGACGCATGACCAGTCATCCGCTAGAGAGACAAGCTTAGGCATTGTTCTATTCCGCTCATCAGACCCCTCTCCTTCAGGTCGGAGGCCTTCGTGCGGTTGTCACACAAGCGATGGTACCTCCTGCGGCTGTATACGTTTACTGGAAGATCTTTATTGTACTGTCTGCACCGCCCGTGGCGATGTAATTGCGCGACGGATGGTAACTTACTGCATGCATTGCTTCGGCCATCTTCGGCCGGTGCACCTATTACAACACGCATGACATCGTCAGACCTTGCGTCATAAGCATCTTGTAATACATAACGTACGGCTTGCTCAAAGACACAGTGACGATCCGCAACTGACCACACACGCAGTGAACCGTCGTGACCTGAAAGCGCACAGAAACGAACGTTATAAAACGCAATGCGATACCGTGCCAAGCATCGCCGTACCTCCCGATGCGATGTACAGCCCCGCTGCATCTATTGATAGAGACGTAACCGAGTCCTGGTGAGCGGTTAAAGAGCCGACGCACTCGCCTGCGTTCGACGCATCCCACGATACTCAGACCATGACTCACACATTCGCAACACAAGACCAATAACGTCTTACCGGCCCGCATGTCGTACATTCGAATTTTCCTATCTTGGTGGGCCGCAATTGCAATCGGCATGGTCGGATGCGCGATCAGCTACGAAAACCAGGAGCACACTCAGTTCTGCAACCAAACAACAGGCACAGTCTCGACTACATCAGAGTAGCCGCACGGACGCACCTTGTTCACCTGACCTCCCCGCCCGACACTATCCACGTCGATCGCTCGTGTTAGCTGAATAACACGCTCGGCTGCGTAGTCAAACTGGGCAATCGACCCATTTGTGTATCCGACAACGGATGTTTTCGAATCTGTTAGCATTGAATGTACTGACGTAGGCACCAAAAAGCCAGAAACGCTCGGGCCTGTTGAAAGCGCAGTAACGACGTGTATCAATAAGAAGTCAACTACTACACCCGAAACGGCTTGACCACGACCTTCGGACTTACCGGTTCCGTTTGTGTTGGTCTTAGTGGGGCATCGTAGTTCGCCCTTCAGTGTAAGCTCTATCGCATCACACATAACAAAGTCGCGTGTCAGCACATCCACACCTTGTCCTACATGTACCTTTCAACGCAGTCCCTGCGTGCAACAGTAAATTTACCTGACGCAACCCCCCAGGTCCGGACCACACCGTCTGCTCCTGCCGAGAACAACGTGTTCGACAGCGGGTGTGCATGTAGGTCCCAGATTGCATCGTCATGTGCAGTCTTGATCGAATGAATCTTCATGCTCCCATACTCTTCGCACGTGTACGGTTCGGGTTTATCCGTGTCTGTGCTTCGTAACTGGAACAGGTTTAGCGTTCCATCACGCCCAGCCGACGCAAATGCACCTATCTGGCCAGGCGAACAGTCCGGGTAGGTCTCCGCACTAAACACGGCTAGAGCCAGCACACTCTGCGTATGGACCCGCATGGTCACCAGCGAGTCCACTTCGGTTGCTCGCTGCAATGGTGGGCCATTCCCAACATTCGAGAGCTTCCACACCTTCACCGTACAGTCTTCGCTACCCGACACCAACAGCGGTTCCGTTGGATGAAATGCAAGTGCTCGCACTCCGTCCTGTGGCAAACAAACGAACGGATATGACAGTACCGTGCTAAGTACATTCGCACAGCAGCCAAAATAAGCTCGCATCATCACCGTACCATGTGGCCCGACAGCTTAAGCTTCAATTTGTGCGCCACACATGACCCTTTCGGTGCATGAGTAATAACAGCAGGCTTCACCAGCTTTGCAGCGTCAACTGCTCCTGCAACACCATCCAGCATCAAACAACCAGTCACACCATATCCTTGTCAGCACAAAAACACCACGACAAACAACGCAGCCAAAACCCACTAGAAATGACAAAACATGCCCCAACGCGCACTCTGACGTACGTTCTACGCGTTCCACTTCCCGTCCTGACGCCGATCGATTGAATTCCCTCTCACCGTCGCGTCCTGATCCAGCCACTGCTTTGCTCGCTTCTCGCTCAACTTCTCGTCCCGATGCGGTTCGACCCATCATCCGAGGTCGCGAAATCTCCATGCCTTTGCCCTGCACGGGGGCAGTACTACTGGTACTCCCCGAGCTCGTCACGGTCTTGTCTCGGCTCTCAAATCGACCATTCACACTGCTGTTACTGCCACCGCTATTGCTGTGAGCTTTTGGACTGATCTCAGGCGACAGCGCAGGCGACGGCTGCTCGACTGTGCGCCCCGACTTGACACGCTCGACCGAGCGCGATACCGTCACGCCACGCGACACCTCGGCGCTCTCCCCATGCGGCTTTGTGGCCATAGCTCCGGTCGTTTGCACAGCGGCAGGCGACTCCAAGTACCGACCGCGTTCTTGCCGCAATGCAAATTCGAGCATCTTGACACGTACCATGGCGTCTTTGTATGCCTGTTCCTGCTCGCCGCGCTGTTCCTCGAGCTCCCGCAGCTGCGCCTGCAGCTTCTGACGCTCTTCGTTCCACTGCGCTTCTTCACTCGCTACGCTGGCAAACTGCCGCTGCAGGTACCGCAGCGCCGCGTCCACGCTTTCCATGCTCAAGAGACGTGCCGGTCGCAAATGCGTTCCCCCTCGTGTGTCGGTTGCCACTAGCGCCACCGACTGAATACCGCGGGTACCGATCGAAAAACCTCGGTTTTCGGTGATCCGTTTTGTCATTGGTGTGTCGTTACACCGTTTTGGCCCCGCCGCGACCAGAGTGATGATCGTTTCCTCTTTTGCAAGACTGCGCACTGGTGCGGGCGCGCCATGTTCGAGACACTCGTGACGGGGCTCTTGACCAGCGCGCTGGGCAGCTACATCGATCCCAAGTGCTTTAGCAGTGACAAGATAAATGTGGCCGTCTGGTCGGGCTACGTGGTGCTCACAGAGCTGGAGGTGAAGCCCGAGGTGGTGGCAGGGCTGCCGGCCGTCAAGCTCGTGCGCGGTCTCGTGGGCTCTATTGAGCTCAAGATCCCGTGGAATCGACTGCAGTCCGACTCGGTCGTGGCGACAGTGGATGATGTGTACCTTTTGCTACGGACAGAAGAGGACGTGGACGCCGTCATGCGCCAGATGGACGAGTTTACGCTCAAGAAGAAGCTGTTGGAGGAACTCTATGCTCAAGCAAAGCAACAAGAGGACGCTGCAACACAGACGACGAGTAGCGAGGACGGATTCGCAGCCCGATTGGTCAATAAGATTATCGACAACGTGGAGGTGCGCAGGAGCGGTCGTATCGCTGATCGTTTTTCGCTCGTTCGCAAAGGTCTTTTTTGTTACTTTGTGTGCTAATGATATCTGTCCTTGTGCTGATGATTGATGACCTGTAGTTGCACATTCGGCGGATTCACATTCGACTCGAAGATTACAGTACAGGGGACCATCCGTTTTCGGTGGGAATGACGATCGAGTCGGTGCACGTACAGTCCACGAACTCAAACTGGCAGCCATCGTACGTCGATACGTCCATAAGCCACGAGCCTCGAATTTACAAGATCTTGGAACTGAATCATCTCAGCGTGTACTGCGATCCGGAGGGTGAGCTGCAGCGTGGCAGCAACATAAACTTCGAGACGTGCTCAGCAGAGACTTTTTCCAGCGCGTTTAGTCGCGCCATTCCAAAGCGTTTTGACGACAGACGTTTTCATCATATGCAGCTATACCCGTCGCCGCAACAACACCACTTTTTACTCAAGCCGGTCGATGCTAGTGCGAGACTGATTGTCAATCGCGACGTGTTTGACGCAAGTGTGCCAAAATTTGAAATTGATGTAAAGGTGCCCGAGGTAGCGTTTCGACTGGAGGAGTCGCAGTACTGCGATATGCTGTATCTGATATCGGCACTGCAAGCTCCGGACTACTACATGAAGTATCGGCGATACCGTGAGTCGAGACCGCAAATGGCTGTGCTTGATGAGCCAGCAGAATGGTGGAAATATGCGATCACGTCAGTCATCAAGGACGTGAAAACAAAAAAACAGCAATGGGCTTGGGGCTTTATGAAAGATCGACGTGAGGATCGCAAACGTTACGTGAGCTTGTGGCAGCAAAAATCGCGACGTTTATTGGAGCTAGCAGATGTAGACTACGAAGATTTTGACAGCGAATACGATGAGGACGAAAAAGAGGGCATCATGGAGAATGCTGACCACGCGGGACAGAACACGTCGTCGCTAGACTTGTCTGACACGCCAATTTCTCCGCCTCTCGACATGAATCTCGGGCTTGAAGAAATAGAGAGACGCAGGAGTGTAGAGGATGTGTTGTTTTTCCGCTATTTGGCCGATCTCGAGGTTCGGAAAATTCTAGCTACACGAGCTTCTCCTGTTCGACGTCGGCTGCCCACGCCCCCAACCCGCGGAACTAAGGCATATTCGGACACTGAATCAGTCGATACAGAATGCACTGAGTCTAGTGTACCGTCTGAGGTGCAGTATCGATCTTGGGGTGCGTGGATGTTTGGCTGGACGTCAAAGCTCGCGACACCGTCTTCGGGTGAGGAATCAGCTCGAGCCGCTCACCGCATAATTCCTGAAGTCGAGCTCCGGGAACTCTTCAAGATACTTGAAGAACCTTGTCGGCGGTCAAAAAAGCGAACGTATAAAAATCGTGACGCTCGCGGACAATGTGATGTCTCTCTCGGTGAGTCTCAAACGGAACTCGCCGAAGTATATCGAATAACGGTGACGTTGCAATGGGGATCGGTTACACTAGCTAGTGATCCGGAAATGAGCCAGACGTTACTTCGAGATGATGTGAGCTATGGGCAAAAGTACGCGCCGACAGATTTTCTTCTTGGTACTTTTTCGCAGCTCCAAATAGCTGCCGTGGCGAGATGTGAAACAGTGGTAGTGGACATTTCATTGCAGTCCATTGAAGCGTTTGATGAAAGCGCTGAAAGCTCAGCGTTTTCTCGCCTTCTCAGTCGAAAGCAAAACATTCGATCTGTTGGTGATGGAGACGATGTGAACGTTAGCAAGTTATCCGGTGTCGTGTTTTTGATGAGTTACGAGATGAACCCTGTTAGATCTGGTGCGGATGCTTCCTTGTTTGTTCATATGGAGCCACTGGAAGTTGTATTGTCACCTACAGCACAATGCTGGGGTAGATTGGCACGTTTTATGGATACTCCTGCTGATTTGGGGTTGTGGGAGGAGCTAGAAGTTGCTTCTTTTAACGACATCGTCAATTTAAAAATGCGGACGGAAGCCAAGCTTGGCTATGTGATGGAAAATCGTATCGCACTGGCCGTTGATCTCCGTATCCAAGCACCAGTAATTATCATTCCTCAGAGTGACACTGACTACAACTGTGCGCGACTTGTGATTGATCTTGGACGCATTACTTTTCGAACTGAGCGTCTCAGCCAGATGGATAGTGAAAGTATGAGCACACATTCAAGAAGCGATTTGTCTCGGGGTAGATCGGAACAAGGGACGCTCGCACTACGAAGCCCATCTCATTACCAAGCTGCGCAGCCAAACACATCTTTTGTTCAGCAGTTGTATGATGAAGCCGAGAGGGGAGAGGGAGCGATTCGCTGGAAAGAGGATTTTTACGACAAGTTTAGCCTCTCTGTCGCGAACATACACGTGCTCTTAGTTCCTTATGGAAAGACAACCCAGGTTCAAGACACCAGTGCTGGATATAATGGTATAAACGTCCCTCTCCCACCATACCTCACGGATACGTATAGCGAAGAGTATGAGCTGATTGAACGTCTTAACATCAACGTGATCGTTCGCATGTCCATTTTGCCACTCGACGCTACGTTGACACGATTTTACATCCACGCCGACCTCCCAGCATTTACGGTCAAGTTGTCGCTGGAGAAGTATCACCACTTGATGGCAATGGGGGACCGTTTTAACTTGGCGGATGCTGAGACACGAAGGAAACCGCGCAAATACTCGGATGATGGACTGCATTTGACAGAGGACGTGTTTGGAAGCTATGCTGTGGACGTAGCTGAATCAGGTGACAGAAGCGATGCTTTGACGACGGAAAGTGTGCGCAGTGCATCGGCATTCAAGAAACTAGTGCTTGATAGCGGTGGTACTTCAGCATCGGAAACGGGTGTGCTCCCAGATAATCTTGGCGACTTCGGCGACAATTCGAGTGTTGAAAGTGATGACACGTGGTTTAGTTTCACCAGTGGCAACATGGGTACGACGAGTGCGTCATCAGTGAGCGGGGATGCTGGTGAGCGGAAGCAGAGTTTTCCTGTTACTGATTCTTCGGATACAGTTGAGGTAGATGACAAGAAGAATGTCAACGGGTCCCCACGAGTTCAAAGACGAGCACGAACGAGACGGCGGTCGTATGCTGGTGGCGAAACCGCGAATCTCCTGGATCGGAGATTAGTGGTTTGCTCTTTTACGGTACCCCTTATATCGGTGCAGCTAAAGAAGCCTCGCTCCTCTGCCATATCTTCCTATGCTTCATACTGCTACGACGTGGGTGATTTCGATGATGGCCATGTGGACAGTGGTACCATATTGATGAAGCTGCACGATTTTCGAGTCCGGGTAGGGCAGCGAACAATGTCGACTCGAGTGAACGTGGGTCTCACTTCTTTTGAAGTCGTAGAGTCTATTGACGGTCGGTCAACGCAGTATTTGCTGTTCTCGAGTCCAACAATTGCGGCTCCGTTCTCGGCCGCAGCTCCGTTACGCCGTGGCGGAAACTTTTCTGAATTCTCTGCCCAACATCGACGACGCAATCTAAAACGGGAACGAGTGATTTCTTTTCACAATAGTAGTGCGAAAAACAAAGACGCATCGCGGTCAGAGACCTTCGCATCACCAGAAACATTGCTGGAGCTTGGCTTTAGTACCTACAATGATCAGCAAAGTGGTGAGGAGGTGTTGAGAGAGGTAGACCTTCAACTTGGCTCGGTGCAGCTAAACTTTGATCAGTCATATGTCTGCTCGTTGTTTCAACTGTTTGACGATCCAGCTACTCGACTTGCCATGGTGCATGTTCCTCCGCGTGGTGATACTGGCAGCATTGATGGTACGGAAATCAATACAGACGGTTGCTTACTTCCGCCTCTTGAGCTTTCACCCACTATTGCGCAGGAATATTCGGTACCAGTAAATCTTACAGAGTCTGTTCGGGCGGATTTGGAGCAAGCAAGGAAAACGCTATGCCAAGAAGGACGTGATGCGAAAAAGACAGCTATGGATAGAGAGAGTGAACATGTCCCTGTGGCGCTGAAGCTGAGTGTGCAATTACACTCGATTTCTGTCTGTTTCTCGGATCGTGGCGAGTCAGTAGCATCCATTGCAGTTCTTGACACTGCTGTGCAGGTGGGGACAGGAGTAAAAGACCACATAAGTATATCTGGTACAGTGGGTGATGTGAAGGTATTCGACTTGCTTTCAATGAAACGCCAAGAAGATGGAACTGCCGTCGGTAATCCTGAGCACGGGTTCGGATCCTCGGCTATGGATCATGTTGAGATCTTTGGCTTAGACACAACAGCTGCGTGTGCGGCTAACGAAACTCGGCACATATTGAGCATCAAGTGCTTGATCTGTACCGAAATGAAAGGAAAGTCAAAGGCCATCGCGAACAATGATGAGCAAGTACACAGAAAGGATAAGGAGTCAAGTCTTGAAGTGACAGTGCAGCCTGTTCGTCTGCTTGCTCGGCCAGAGTTCGTCGAGAGTTTGTCGAATTATGTCGTAGACGGATGTCTTTTAGCCCACGTTCACTCCGACAGCGTACATTCGAGCGAAGACTCGTTCACCTCGGAATTCCAGCTAGCTCCACGATCGCCTCCGGATGTAGACTGTCCACCGAGTAGTTTGACTCCATTTTTCGATGCAATCGAGACATCAAACAGGCAAACTAGGCAATTTAGTGCTGAAACGCCAAACATTCTTACTCCCACGCACGAAGATCATGGAGACTATCGCACTTCCAATCAAGGACAGCAAAGCAACCACGGCAATCGTTTTGATGCGGAAAACGATGCAGCCGCCATCCTCGCGTATATCTACGACAGTTTTGATCTAGATATCCAGCTATGCCATCCATGTGTTGTTTTACCAACAGCTTCGTTTAACGACACGCAAGCGTCACTGGGGCCGCATCTGTACCGAGGGATTGAAGTCGACTTTGGTACAATATCAATCGCGTTGCAGCGAGACGTTTCTGATGGTGTGCTGGACAGGTCTGGATGCACACGGTTGCAAGCTAGCATGACCGTTGACGGCTTGCAGGTCATTTCCCAGCCGGATCGAGCTGTCATCCTGAACCGATCAGGCTTCCAGGTGCGAGGAAGTATTCCCAGGCAACCGACGGACCTGGGCACCGGAAACGATGACAAAGAAAGCGCTTCGATAGAGATTGCTATTGATGTGAACGTTTCTCCTGTGCGTGTGAACGTCAGTGAAGCATGCATTTGTTTGGGCTTGGATGTATTCTACGCAGCCATCGATCCGATTTCGCGTACAGTCCGACGAGTGGTATACCGCATCGAAAATTATGAGAGTGCGTCAGTTATATCTGGTGGGCAAGATGGACACGACGGCGGCTTCAGATACGTCGTTCCTGGGCCGAATCTTGATATGGTGAGGGAATGGCACTTTTTATTCCACGTCTTCTTGCAGGAGTTTACGATCGCGCTCGTTTCGAACTCCGTGGCTCCACACCAGCTTGAAATGTGGATGAAAGGTGTCGACAACGCTTTTGATGAAGCATCGTCGCGAGAAAGCTGTGATGGGGCTTCGTCCGCAACTCAGTGGCAACCTCGTCCTGAGAACATCACGGGACGACGAATAAATTCTGCGAACGAGATTTCGTCTTGCGTTGTTAGTGAGTTCACCTTGATGATGTTGGAGGCAAATGTGGCTGTGAATACGAAGAGTGCTCGATCGAGCGATAGCCAGCTGCAATGTGAGTTTATCTTGCATGAAGTTGTGATTCGGGACAAAATTGCGGATTCTTCGGTGCGTGCGAATGTTGCGTTGTTGATGTCGACTCGTTTGACGTGTTAAGCTGATGTTGACGCTACCTTCTTCGTAGGAACATTTCACGCAACTACTAGGACCGGTTCCAGAAGCACTTCCGGAGTGCACGGAACCATATGTTTCTGACTTATCTTCCAAAATTGCTCTATTTCCGTTTTCGCCTGGAAAAAAGATACTACCTCCGTTACCACGAGACTCATCGCCACATTCGTCAGGACCGGCCGTACCATCTTCGCAGCTGAGCGGAAGGTTGACAAGCAAAATTGTCAATGTGGACGAATCTGCTATTAGGGCAAGCTCGCTCTATCTCGATGTATCTTCCGCTCGCCTGATGCTACTACCACGGACTATTCTGCAAGTAGAGCAGTTTTCCCTTGATGTGTATTTGGCGGTTAGCATGAAGACGGGTGAGCTGGAGCTTCAGCGAGATAAGTCAATGGCCGCCAAATCTCGTGGAGTGAAGGACTCCTCGTTTGTTGATGCAGGGACTAGTCTCAGCAACAATACACCTTCTTCTTTCCGACCACGAAACGATAGTAAATCCGAGCCATTCGAAGACGCTCATAGTGCAGTTCGATCGGCATTCGCGTCTCCGTTACAGCGTATGCTGGGCTCCACCGGCGCCGCAGAGAGTCGAAATCCCGGAAGCTTTGCGTCTCGTGCAATTGCAGAAAAGAGCGGAACCATGATGTCGGTCGGTGATGATAATCTCGTAAACATGACCAATATCGGTGTAGCGAGAAAAGTGCTGACGATGCCTCGGTGGAAGGTTGATGCTCGCTTCTCGAATTTGCAAATGTGGGTGGTCCCGTCTGATTACAAGAACGACGTGACAGGTTGCGTGTTGTCATGCCAAGTTGTCGTGAAATTTGACAGTGCATCCAGTGGGCCCGAAGAATCTGCTTCTTCTCGTTGTAATGATCTTGTGGCTGCATCGGTTCGGTTGAATAACGTGGAAATGTCGATGGGCTTGCCGACGGTCATCGGTACGGAGCGACAAAGGCCAATGCATCATACGGGGACGCTTGTTGAAAAGTTTGAAGTCGACGTCCAATTTGCGCTGCGCCAGTGCTTTCGACCTGTGCAGGAAGACGAAACTGCTGATCCCGAAGGCGTTGATGAAAAGAGCGACGGCAAGAGTGATACGAGTACGACTGTCGAGGACAATGTCAAGAGTAACGATGGAAAAGCCAGACTAGGGCCATGGTTCAATATTCGTTCTATCAGGAAAGATGACAACCCAACGCCTCCGCCCACACCCTTTCTTCGCGATGTACCGTCTGAGTGGCAGGAATGGGTTGTCAGTGAACCATTGGTATGCATTGATCAAATTGTATCGCATGTCACCTACCGAGACTTGCCGCTGTTGTTGAACATTGCTGCATGGTTGACCAACATGCTTGCTATCGAGGAGCGAATTCGCGATACGTTTGATACAAAGCTGAGAGCAGCGACAGATGGTATCGACTGGGTAACTTCACCGAGTACCGCAGAACACCATTCAGAGTATGTTGATTACCCTGAAACAGACGGCGAAAGTGATCATGCTGAACAAGCTGAACTGTCAGCTCTTCAGCTGGACGTTCTGACACGCGCGTCGATCAAAGTGCGAGGAGTCCAGTTTCAGCTGATCAACAACATTGCAGATCAGGCTTCACCTGTCGTGGAGTTTGATCTGAAACCGATCGAAATGCTGCTACGCTCAGAGTCAAACTCAACGACAGAGGTTTCGATAAGCTGTAGGATCGAAGCGAAGTATCAGAACTTGCGTCTTGTGACGATGGAACCACTTATTGAACCATGGAGCGCTGAGGTTACGCTGTGCCAACAGCTCTCACGATCGCGTGATCTGGACGACAGAGAGCAGCTAGCGTCATCACCTTGGAAACTGGATATCACGTCCGATGCTTTTCTCCAGCTCAATTTGACGGATGCATTGATTGCGAACCTGGTGGCTGCAGACCGAGCTTGGCGGTGGGTTGCCAAGCCCGGGAAAGATTCACGCGAGATGACGGAGTATTCCACATACTGGATCCGCAATAACACTGGAATGCCATTACGATACTGGGGACAATCTTGCTGCGAACACTCCCTCGCTGCCGGCGAAGAAGAGCCTCTTCGACTTGATGAAGAACAGAGCAAAGGTAACGGTGGGAAGCGTCGTAGGGGAGGCCGGTGCAACGGCCAAGGGCACGACCGCCAAATCTTTATTGCTGTCGAAGAGGAATTCTTGGATGGTAGTCTATTAGGCATTCCTAGACAATGGAAAAGCGAAGCATCTATTCCAGTTGACCAAGTCGATTCTCGCATGTATGCCCTAGTGGATTCCGAAGCAGGTATCACGGCCACTAGCATGAGAAAGTGCGAATGCGTAATTGACGTGCTTGTCGAGCGCGGATGTAAGTATTTCGTAGTACGCTCGACCTTGATTCTGGAGAATCAAACTTCATCCGACCTAGAAGTTGAGTTTGTACTTCCCGAAAGGCATGCGTCACCACCATCATCGAGCACAGACAAGGCCTTGCAAGGACACACGATGCCCATTTGGAATAAGGTCGTCAAAGCGTCTTCTGCCGTTCCAGTTCCGGTGCACATCGTTTCATCTGGTGGAGGCTACTTGATGGTGCGCCCTCCAGCGATCATTGGTGCTAATGCTGGGGAGGATGTGCTTCCGAGAGCATACGCCAAAGAGCGGGTACATCTTCCTGTCTTTGATACAAGCATCCCTTCTGCCGATGAAGATATACGTCATGTGAATACGAATGAGCCCGGACAGTCCCAGTGCACGATCAAATTCCAACGATTGTACAGTGATCGGCCAGTACGTCCATTCATGATGAACGCATGTCTATCGAGTGCGAGTAGTGTACTGTATTACCGCACGCTCTCGTTTCACCCACCGCTGATCGTGCATAACCTTACTGCTGGACCACTTGACTTTTGCTTGGCGACTCCGAGCGATTGGTTGCCTGCAGCTAAACAAGTGATAGCACCAAACACTGCGGTGAATGCAAGCTGGGAAAGTTGTGAGCAACGTTTGTGCGAACGAGATACGATTGATGTCGCTGACTCACTTCTATGGCATTTGTCAAGCGAGGAGACTCCTCTAGTGCTCAGCATCCGAATGAAAGGGTTTGACTGGAGCGAGCCGCTTGAGCTCGATGAAGAACTAGATGACCTTGTGCGAATGAAGATGAAAGATATTGTGAGCGATGCACTCCTCTACGTTACTATCGAGAATCGAAGAAGTAGGGGTCACTGCCGTGAATTGTTTCTTTACGTGCCGTACTGGATTGTAAACCTGACGAATTTGAAACTTGAGTTTGAATACGAGAAAGAGCGAATGGGGCGCGAACACAGGACCACGTAAGTTTGTTACGGAACGAAAGTTGCGACATTGGGAGTTTGTAGGAGGACTGACTGTAATTCGTTTTGTTGTTGTCAATGTCTAGACTGCTGGCAGGGCAAACACGGCTGGACCGTGATGAGCTTCTGTTGAAAGAAACCCAGAGGTCCAAGACTCCGCGGCAAGGTCACAATGCTCATCTACTGTATCCTGTTCTGGCTGGGGAATCCAAATGTGCGGATGAATCTGAGGACCTTGGACAGCAGCACAGCTCGACCAATTACAGAGCACCTCCTTTTTTGCGTGGCAGTGAGCGCAAAAGGCGCCGCCCTCGACTTCTTCCGAGTGTTTTACCAGTAAAAGGCTTGTTGGACTTACTCCCAACGACAAACAAGTATGACTTACGCGATACTGGACACGTGGAAGTTTTGCAAGCTTGCCATTCTAACTACCGAAAAGACCGAGGTTGTGTTCGTCTCCGAGTTAGCAACGAAAGTGTTACAGCTGGCCTGGATACCAGAAAGGAGCATGGACACCGTAAATGGTCCGACTATTTCGTCTTGGAATTGGCCGGAACAATAGGCGAGATTGAAGCTGATGACTATGAAGCGAACCAGAAATTTAGTATCGGGTATTCGATTAGTCAGGCCGAAGGCCAATACTCACGAACGAAGGTAATCATGCTGACGCCACGGTTTATGCTCATCAACACACTGGACATTGCCATCGAGGTGTGCCATTCTTCGTCCAAGACGATGACGCCAACTATGACTGACATGGCTGACGGTAGTGGATCTTCGCACAACTCGCGGGTGGCGTCTTCCATGACTCCCGTCATCCAGCTAGATGCCGGAGCATATGCCCATTTCCACTGGACTCTTCGATTCGCTAAGACACGTACGATACGGTGCCGTTTTGTCGATGATGGATGGTCATGGAGTGGGGCCGTGCCTTTGGTCGAGTCTGGCGAATACGCTGTTCGTATGCGTCACGAATCTTTGCGGGACAGCAAGCTCGTACGTGTGACACTAAAGATGGACTCGTCGTGTGTTTGCGTGTACTTTCGAGAAGAACTGACGACTGCACCGCCATTTCGTGTCGAGAATTACTCATTGGAAACGCTTCGAACGCACCAACACCGCGTGCGCCGCAGCGAAATCTTATTACCGCACCACAGTCTGGACTATGCATGGGATGAACCCACCGAGGAACGCTTGCTTGTCGTAGACATGCTCCCCTCGGCGGCTGGCGACAATAGTCGTCCACTGCGCATCGGAAGTTTCGACTTGGATAAAATCCAGCGGTATCCGGATTCGCTCGGCGGTACTTTGGGAATCGAAGTCTCTACGGACGGCCCCACCCGCGTGCTGCGGTTTACGGACACGCGTCTGCGTGGTGAAAAGACCTTGGCAATGCGATCTCATAATGCAAACGATTTGGCAACACGGACTGATGCAAGTGGGACAACCGGTATGGAGTTTCTTAGACGCTTTGTGACTGCACCAATGGTGCATGTCGTATTGCACCTCCAAGGTGTGGGTATATCAATTGTTGACAGCGCACCCAAGGAACTGATATACATGTCAATCTCAGGCATCACATTGAATGTTCTTGTCAGCGAGAATGATCGGGCCGACGGGAGTGCTGCGGTTGCCGGGAACGGAGCGTCGTTGTCGCGGCTTCAGAGAGAGACACGACCGCGGATCCTAGCTTGCTGTTTTGAAGTGAGCGATGTACAAGTTGACAACCAATTGCAAATGACGCCGCATCCTGTACTGCTGCGCTTTTCCCACGTGAACGGCAGATCACGACGGATTAACGGGCAAGGAACAAATATCCCCGCGCTACAGATAAGTCTCGTAAAGCACGACGAGTACGCTGGTATCGAGTTCATTCGGCATTTGAGTGTCAAAGCTCTGCCAGTGCACATCCGGGTGGACGGTGCTTTGCTCTATCGAATACTCCCTCTTCTGGTCCACGCCAAAGTTCTCGGCAGCAATGGAAATGCTGGAACAGCGATTAAAAGGCAAGCTGGTGTTGTGAATTATGGGGAAAGTAAGAGCGGTGAAAGGATCCGGGCTGTACATAGTCGCTTGTTGCTTCGAGACTTAAATGCTAGCCTGGAAGTTCCGGTTAAGGTGCTCGAGGCAGCCCAGAACGACGGCGTGGTATCTGCAGAGTCGAACACCCGATCAACAGCATCCGCAACAAAAGCACTCGCACGGAGAAACAGCGTCCGGCGACAGCAGCTCCTAAGCCCACGTCACAAGCACCACACCACACCAGCCGCAGAAGTTCATCGCTACTCGGCATTCAAACATGGCAGCCTGAGTGCTATTGCTACGAATGATGAGCAAAAGAAGCTGTACTTCGAGGAGTTCCACATCGATCCCATCCACGCTATGGTCAGCTTTTCGTTTGGTGACAGTGCAGGCGCCATTGTGGACGGCAACTTGTCTCCACTGCCGTATGCAGCCGCATCGACGGATCCGTCATCGGCGAGAGAGTCATCTGTCGTCACAGTTGGCCCTCTGCGGCTTATCCTGAGTGCTATTGGTACTAGTTTGACTAAGGTAGCGAATGCTCCGTTCCGACTCAAGGCGCTGCACATCCGTAATTCGTTTGTACAGCCCGACGCATTGGCAACGCGGCTGGCGTCACACTATCAGAGCGAGGCGCTCCGACAGGCTTACGTTATTCTTGGAAGTGTCGACGTGCTGGGCAACCCGATGATTGCGTGGAAAAACCTTCGTGGCGGTTTCCGGGAATTCATTTCCGAGCCAGCGCACGGGCTCTCACAGCGAAGTCCACAAGCTTTTGCTTTCGGTGTGTGGCGCGGATCGCTGTCGCTCGTGCGGACTTCAGTGTATACCTTCTTGGACTTCCATACGCGCATTCTCAAGGCTTTTTCTCTCGGCCTTTCTGAGGCTTGTTTGAAGTTGGATGATTACACAGGCTACCCCGCTACGCGCCATATTTTCCAGGGTCTCGTGCAAGGTGTTTCGGGTATGGTGGTGGCTCCGATTCACTCGTTCGAAGAAAATGGTGCACAAGGTATTCTGCCTGGGTTAGTGGCGGGTGTGTTCGGAGTCGTGCTCAAACCATTGCTAGGCATCTCTTTGGCTGTATCAACGACTGCTGCTACCCTTCGTGATGCTGTTGACCCCAACATCAAGGCAGTGCTTGTACACGTACGGCCGCCACGCCACATCGATCTTCGGACAAAGAAACTCAAGGTCTACTCGTACGTGGAATCGCTGGGTGAAGAGATTGTGGGCAAGATCCGCGGTGGCCGCTACCGTGGTGATGGGTACCTGGGCCACGTCGACTTGAAAGCTACTCACCAATCCGTCTTGGTCACCCGCAAGCGTGTTTTGTTTCTAACTGTGAAAGATGCAGCCTCGACGCAAACTGCCAAGTATGATGTCGTCTGGGAATTGCTTGCCGAGGAGATCGTGATGGTGGATTGCTCCAGGACGTCAAATGAGCAGGCAGTCAAGATCTATTACATGGAAGATGAGTTCCGCGCGGCTGGTGGTGCTGGTCTCAATTCCCGTGGTGCGACTGGGTCTACTGCAGTCACATCGAACCGCCAACGAACGCTACGTGTGTCGCGCGGCATGTTTTTGCAGAAGCACGAGGTGGCCCTACCAGAAACAAAAGTACTGTTCTTCCGTGCCATGCTACAGCAGCAGGAGCGTTCTTTGCTCACCAAGATGAACAGCAGCGACACAGAGGACCGCTCCTTGCATCACTCTGTCCCTATGCCGCCTTTGACAAGATCAAGCTCGATGGAGTTAGGTCCAACTTGGCAGGCTCAGTACTCGTGCATGCCGCCGCAGTACCCCATCTTTCGACTGCCACGGACACTGCACCAGAGTCGCAGTTCTGCAAACCTTGCGCAGGCGCTACACGCGCACAACAACTACAGCCAGCAGCGAACCCCTACGCGAACGAAGGGTGGTTTGCATGCAACCAAGACGTAAACACGCGTTTCGTTTGATCAACCGTGTATTCTGGCTTCGTGATAGGTACCTGGTCCCAACGCTTCATCGACCGCTCCTACCGATCTTTCGCCTTTGTACTGGCCTTCCACATACCGCCATAGATACTGCCGGGTCGAGCCAGTAGCTCTTCGTGCGTCCCAAGCTCGGCAATGCCGCCATCACGCATGACAACGATCTGATGTGCGTGGCAAATCTACAGTACACACACGTAGGACGAACATTAATGGTGAGCGCGTGACCTACAGCCAAACTACCGTCAGACACGGTTGAGACTTACAGTAGACAAACGATGTGCGATAACAAGCATCGTGCGGTTAGCCTTGAGACGATTTAGCGCAGCTTGGATTTCTTGCTCGGTCACCGTGTCGAGCGCTGACGTGGCCTCGTCCAGGATGACGAAAGGCGGGTCCTTCAGCAACGTGCGCGCAATGGCGACACGCTGTTTCTCACCACCCGAGAGCTTTAGTCCACGCTCCCCTACTTTTGTATTCCACTGATCCGGAAGCTTCATGATAAAGTCGTAGATGCGGGCAGCCTTCGCTGCTTCGACGACCTGGTCGAACGTTGCGTTGAGGTTGCCATACTTGATGTTGCAGAGAATCGTGTCGTTGAACAAGACCGTGTCTTGAGGTACGATGCCAATTGCTTGTCGCAGTGACTGCTGAGTGACTGTGCGAATGTCCTTGTGGTTGATCACGATTTTACCAGAGTCGCAGTCGTAGAAACGGAACAGTAGCCGTGAGATCGTGGTTTTTCCAGCCCCTGTCTCGCCAACAAGTGCAGTCGTTGTGCCACGTGGGATGGTGAAGCTCAAGTCCTTGAGACCAGTAGTAGCCGGCTGGGACGGGTAGTGGAAATGCACCTGGCAAAACGACACGTCAATGCCGACCTCCGAATCGTGTTTGGACACGCCGAGCTGCACCGCATCAGGCGAGTCCAACACGTCGGGCTCTACTGACAGCAGTTCACTCAGCTTCTTGATGTCAACGATCGAGTTTATCACCATGTTGTAGATTCCACCCAGGAAAAACAACGGTGCAAACAGGTTGGTCAGATACACCGAGATGGCAACAAAAGCACCAATGTCAATCTTGCGCCCGCTGTCCTCGCTTACTACGTGCGGAGCTGCCAGCGTAAGTGCTGCCAGGACCGTAGCCTGAATGATGATAGCCTGGGTACCGTTGAGAACACTCAACGATGCCTGCGTAGACAGCGAGTACCGCTGGTACTTGGCGATCACTTTGGAATATTCCTGGACTTCATGCAGTTCGTTGCCAAAATACTTGATCGTCTCATAGTTCAGCAACGCATCAGTCGCCTTGTCGTGGTACTCATTGTCGTGGCGCATCGAAGCCTCGCGATACTTCTTTCGCCAAAGCGTAATTTTAATCGTGAGGTAGGCGTACACGACCAAACTAGAGAACGCCACAAAGCTCAGCCCCGCCAGCTCGAAATGCATTGCAAAGATCACAATCACCACCACAGATTCGGCCAAGGTCGGGATCAGGTACAAGAACACATACGACACGACGCTATTAGCGGATTCCACACCGCGATCCATCGAGCGCAGCACGTCACCTAATTTCTTCTGCACGTGCCAATCGTACGACAGTGACTGCACATGCGCGTACGTCAGCGTCGCCAACTCAATGTACGCCGTCTGTTTCACTTTAAGATAGATCAGCGATTGCATCTCTTTAAACAGCTTTGACACGAGCATCAGAGCACTGAAAAGCGCAATCGACGACGTCGCGCGGCCAACATCTTTCGCGACGAGCGCATTCGTTGCTTCCGCCATCGACAATGGTGCTGCCAAATTGGCCAATTTACTCAGAATCAGCACAACGTACGTACTCGCTGCACGCAGTTTGTTCGTTGCTCCACGCGGCCAAAAGTACGGCTTCAAGATCGATACAAATTTCACGAACGAGATGCCGCGCGGTGGCGCCTGTTCACCTGTGCTCGTGCCTTCGTCCACGCGCGGCAACGTGTCGCTCTCGCGCTGGACAGGAGCCTGCACCGAGTCCAGCAAGTAATTCAGATTGACCGCTTCCAGCACTGTGAAAATCAACGGCAACGAGTTGGCCACGTTTGCGTCCACGAGCGTCTGCGTCGCGTCCCCAGGACTTTTGTCCATTGCGTCCAACGCAAACGCGTTCACGGCCAAGAGCGCCAAAAAGGCGAGACAGAAGAGGTACACGGTCCACGTGACAGCCCGTGCATCGGGCCAGCGCATTGCGAGCAAACACAAGAGACTCTTGAGCGCTGTGGCCCAGACAGGAAGTCCCCAGAAGCGCCACGCGAGGCGGTGTGTGTCCAGCAGCCACTGCAGTCGCACAAAAGTTGACACACCTAAACTCCGCGCACAGACCACAACGAGAGCGGTCAAGTCGCCGACCAGCAAAAGCAGTAAACTAAACTGGAAACACGACATAGCGCGCGGCTCCGATGCTTTGCGTCGCGGCCGCACGCGCGAGTCACGACCGCCGTCTGCATCTGGCCGAGCGTCTGTTTGGTCCACTGACAGCCAATGGGAAGCGCGACGGTCGGTGGCCGGTGGTGGCACTAGCGGTGTGGCTTCTGATACCGACTGCTGCGTCATGCGGAGCCAATGAAATTGTCGCTGGAGCTCCTGAGCGTTTGGTAGTCGATTCGAAAGTGAGCGTGTGTGACGGGGCGTGGGAAAGCGCGCAGTGTGATTGGACGAAAACGAGCGTGAGTGGGACAAACACTGCGAGGCCGACGGGACCGCGCAATAAGGACTCCCTCTGATTAGTTGGCCTCTCCCGCCCGATAAGGACGTACAGTAACGAGGTGTTAGTCCACGGGGTGTATACTGATAATTGCTTGACGGCTGCGAAGCGATCGGTCGGTTCGTGTCGGCCGAATGCGCGACGCGCGTTGTCGATTGAGCGCTTTTTTCTTCGTGTTCAGTTGACTCGTTGTAGCTTTGTGTAGGCTTTACGTGTCTGTCGTCATGGATTGTTTGTTGGGTGTTTTAAGGGAAGGAACACCTGTTGGAATCACACGTCGGGGACGAAGTTGATGCTACGTGGGTTGAGAGTACCCAGTTGAAAGAGGTATAAGGAGCACAACAAGCAGTTGAGTGGCTTTGTTGGATTACATCGGGCAGGGAGCAGGTACCACGCCGGACATTGATCCTTTTGGTCGTTGTATAACCTTCTGCGATAGATACTTCCTTCCGAATTGATCCATTGCCTCTCTTGTCCGCTCTGTCTTTCAGTCCTCTTCCAGCATCGCATTGTCGATCAGCTCTGGCTGAGCGCTCTTTGCAACGAGCAACGTGTGGTTGAAGCTGTTGGCAATGGCCAGGGCAACATTTCGGTTTTAGTAGCTACCGACCAGCGCATGGCATTCCGTTGGCCGACTTTACAGACCGTATTGACCTCTCCACGCTTGTCACAATCGATCTCATTCTGCAGACGATAGTAACGGTAGCACTGCTGCAATGACGCGATGTTGCCGGCACCCCGGCGGGATGTATCTTGGCCGTCTTTTTGGCAAAAGAGGCTGAACCCTGACGTATACATGCTTCAGGTCATCCATAACGACGCTTGATGGAGCGATGTCAATCATAATAAGATGCTATCGGCTGACTGCATAGCTACAGCTCGCAGAGAAATTTACCCACATAAAATAGAGCTCGGGCGTTTACCACACCATTGTAAACGCGTCGAACCTGTTTAGAAGACTGTAGTTACAGTACATCGTTGTAGGACTGATTCGAAACCTTTTGGTCGGGTTTCTCTCTCGTAGTCTCCTGAACTCGTTGTTAGCTTGTTGAAAGCGGAGATGGCGTTCCTTTTGCTTTCTCTGGTCCGAGGTTTGACCAACGTAAGTTGTTCAGCTTTTTGCATGAATGCATATTGCACAATCATCCGGGAAGCTGCTTCTCCGTGAATTTGTTCTCTCCGCGGGGTTATTCAAACCTCCGTTTGCTCTTCGCATGATTAATTGGAGGGAACAACGGACATTGGGATAGTTATGCTCCAAGCTAACATCGCGGTCACACTACGTGTACTGACTTAAATTAAACGCAACACGTGATCCGCGCTCCCGTCTCTTCTCTCTCTCTGTCTCGTGCTCTGCATGTGAAGTTCGCAAAGCTGCCGCATACGACGAGTCGGTCTCACGTCGTTTCCAAACCTTGACATTCAGACGGTCAGGTCGTCAATTTCTGACAAACTGCAGCGCTGGAAACGCAGCGAGTCCCAATCTTGGCCATTCATCGATGAAAACGGAGACGTTCCTGCTGCTGCTGATGTCTGCATGCCCAGTGATTCATTGCTGGAAGGACTTGCCATGTTGGACGATTCTGCGAGCAAATGAGGTGGAAGCAGCGCACCAGGACGGGCATCATTCACTTCGAGATTGTGCTGCGGATGCCGCCTCACAAGCTTATCCAGAGTCTGCCGCATCAGACGAACTGCAGCTTCTTTCGTATGGTCACTTGATCTTCGCTCTTGCAGTATGCGCAACACGTTTTCATGACTCTGGATTGAGATCAGCAATGCCTCGGAGAACGATGCAATGTCGATATCTCGTAAGTCCAAGTCGTTCATAGGTGTCGCCACAAACTTTGCCAGATAAACGTCATGCAGAACGAGTACACTTGAAAGCTCTGGGTACTGGTACCGGAACGAGTCGGCGGCTATCAAGTGTTCAGGGTTCCAGCGTGGCCACGTCTTTGTCGCAGCTGCAGCTTGTACCTTTGCGAGCTCAGTTGTGATGCACTTTTGCAACCGTTGCCTCATACTTACGGTCCAGATGAGCGTTGCCGTGTCAATGTCTTCAGCAGTTTGCATCGCCAGGACAAATCGATCAGGGGATGAACGCAGCACCTACACGTCAACAGCAGAAGAATGGTACGTCAGTATTCGTCAACGAAGGAGCGGTGAAACAAGATGCCGGACAATCGCACTCGGACAAAGCTCGGTGTCAGCAGCTGATGCAGCAATTGGGTTGCCAATCCTGGCGCGGAGGCGCCTTTCGGTTCGAGACACGCACGCAAGACCAATGCAGCGCTTCGTATTGCACCAAAGAATCGTGACGTGGTCCGCTGCGTCTCTCCTGCCGAGCTGCCGATCTTGTTGCGTTGGTGGCCAATCTTCTTACGATCATGTGTATGCATATCGGTTGCATGCCCTTCTTCACCGTCATCAGCACACGATGTGTCCGATTCACTCCGTGTGTCTGAGGCCAGCGACTCCGGTGTCAATGCTTCATCAATATCACCGGCCGGGCAAAACGCTACGATATCCAGAAGCGACAGTATGCCACCGGCGTTGACCACTAGTGCACGAAGACCAATAAAACGGCACAATCCACCGAGGCACCTCAGACACAGGCTCGCTGCGTCAATATTTGCGTACTGTACAATCACTTGACGTGACGCGAGCTCGATCAATGCGATCACCACTTCCGGATTCCTCCTTATAGCTCGAACGCCTGCTTCCTCTTGGTTTGCCAGAGTCGATAGCACCTCTGTCAAGCGACGCAAAAGTACGCGCGCCATGTTTTTATTGCCTCGATCGCTCCGCCAATGGGGTCCAGACACTTTCACCATTTGCAGGGCATGCTGGTACGTGGGTCCGCGCATCCGCTCAAGACAATCGGCGAGCACTTGTAGACCCCGCTCTTCAAAAAATAGTCGACACGTGCCGGTATTGAGGCTGTACTTCTCAGGAGTAGACAGAATCGACACAAAAAGCTCCAACGACAAAATCCCGCGCAGCTGGTCTGCTTCACTGAGCATGGACCGGCGCAGCGGGGCCAATAGAGACTCATAGAAATCGCTCTTGATCTTGACTTCAGCACAACAACGGGCTGGAACGAGTCGAGCTAAAGCCTTCAAAATTAGTACTTGTACCTCCCACGGTTCAGCTGCACATGATCTCTCGCTAAGCAAATGCTGTGAACGTGACGTCGAGAGGCTAGCACTTTCAGTTCCGACGTACGCAGCTTCTTTGCGACCGACCACCGCGAGCTCTTCGAATAGCGCGTAAATTGACTCGCTATACACCTCCGGCATCCACTTGCCCAAGAACTCTCCATCGCCTTCAACGTAAGAACGCAAGAAGATATTGCCGATGAAAATATCATCATCTTCGTAGTGGTGATCCGCGTCGGCATCTGCAACAGATTTCCAGCTTGGCGTTGACTCCTGTTCACTGAAGCCCATATACTTGAGTTTCAAATACCGATACAACCGCACGCGTTGCGCAAGACCCCAGTTCACATCCGCCGCGCGTATTTGGGATACGTTGAAAACGTTTGTAAATTTCTCAGAGCTTACCGAAAGCAAAAGCCGTTCCATACCACAACCACCAAATCCAAGTGCATCGCGTAGCAAAGTGCTGAAATCGCTGAAGGAAGTTATCGAATAGGCATCCGTCACCTTGCTGCAGACGCTCAAGGGTTGCGCGCAACACTTCTTTAGAAATGCAGCTGTGGCCACGCACATTCCCATCCCTTTTGGATCACAACTAGCGAGCAAAGCGTACACAAGCGTGAGAGATCTCCAGCTACTGTCCACTGTTGCACTCATACGTGATTCGGCAGACACCGGGCTATACGAAGTTAACGATGAACAACCTGATGTTGCTACAGCTTCAGAAGAAGTGCTGCAGTCATCGTCATTGTTGTCCAGAAGCTCCAATTGCTCCAACAGAAAGAGTACATGAGTGATAGTCACATGGTCCAAAGTCTCCACCGCAATGAGTCGACAGAAGATGATGCGCTTGGGGCGAAGCAGCTGCAATGCGAACTTGTCACGCCTAGTGACCGCAAGCAGAACCGAGATGCCTGCCCGCAACATCCCGTCGCGCTGATTGACTACTGCAACAGCCTCATCTTCCGGTTCTACAAACCGCACAGATGCATCCTGGTCAACTGTGTCGACTGATTCAAGAGGTGTTGACAGCGTTGCTAGAAGTGCGGGATCCGTTAGAACGTCGACAACAGTGCGCGCCACTGTTGTGCCAAGTTGACTCAAGTGTTCCGACAGAACGTTCTGCGAGGTACCGATAGCAGCATGGAGTAGAAGGAAACATTCGCGAACAAATGCGGGCGAGTGGTTCATGTGATCACGCAGTAGCAGGAGTACGTAATGGGTTGGGATCTGCCCATGAAACAACATTGCATAGCGTCGGACAATCAACCGCAAGCACCGAGCACACCAAATTGCTCGTTCTTCATCGTCTTCTACCGCAAGTTGATCAAAAAGATGCCAAGCCAAGATGACGGGCTCAGCAATCTCGTACGCGTTCGTCAAGTCAGCCACATGAGGAATCAAGTACTTCACAAAGTAGTTGTTCACCACAAGCTCTTTATGCATCGAAGCGTAACTCACGTGAAACATCTCGTAGTGCCAGCGCGGTATGCGCTCTCCAGACCGCACGACCTCATTCTCTGTCATGTGTCGCCGGCGACGTTCGAGAGCTTCAATTTCACCTTGCAAAGCTGAATGCAGTTCTGCACGCATAGGGGCACGCCAGACTAATTTCGGACTCTCATGTGTAAGGAGGATAGCCTTCATCATTTTTCGCCAGTGTTCGCCCTTTTCGCGCGCTTCACTGCGCCATCGTTCACAGGCGCCCCCGCCGGAATCTTCTGCGTCACATGCATGCGACGCTAACCGGTTACGTTTAGTTCCAACGCTCTCATCAGCTTCAGAAACGTTGGACTTCGTTGTTAATAGGCGCTTGGGGTGGTCGAAATCAAACGAAAAGTGTGGCAATGCTCGCACACCACTTGCTCCAAGCGTAGCCTTGGCAACGAGTGGCGATGCCATCGTGTGCTGGACTTTAGACTCCACGCGATTCTTTGCCGGCATAAAAAGTCCAACTGGAAGTATGCGGTTCATCGTCTCTGTCGAGCTGCTGTTGCCAGCACAGAATACCGCAACGAGGTCAGCGCACAACTTCTGCAAGTCCGATCCAAGTTCATCGCTATGCGCATCTTCTTCCCTGTGCTCGGTTGTTTTCATCTTTGCATCTTCTTGCACCGCTGTTTCCAGTGCGTACAACAAAGCGCCATATACCCTCGCCGTTTCCTGCAGTCGATGCACCTGATCGAGGTCCGCGATACGAAACAGCCCTTTCACCAATCGAATCGCAAGCGTCGTGACTTCTTGGCCACAACCCTCTCGGCAATGACACAAGTCCAGTAAAGTCACCCGAGCATCCGTCAATGCGTTTACTGCTTGTGTGCACGTCACAGCATCTGTTCTTGCTCGTCTCGACACGAGTGTCACGATAAAAATGTTCAGCACGCTTTGTAGCACTGGTTCAGTTTTGTTCGTCTTCTCCTGCTTCTCGACAGCAGTCCCGTATTGCACCAGCAACGACACCAGCACTTCGTATCCTCCTGACTCAGCAAAATGTCGTCGATTCGCTGCTTCGCTTCGATCTGCGGCTTTATCACCAACGTCAAAGTCCAGACAGGGCGACAGCATCAACTCCAGCGTCTCCAAGCCCGACAAAACACTCGTTCGTGCCGGCCGATGGAGACACGCTAGAAAAGGCTTCAACGAGCACTTGGCGCAGAGTTTGTAGAGCTCTCGCCACCGAATCACGCGCCGGAAGCTCGTGAGGATCAGTGGCGTCATGTCGCGTCTACTGTTGCATGGCATCTGCACCGTTTGCTCTTGCAGTAGCTCGTGCATTACATCAAAAAGACGCCGCTGCTTGACGGCGACACGCACGACATTGGTGAAACTTGCATCGGGCACTTGGAGCTACGAATCAATTGACACACAACACACACGATAGTAATCGGATGAGTCATGCGACAAGCAGTAAGTTCTAACTTTGGTCAACAGTATTGGTGCATGATCGTGGTATGACCGTATGCAGATATGCTCATATCGAGACATAGAGAGTGGTCGTCATATCAACGTATAGAGTGATCGGGATATCAATGCATATCATGAGAGTCGTCGTATCAATGTCTCGAGTACCTCGAGTGGGAAGAGCGCGCAGAACGTGCAGAGGATCTCTTCGAGTTCCGTGTCGCTGACGTTCCGTGGTGCAGTGCGCAGCGAGAGCACGTTGCGTAGAGCGTGTTGCTGCTGCACGGATCCAGCCTGCCCCATCGACAATGAGGACAGCGACGACGACCTCTGTGACGTCTGTAATTGTGTCGATGGGTTTATTTATTCAGTTTGACAGTAAACGTCGCTGCTCGTATCGAAAACGAGAGGGACACAAGCAAACACCTGACAAAAGCCGACGGAAGCAAAAGTATATGTTGCAACAGACAGATTTCAGGTATCAAAAGGTTGGGAGGAGGAGGGGATGTGGTCCTCCTCCCATCTGAAGTCCGTCGTTATGACTATCGGTGTGTCGCGGCGCGAGCAGTCGCCCGTACGGCTTCCTCCCTGTCTTACATACGGCCGCTGCCTTGCAAGTCGCTTTGCTCGACCACGTCCATTTGATCCGGCGTGTCCTCGTTCATCGAAGAAGGAGCTTCGTCGTCGTTCACCATTGTCTTGCTCGGCTTTCGAAGGGCTTTACCGGCACCCGCAACTGGCTCAGCGTCTTCGCCTTCACCGTCCGACAGCAGTCCCTGCTGGTACAACTTGTCCAGGTCCTCTTCGTCCTCTTCCGGTTCCTTCGATCCCTTGACGGGCTCAGCGTCTTCGCTTCCACCGTCCGATAGCAGTCCCTGCTGGTACAACTTGTCCAGGTCCTCCTCGTCCTCTTCCAATTCCTTCGAGCCCATCTCAAACCCGTCGCCCTCACCAAGTGCCTCCTTCTCGCCCGTCGCGGACCCCATCTCGTCGCTCTCGCTAACCGGCCCACCACCTTCAGACATTTGGAGGCCCATAGTTTCCAGCAGTTTTGTCATCTCAGGGTTCTTCCCAGCCGCGCCAAACATGTCCTTCATCAACGCGGCTATGTCGATACTGCTCGAGCCCGATTCGTCGGCCCCTGCAGCCTGTGCCGCAGTTCCAGCTTTGCCGCTCCCGGACGCCGCGGCATCCGCAATCATCTGTGCAATCTCCGAGCCAGGCTCGACCTCGCCGTACTTCTTGCCACGCCCGCCCGCCACAATGCCCTCAATGTAGTCCATCACATACGTCAAGCGGGTAAAGATGCCTGCCTGTTCGCCGCAGCGGCTTCCCCAGCTCACGAACCCAACGATCGTGTCGTCGTTCACGAGCAACGGACCCCCCGAGTCGCCGTTGCACGTGTCGCGGCCACCGCCTGTACCAGCGCAGAGCATACCTTCAGTAACGCGACCGACGTAGCGCTCGAACTTGCCGCACTCGGCGTTCGAGATGATTGGAACCGTCAGCTCGTTCAGACGCGTGCTCATCTTGGCGTTGCTCTCGGGGGTCTTGCCCCAGCCAAACACAGTGGCCATCGTGCCCACTTCATTGTCCGATCCGTCAGCAGCACACATCTTTGCCGTCGGGCGCTTGACGGGCTTCTCGAGCTTGAGCAGACCAATGTCATAGAGATGGGCCGTCTTGTTGTACAGCGGGTGGCGAAAGCCTGCAATGACGTTAAAGTCCACGCCCTCCTGCTCGCCGCGCCTGGCTTCGCCCACGGAGCTGAAATTGGACTCGAACGTGGCGACAGTGGGCAAGAGGCCAATGGTGATGCAGTGGCCGGCCGTGAGGATGTACTGCGGCGCAATGAGCGTCCCGGCGCAGAACGTGCCGCCCGAGACACTGTCACTGAGGCTCGCAATGAACGGGTACTTGGAAATGTCGGCCGCCGACCCGCCGTAGATGCGGTTCTGTTCGTTCAGTGTCGTCGGCCGCGACTTTGCGTCGATACTGTCGGCTTCGGCCTTGTTGTCGAGCGAGAAGTCGTAGCCGAACGTGCCACTGGACCACGTCGCGAGGGCCGTGACGACGCATGCGTTGAGGACCCGAGTGACGCGCATGTAACTCACTCACTCACTCCCTCACTTACTCACTTACTTACTACTTTGGGAGCTCACTGGTACCAACGACCGCCCGAGAGACCGACCGCACACAGAGAGGGTAGGCAACCAAAACGACAGTCAGTCGTTAAAGACGCGAAAAAACAACGCGGGCAATCGATGCGGTTGGCCGGCGTGAAAACTCAAACTGACCCTCGGAAAAGCGGCTCAGGCGTCTCGTCGAGTGGTTTTGTGGCGAACCAGGAGGTTGGGTCGAGCCGGACCCCTTTTGCCAAAGGAGACGTGACGGACATGACCAGGACGGGATCCGCGAACTTCGATGGGACGGGAACAGACGTCGCAAGGGACCTGCGGCCCGAAGAGCTACTGGCCGACCACTAGTGCTCCGGCAGACAAGTGGCGAGGAAAACCAACTGCTCGCGCGTCGCATTGCACGCGGGGCGAAAAAAGCCACAGCGAGCGCCGCACGGGTCGAACGCCAGAGAGCGGCCAAGTGGTGTGCACCGATCGTCGGCGCTGGCGCTTTTTTTGCTGGGCGGACGGACTGATCGGACTGATCGGACTGATCGGACAGCTCGGACTGATCGGACAGCTCGCCGAACGTGTCGATCAGTTCTGGTTGAGGAGGTGCTTCAATGTCCAGTGCGGCGGCCTTTTCGGACCAGAGCCGACGGTCGTCGAGTGAACGCGCCGGCCCAGGTTTGGGACACGTGACAGGAAGAAGCTGGGCTGGATCAAGGGCAACACGTCGCGTCGATCGACCTGATGCGAGGAGTAGGAGGTACGATGGCGGCCTTGACAGCTGCGGGCTGGACGAGGTCCAAGCAGGTGGAAAAGTCCGGTAGGGACGTCTCACTTGTTTGGACTCTATGGTTGCAGATAGCATCACGTGTGAACGTGTGTGTGAATGTCGATAAGCGATGAAGAGGAAGAGACGTAAGCTGCGGGCTTAGTGCTTAGCGGTGTGGCAATGCAGGAGGACGCCGTAGTTGTCGAGATACATTGGAGACTGAGCCCGACAAAACTCGAGTCAGCCAGCGAGTAATCAAACGTTACGCTTCAGTGCAGTTCGCTGGAACTACTCACTCGACTGTTTGTCTCTTCGATACGACGTTGTGGTCGCCGCACGTGCGCAAAGTAGTACGAACTCGACCACTTGTCGTGCGCAACGACACGTTCACAAGGACGAAGACGAACGAGCGCCAGACGTCGCGTATGGAACGAGCATCGCTTTTCCAGGCGAAGAGCACGGCGATGTGTCGACTTTGCGGTGTGGATGCATACTTTTCTGCTGTAGAATCGTCTTGTAGGATGCCGTGTGGGGAAAGGCCTTTGCCTGCTATGCATATTGCGACATCGCTAGAGCTGTCACACGTCCTTGGATACCCTGCAAAGTAGCAACACAGGGACGCGTGCTTTCCCAATGCATTGATGCTTGCGCCACGACGACTCGATCGATCTCGTAGGTGAGTTGTTCGAAGGCCATGTGTCGGTCGTACTCAAGTGCCCGCGAGGTAAGCGCTCGTTACAGACTCGTCCAGCTCCCAGTGCCTCTACTGAAAGTTGCTATGGTGGTGTAGACGGCTCTTGAAGGTGTGTAAACGCTGCACGCGGCCATTGACACGGTAGAAAACATGCAGAGCACCTGCGTGGCGGCCAGCAGCTTGTCGCGCAAACTGTCCAACTGTCCCTTTGGCACTAGTCGCATGCCGAAGCACAACTTTCTGCCCCCTCCCGCGTGTCGTCTACTAGATCGTGTCCATCTCTCTGCTGCCACTGTCGAGGAAAGCAAAGTGAAGCCGACTGCCTGTAAAGCATTGAACGAACGCCAGCGTTTGGACGATACGTTGACATCGAGTGCGACTGTACAGTCGTGTAAGTCAGTAGAGGCGACAGCGGTTCACTTGTTGTCGCCTCCTTATTCGACCGTCCGGACGATACCGCACGGCGGATGTGTAGCTACGAGCGGCGGCAAAAGACGAAGAACGCGTTCGTTTTGCGAGAAACCACTAAGCAGTTCGTGCAAAGGCGTTCGTGTAGTAATTTCCCACGCTTTTACATCACGTTGTGTGCATACCTCGCACTTGCACTCCATTGCACATCCTTCACCACACATGGCAGATCCTATCGATCACAAATAGTTGCGGTGCTCACTGACTGAGCACGTGTTCCACGAAGACGACGCTCGTGCATCGAGTGTTGTCACGAGGCAGATTGTTTATAAAGTTGAATGGTATGTGCCTTGATTGTTCGACAGTACAAGTAGCGCGTGTACGTGCCCCTTCGAGCCATAAACGCAGAGTCGGCAGGTACAGCACTCCAAAGTCGCTGTTGCATCGCTATCGCCAATCTATTCGATTGCGACGTTGGCGATCGCTGTGAATGCGAGCTCAAGAGCTTGCTCGTTCGATCCCAGATGCTGATGCGCCTACTTGGAAACATACAGAGCGATGCTCGTATGAACACATGCTCAGCCATCGGCGCATCTTCTTCAGTTTTGGGACCTTTTACACCGCATGCTGCATCATTCGTGCGCGCCGCTCTTCGCTTTTCAGTCAATTGCGTTCGCGCTTGTGCGAGACGTTTAGTATCACAAGACTCATCGACAAACAAAGCTGCAGAGAAGTCCGGCTTTTACCTTACGCACGGTCACGAACAGCGTTGCGCGTCTGACTCGCAGCTGCAGTGTCGGCCTTATGTACACATAGGTGGCAGTAGTCTTTTCGGATCCGGATGCTTAGCTCGTTGCACAAACCACAGTATCGCTTGCATCGCGTTGCGAGAATCATAACCTAAAAAAGACCTTACGACGCACAGTACTGGCCAACATGCGTGGCAAGAGTTCCTCTGAAGCTTCAGTGGCTCTCCCAATTCGTGCATGGACCTTGTTCATGGAATAGCGAGGCGAGTCGTAGACAATGAGCATTTGCAGTACGAGCAACGAGCATTTGCAGTACGAGCAACGAGCATTTGCAATATGGATCACTTCGTGTTTTTCTTCTTAACAAGCGCACACGAAAGCCGATGCACCCGCAGCTCTCGAACGACTGCAAAGCCGATACAGCTCATTCCACCACTACACAAAAGAGCTCCGTGTGATCAAAAGTACAGACCAGTCCACATTCAGCTGCCACTTCGTGACTGTGCCAGCGTCGTTCGTGGCCGAGCCGTTGCATACCCCTCTTTCTAGCTTGACCCGTCAAACGCAAATGTGAACTCCTTCTCACCAGGGGTCCGTCTAGTAGTTAGGGACCCGGCAGCCGACGCAATCGCATCAATCGACTTGGCACTCATCGTCTTCGGGTGCTTGCTACTGGCCGTCGCAGTGATCTCTAATTCTTTCGTCCTTGACATGTTGTCGACGCTCGATGTCTTGTCCCGACCGCCACTGGCCACGACGTCGTTGATGTAGTCCAAGACAGACGACACGCGAGTGTACACACCAGGTTCCTTGCCGCAGTTGTCGCCTGTCCAGCTCACGAACCCCACAAGGACGTCATCGACAACAAGCGGTCCGCCCGCATCACCCCTGCAGGAGCTCTTGCCTTTGCCTTCGCCAGCACAGAGCATCTCTTTTGTAAGGAGGTCCGTGTACGCCTCGAATCGATTGCACTTTGCCAGCGAAATAATCGGAATGTCCACTTGTTGAAGGGTGAAAACAGCAGAGCTCTCTTCAGTCTGTCCCCAACCGAGCACCGTCGCTACAGTGCCAACTTGTTCGTCCGATCCATCAGCAGCAGGCAACGTCGCCGGTTTCTGCGTCACGGCCGTCTCGAGCTTGAACAGACCCACGTCGTACAGGTGCTTCCTCCTGTTGTACATTGGGTGCTTGAACCCTTTGACAATCCGAACGATCTCGCCGTCCTCTCCGAAACTATACTCCGAGTCAAACGACGCCGTCATGTCTACCTCGTCCGTCTTGATACAATGAGCTGTCGTCACGAGGTACTGGGGCGCGATCAACGTCGCTGCACACACAGTCACGCCATCGATCCGGACACTTGCAACGTACGGGTGGTCCTTGATCTCGGCTTCCTCGCCGCCAAAAATGCGGCTCTCTTCGACGGCCGTCAAGCCGGTGCTCTCCTCAACGGGTCCATCTGCTTCGTCCGTAGCACTCGTGAGCAACAGACTGTCGGCACGTGCAACAAACGTCAACGAGACAAGAGCCACAACCTCCAGACATGTCGTCAGTCGGGTCATTGTCGAGAGGGACAGAGGGACTGAGGGACAGAGGGACTGAGGGACAGAGGGACAGAGGGACAGAGGGACAGAGGGATAGAGGGACAGAGGGATAGAGGGACAGAGGGATAAAGGGACAGAGGGACAGAGGGTCGTTACGTAATGAGCTTTTGGTGAGCGACGCAAAAGTGTCACTAAAGTGGCAGAAGGACCGGCACTGCGATTGGCAGAGGGGTGCAGCGTTTCGTCCAATGACGACGTTCCTTCGAATGGGATCAACAGGGGAACTAAGCTGACGACAGGACGGAAAACAGCTGGGAAGAGAAAACGGGATGGGGGCAGGCGAAAAACGCTCGACGGGACGGTCCAATGGACGAACGTCGGGTTGTTTTGCTTGATACTGTAGCACAGAGAAAACGGGAGGCGACGTGTCGAGGACTCTACTTGGAGACTGTAAGTACTCATACATTACATACGGGCAAATATGCATACGTGCATCCATCGATAGATATACACGCATACATATATTCGCAGCTTGTCCGTACAAAAGCTGCGTACCATCGATCGATCGATCGATCGATCGCGACTTTGTTTGTTGTCCGAACACGCGCGCGACGGTCGTACGTCGTCGGACCTTATTCGACAAAATCGGCGTCATCGTCTTCACTGTCTTCGCCGCTCTTGGTCTTCTCCTTTGTCTCAGACTTGGCTGCCTTCTTTTTCGGAGCTACGGTCTCTTCGTCCTCGCCCTCTTCGCCTTCTTCGTCCTCTTTCTCTGCCCACTTGTCCTTCTTTGCTGCCTTCTTTGTCGACTTTAGAGCTTCGGCCTCTTCCTCCTCCTCCTCTTCGTCCTCTTCGTCCTCTTCCTCTTCACTCTTGAGCTTCTTTGCTGCCTTCTTTGTCGTCTTTGGAGCTACAGCCTCTTCTTCCTCCTCCGCTTCGTCTTCTTCCTCCTCTTCTTCTTGCTCTTCAGACTTGGCCTTTGGCAATGGCTTCTTCAGCTTCTTTGCCGAGACCGCATCGACCTCTTCGTCATCATCGCTCTCGTCAGATGCAGTCTTCTTGGACGACACACTGGACTTCTTCGTGGCCTTGTCGTCCTTTTCGTCTTCGTCATCCTCCACCAGCTTTTCAAGTTCTTCTTCCACCTCCTCTTCTACCAGCTCTTCTTCATACTCCTTGCTTGCCGCAATCTTTTCTTTCGCCTTTCTTTCGTCTCTCTTCGCGACAGCCTTGGCTTGCCTGGCTTTCTGCACTTCTTCTTCATCGCTTTCTTCTAGCCCTTCCTCCAGCGCAGCTTCAGCTGCAGCCTCCCTCTTCTCGGCCGCTTTTTCAGCTACTCGGGCAGCCTCGATATTTTTCTCGACTTTTTCTTTGCTTTCGGTCAGGCGTCGACGACCGCGGCGGACCCTGCAGCCTGATGAAGTAGTGCTCGAGTCGGGCGATGTCGGCTCCTCCAATGAACGAGGCGACGAGTTCTTATCCTTCGAGTTGTCGGTCTGTTTGCCACTGAGAACATCGTTGATGAAGCCCATCACGGACGTCAAGCGCGTGTACACACCCGCGTTGACCCCGCACTTGCCCCCCCAGCTCACGAATCCAATCAACGTCTTGTCGTTAGTGACCAACGGCCCTCCCGAGTCGCCATTGCACGAGTCCTTGCCGCCCCCTTTGCCTGCACACATCATCCCCTCGACGATGCGGTTGTTGTACATCTTGTTGCACTCGGCATTGGAAATGACGGCGACGTTCACTTGCTGGAGCGTCGCGGCCAGCGACCCGTTCTCGACCTTGCCCCATCCAAAAGCCGTCGCCTCTGTGCCAACCTCATTGTCTGCTCCGTCGGCCGCACACATTTTCACCGTCGGCTGCTTTGACGGCTTCTTGAGCTTCAGCAGCCCGACATCGTACAAATGGGCCTTTTCCACGTACAACGGGTGCTGGAACTCTTGGTCGACTTCAATCGTTTCTTGACCGTCGGTCGACCCCGTGCCACGTGCTGTCCCGAGGTGGACAACGACCGTGCCCCCCTTCTTCTTCACGCAGTGACCGGCCGTCAAAACGTACTGCGGGGCGATCAGCGACCCGCCGCAGTGAGTCCTGTCTTTCTCTTTGAACCGGATGCTCGCAATGAACGGGTAGTCCTGGATCTTCGCGTCCGAGCCGCCGTAGATGTGGTTCTCCTCGTTCGTCGAGGGGTTGTCGGCCGTGTCCGGCGGGAGCGCCGACGGACTCATTTGACTCGAAAAGTCGTACCCCGTTGTCCCCCCCCAGGCCGTCGTCCAAGCAAACGCGAGCACCAGTGGCCACTTCATTGTCACCTCCTCGCGCGAAGAGAGAGCAAAGAGGGTCGGAACCGATGGACGGACTGTCGCTCGACCGACAACAAGGAAAAAACTAAAGTGCTAGTGGGACACGTGACGACGATCGGCTCATCGCGCGGCGGCTGTCTGCCGATGGTCAGCTCGCAATGGTGCGACCGAAGCAGCTCTTAGGTACAGTGCACAGCTGTTGGCTGGCGTGTGACCGAGAGCTCTGGTAGCTGCTATTGGGTGGCGCCTCTACAGTCCAGTGCTGAAGGACCCCTCCCTATCCATGGACGCCGGTTGACCAACTAACTGCATCGTGCGGCGACCCGTGACTATGGGTTATACCGGGCTTTGGTGCAGAGACAAAAGGCCGACGATGTAGTGTGATCGCACATCGACGATGCCGGAAGGTATTCATTCTCCTTCGGTCGCTCCAGTCTCTTCACATACTGAGCGAACAAACGGCAACGGAAGAGCGCGACAGGAACACGTTCATATACAGATATACAATGCGTGTATTGACAACCATCGGACAAGGGGATGGAGAGAGCGACGAGAACAAGTTGACCCGATCGAGCTCTCGATCGTTCGACCGCCCCCCCCCCCCACACAGACACACGCACACACACTGAGAAGAAGAAGGAGACGCAAAAGCATGCGGTTTTCTCCTTGGGCATGTGCCTCCTCCGTGCCGTCCACTTTCTCGACGAACGCGACAACACACACGACGTTCAACATACCGTGCGAGTCACAGTGGCACTACGTGCACATGGGCGCCACGTTGGGACTCGACAAAAGCAGCTCAGCTGATCCAGCGGAACTGGGCGTTGGCTCACTTGGCACTGCAAGTGGGACCGCGACAGGTCGCTCCATCTCAATGGCCGCACGAGCGATCGTACCCGTTGACGGCGGACTGGGAGCATTGGCACCTCGCGCAGTTGCGACCTCTCTGGTCGCTGGTGCACTTGGCCTGTGCACGGTCGAAGACCGTCCAGCCGCCGATCCCTTCGGATCCGTTGACGCAACGTCGAGCTCTTTTGCCTCGTCGTGAGCCGCAGAAAAGCGCACGCCGCTGCCGCCGTGCACAATGTCGTTGATGTAGTCCCGCACGGCCGACACGCGCGTGTAGACGCCCGAGTTGGCCCCGCACTTGCCGCCCCAACTCACGACTCCAACGAGCTTACCATTCGCGATCAAGGGACCGCCCGAGTCGCCATTGCACGAGTCTTGTCCTTGTCCATTGCCTGCACACAGCATCGTGTCCGTGATGCGGTCCTTGTACTGTTTGCTGCACTCGTCAGTCGACACAATGTGGACGTCGACTTCCTCGAGCATCAAGCTCTGCGAGCCATTCTCCGTGATGCCCCACCCTCGGACCGTCGCCACTGTGCCAACTTTGTTGTCAGAGCCGTCGGCGGCGGCCAACCCAATGGCTGCGACTGCGACTGGCTTCTCGAGCTTGAGCACGCCAACGTCGTACAAGTGGGCGGACTTGTTGTACAACGGGTGGCGGTATCCCTCTACGACTTTGACCTGCTGGCCTCCGTCTGCTCCTTTGGCGAAAGCTGAGCCGATTGACGCATAGATCATCGACTCGTCCGTCTTGACACAGTGCCCAGCCGTGACGACAAACTGGGACGCAATGAGTGTCCCGCCGCAAAAGGTATTGGCATCAGCTTTGCCCTTGCGCAGACTCACGATGAACGGCAGCTGCGACGCATCGGCCTCTGCGCCGCCAAAGATGCGCGTCTCTTCGCTGATCGTCAGGCCAGTGCTTTCGTTGTCAAGGGCTGCGTCGCCCAGCACCAACGAGCCATTGGTCTCCACAAGTGCAGTGCCTCGGGCACAAGTAGCTGCTACGAGCACAGATGCTATAACACGGACACGACTAGATACAGTGAACTTCATGGCAGACAATGGAGACGCGGAGAGCGACCTATGCGCTCAACTACAAGAGGAAAACTGACGTGTGTGTCCGTGTGTGTGTGTGTCGGACGAGGAAGCACTGTCTAGTCAAACACAAGACGTCACGACTACGGCAGAAAAGTCTCGAGTTGGGAGAGAAGAGCACGAGCGTCTGACACGATTGCCACCGCGCGCAAGCAACAGCGCTCCACAGCCTTTTTTTCGGTGCTCCTGCTGCTGCTGCTACCTACGACGACGACGAGAAGATTACCATTTCCGACAAGACAAGGGCGACGGGTAAGAGTGTACATGTGGCGGTGCTACGATAGTAACACAACTGCACCAGTTGCCGCTTCAACTCAATCCAGCAGTAGTTGTTTGCTGGTCTCGGTATGGATTGACTTGGAGGACAAAACACACGGAGGACGTGACCAACAAACATTACACTGCGCGCATCGACACATTGGCCATCTCTTTTTCTTGCGCGCGATACTGTCGACGACGTCAGCTGGGCGACTGTTTACAATCGAGAGAGAGATGGAGAGAGATGGAGAGATGGAGAGAGAGATGGAGAGAGAGACTTCACGATGGTCGATTCACACATGATTGTGTACAAGATGTCGCAACACCTCTTCGCTAGGAAAATAGTGTCGGACTCGGTAGCTCGTCGTGGTAAAACGTCTGTAGAGAAACCGAAATGCCTCTTCACTTTGAGAGGCAAGAGGTCATGCAGACGTGTTTCAGTGCTCCGAACATGACTGTGTCGGGACTCTGATGTGCCACCAGACTTCGATCCCCCTGAGACGCTTTATTGTGCCATGGTCTACCCTTCACAGAGTCATTGTCGAGAGAAATGTCGTGACCGTACGTTGACACAAGATGATGCACAAGGTCCTACAAACTCCGGAGCTAGAACGAAAGCGCCCGAGCTGCAAACCCGTTGTATATGACCGTGAGTCAATAGGTCGCGCGAAACAGGCATGCAAAAGCGCCCCGGGGACGACTGTGTCTAGTCTCCGTTGTCCGCGCTTGGCTAACGCTGTGAGTTGCCGTCCACAAAGCACAGAAACGCGTGAAACAATTTGCGAAGCTGATGCTCGCCCTCCTTGAAAGACTGCGTCGGTCTGCTTACCCCCACAAGGGAGTGAGACAAATGCTGGTCGTAACCAACCAAAGACGATTTTACACCCTGACGCTCGCGTTTTAGCCGTCCTGGAAATGGTATGTAGCTATTGCCGCGACATACGAAGGTCTAGTTATTCACACGTTTGGGACAGCGTCCAGCACTAAACGTCTGCGCATGCCGTTTTCCGTGCAAAGAGGAAGTGACCGATACGTTTACCCTAAAGAGAGTCGCTGTCGACTGAAAAAAGGTCCGCAAAGGACATTGGAGCAGACGGGCGCTTAAGAGGAACAGCTGGTGCGTGTCGATCATGTCGCACCCCTCGACGCGTCACGACGACGACCAATGATGGACGGACCGCTCCTTTTTGTGGTGTACGTCACACAACGAACCACTTTGCTGGTACATTTCGCGACCCCGGTCAACTTGTCCTCTCTGTGGTCAGGTCATGCTGCTGCGCTGCGTCCGTCCTCTGCGTACGCGCGCCACGTCCCACCGTCGCCACTTGCAACCAGTGCGTGCGCATGCATCTGATTCCAATGCGTGCTCGCCCAATGCGCTCGAAATGTGCGTTCGCGAGCGTCAATTGCCTCCTTTTGAGCGGCTAAAACTGCAAGAGATCGAGCCAGCCGTCAAACAGGCAGCCGCAAAGTACACGCAGACGCTGCAGGAGCTGGAGAAGGAACTCGCAGAGCGTATTGACAGGAAAAACGTGCAGTTTGGTCATGTGGTGGACCCGCTCGAGGTCATGGGCGATGCGCTGGGACGCATGTGGGGCGTGGTGGGCCACCTCATGAGTGTGCGCAACTCGGACGAGCTGCGTGCTGTGCACGACGAGCTACAGGAACTAGTGATCCAGACAGTGACAGAGACGTCGCAAAGCAAGACGCTCTATGAAGCGTTTGTTGCAGTACGCGAGGGCAGCGAGTGGAGCTCGCTCGCGCGAGCGCAGCAGCGTGTGATCGAGCTGCGATTGAGAAGCGCTGTGCTGAGTGGAGTTGGTCTTGATGGTGACGAGAAAGAGACGTTCAACAAGCTGAAGCTGCGTGCAGCTGAGTTGGTGAGTAGCAGAGGAGTTGTGGCATATATTGGGGTGCCTCGATCGATCGTGGTGGCCGTGACTAGTGCTAGGTGCTGATGAATTATCTTTTATCGCGTTGTTGCGGTTGCTCGTTGTTTGGACAGAGCACGGAGTTTGCGTCAAATCTGCTCGACGCGACGAAAGCGTATGCATTGACGTTGACGAACAAGGACGATTTAGAGGGATTGCCGTCTTCGCTACTGCAAATGTTTGCTCAGAGAGCGCGTGACGAGGGCCACTTGGATGCTACACCTGAAAACGGACCGTGGCGTGTAACGCTTGATCCGCCGTCGTACGTGCAGTTCATGAAGTATGCAGCAAAGCGTTCATTGCGCGAACAGCTGTATCGTGCGTCCGCTACTCGTGCGAGTGGTGGCTCGTTCGATAACGAAGGCATCATCGTTGAGTTGCTAGAAATCCGTCAGCAGATTGCCAATCTTCTTGGATTTAGCTCATTTGCGGAAGTGAGCATCTCGAAGAAAATGGCGCCTAGTGTCGAAGAAGTCGAGAAGATGCACCACGATCTGCGCAATAAGTGCGTCGATTTGGCCCGCGAAGAAGTGGAAGCTGTGACTGAGTATGCAAAGCAGCACGGACAGACGGAGCCTCTTGAGCCTTGGGATCTTGGCTATTGGTACGTGCGTTCACCGCACGCATTGTAGCGTCGAACGTAGCTCTTGCTGATCGTGCTCCTCACACGCATGCGTGGTACAGGTCTGAACAGCTCAAGGCGAATAAATACTTGTTCACCGATGAGGAGATCAAGCCGTATTTTCCGCTCGAGCGCGTTAGTTCTCCAAAGTTGGGCCAGTGACAAGGTGGCTGAAGACAACTGACGGTCTGTTTCATTGCTGTTATACAGGTGCTTGATGGTCTGTTTGCGCTCACGTCACGGCTTTTCGGCGTGACCATCGAAGCAGCTGATGGCCAGGCGGAAGTCTGGAACCCAGACGTGCGTTTCTTCAACGTGCGCAGTGCTGAAGGTGACAAGGATGTTATCGCTCAGTTCTACCTGGACCCGTACTCCCGTCCAAAAGAGAAGAACGGTGGTGCGTGGATGAACACGTGCGTCGACCGCAGCTGCGTGCTTGGTCCCAAGGAGTTAAATGGCAAGCGCATTCCAGTGGCCTACATCATCTGCAACCAATCGCCACCAGTGGGCGAAACGCCTAGCCTGATGACTTTCCGTGAGGTGGAGACTATCTTTCACGAGTTCGGCCATGGCTTGCAGCACATGCTCACGCGGATGGAGTACGGCGACGTGGCAGGTATAAACGGCGTTGAATGGGACGCCGTGGAGATTCCGTCGCAGATGATGGAAAACTTTTGCTACGACAAGGGTGCGTTTTGTCTTCATGCAGGTCGTTAGTGCTACATGCCGTGTTGTAACGTCTACTGTTGCTCGATGCAGACACCATTGCAGCGATTAGCGGACATTACAAGACGGGTGAGGCGCTACCTGACGACTTGTTCGACAAGGTCAAGGCAGCTCGCAACTTTATGATGGCTACGGGCATGCTGCGTCAACTCGGCTTTGGCGCCCTGGACATGTACTTGCACTCGCACTACTCGCGATTGCAGGAGCCACTGTTTGCAGTGCAGCAGCGTCTACTGGGAGACTACGCCGTGCTCAAGCCTCTGGAAGAGGACAGGTTTCTGTGCTCGTTTTCGCACATTTTCGCTGGCGGGTATGCTGCGGGCTACTACAGGTACGTTACTACGAAGTGTGCAGTGCAAAGAGTGGACTGATGCCTGTGTATGTGCTATGACGGGATCCATTTGACGAATGGGTTGCACTGCATTGTGTTTTGTCGAGCAGCTACAAGTGGGCAGAGGTTTTGTCGTGCGATGCGTACAGCGCCTTTGAAGAGGCAGCAAAGGAGAGTCCTGAGGCTGTGACGCGCGTTGGGCACAAGTTCCGCGACACTATTTTGTCCAGCGGGGGTGGCGAACACGCCGAGCAGGTGTTTGAGGCCTTTCGTGGCCGCAAGCCGTCCATTACGCCGCTGCTGGCGCAGTACGGCCTGACTGACAAGTAGCGGAAGCTCAGTAGTCACGTTTGACACGAAGGGCCGTGGGCATTGTGCAGGAAACGAGGCGATCATTGGAACGCAGCGAGTGAAGCACCGAAATGAATGGTCAGCGATGCGTGAAACGCGATGGATGATTACTGCTGGACTGCATCCCCGTTCCACCAACTTCAACATCATTTTGTATTAGATTTCACCGACTTGTGCCGAGCAACGGTGGTTTGGTCCATGGACTTGACAATGCGAGAAGATACGCGTGTTTTCTCAATGCTAACAGCGATCTTCATTCCGATAGCGACACAATGATCAATCGTCCATCCTTGCCCCAATTCGCGTCGGTGCTTCGTTGCACGGAAGCATCGAATCGCCACTGCGACCTCCTTGTAGTACATGCTGACCACTGCCATCATCCCGGTGGACTCGGACAAGATACTTGTTTAGCATATTAGTACACGTGAAGTTTGGAGAACGTAGCCAAAACGTACAATAACAAACAGGCATTGTCGTCACGTTCGCGCCCTTCCCCTCGAGTCGACACTATTCCGTCCACAATCACTTCAAACAGGATATCAAGTCTCGCCGGTCCCTCCCTTTTTCTAGCAAACCGTCGAGCAGCTCCGGAGCTCGTCGAAGCCACAACTTCAACATCCACTTCACCCGAAAGAGAGAGAGAGAGCGAGCGATCCCACGTCGCCTCACGATGAGCGCAAGTCCCACGGCCTCGTCCAGCGTGACGCCGTCCCGCCTCCCGCACCTCCACTCGTTCGTCCTGCTCTCGAAGCAGTCGCCCACTCGGCCCCTCGCTCTCCGTCGCCAGCGCAGCAGCAGCTTCTGCTCCACCGCGAGCCATTGCAGCAGCAGTGACGAGTCGGACGCGGCTTTGGACCTCGACACAGACGACTGCGCACTTGTCTACGCGTCGTACGCAGCGGTCACGAAGCGCAGCGGCCACTCGATTGGCTGGTGCGACCTGCAGACCTCAGCGTACGCGCGCGACGCTTCGGTCACTGCTCGACGTCGGCCCCCACGCCGCAATGCCCCCCTGCCGTTTGCAGCGCTGGCGCTCTGTTTCGAGTTCCTCACGCTCGACGAGCTGCTCGGCAGTGTCGCTCGCGTCTGTGCCGCTTTTGACGACGTTGTCGAGCACGCGGCAGTGCTCTTGACCGGTCTCTACAGTCGTCAGTGGCGCGCGAACAAAGTGCTGCCGCAGCCCTACGTGGCGCTTTGCTTTGACGATCAGCGCACGCTGTGTACTGCCCGTCCAGTGGGTGCGTTGTACGCGCTGTCGACACGCAGTGCAGTGACGCACTTGGCCGACGGCACGTACAGCGTCGTGAACAACTCGAGGCTGCGTGCGGTTACCAATGGATCCATTGACTCGGTCCGTGGCGTCGAGGCACTGCCCGTGCTGTCGTGTGCGCGTGCGCTGCACAAGCACATGTGCTATTTCGAAGTGGGGTTCGACGGCTGTGGGAGTGTGGGGTTCGTCTCGATCGCGGACGCAGCTGCTCGAGTGGCGTATGGCTTTGGCTCTCGCGAGCACGTTGGCTGGACAAGTGTGTCGTATGGCTACCATGGCAATGACGGTGACTTTGTGTTCAACGACGGTGCGAAGCCCTACGGCGGCGAGCGACGTGCGTTTGGTCCCATGTGGGGACGAGCTTCGACAGCTCGACTCGAGCGGGACAGCTCGAGAATGGCTACAGTTGGCTGTGGCCTGGATGCTGGCAACCGTCAGGTCTTTTTTACACTCAATGGGGCGATGATTGGCGTAGCACCCACGAGCGTGCTACCTGGTGACTATGCTGCTGCCGTATCGCTCCACGCGTTTGGTGACCGAGCTGTTTTGAATGCTGGAGCAGCTCCGTTTGTCTTTGACATCGAGGCTTTTTGTGCAAGTCCTTAGCTGAATTCGAACGGATTGAGCTGAGGGCTTGCACAGAAGAGTACGTACCCCCCCACCCCCGTTGACATTGAGGCCGCCATCTATCGGCCGCTGCTGTTCTGTCTTCCTGTTTGTGTGTACATGTATTGCATTTGTATTGCTTTCGTTGTCCGTCTTTCGTTCCGCTAGGTCTTGACTTTGCACGCAATGCTACTTCGACACGTCGTTCAGTGAAGATTGCCGTCAAGACTCGTGTTTCTCGCTAGCCACATCGACCCTTGAGCTAACGGATGATGCTAATGGGCTTCCGGTATCAAAAGTAGCTGGGCTGACTGCCGCTGTGAAGTACATGCTGACTGCCACTGTAAAAATTGTCTGCAACACTCTTTTGCAGGGTAAACATTCAGCACTTGCACGATAAAGCGCTCGCTACTTTACTGGTACGCACACAAACGTGCGTGGTGTCAATCGCATTAAGTCGAGGCACTGCATCCTTGTAAATGGAATTGCATGGGTATTGTTCATACGGGACAGCAATCGATAGCCGAGAAGGCACAGTTGGCATGTGAGACCAGAAGATGATCAAGCGCGATGCACTCACTCTTTGTAAGCACTAGAGATGTCAACATTAGCGTTGCAGCGGGTCAGGCAGTAGGTTCCCATTCCTAACCATGTGGCTGTAATGAGAGCATCTACGCCAAATCGAGCGCTTCGTCGCATCGGTGGTTGCTGTCATTGAGTTTTCTACTGTCCATCAAAATGTAGCAGACTCAGCTGTCTCGGATGAACGCAGTCAGTGTACACATGATAGTATTTGGTAATGCAAAAAGGATACAGAAGCCTAAACTAGAGCCCTCCTTCGACTTGCCTCACACCGTGTTCTCGTTCAGTGCCACACTCCACGCGTTCTTGTCTTCTAGATACATGTTACAGCTTCGGAACGCTATACGTGCATTGTCTCCGGCAAAATATTCCCAAGCGGAGTAGAACCAAAAGGCGACGCACTTGCGGTAGTCGTTTGGCTGAGTTGACTTTTTCATTTGTAGAATGCTGCGCCACTCCTCAATTACAAAATGCGAAAGCGTGTCTTCGAACCGCGAGGACCGCAGCGGATTGCGCACTGTGTACATCGTCGTCCAGTACTTGTTATAGCCCTCTTGCTGTTTCAAACCATCCAGAAACGCCGGAGCCCGGAACTCCTCGATCGAGCTGTCTAGCAGGAATGCAAACTTATCAACGTACTTTGCTTCCTCCTCGTAAAACTTCCGCCATGTCTGCACATCGTGAACACATGAGACCCGTCAGCTTTGCTTTCCACACTGGACTAAGAATCCCTACTTTAGCCAACAACGGAACCGTACATACCACTGCGAAAAATTGCACCGCTTCTTCCGGATCGTTCAGTCGAGTGCGGTGCAGACTATGTGCGTGTCGCAGCTTGATCGTTTTCTTGCGTTCCCAGTGCCACTCTTCTGTCGGCGGAAATATCGACATTGGCACCATAACCGACCCGTTGCCACAGATTGCAACATAGAACGAAATGATGTCTTCCACGTCGACCGTCTTGTCCACGTCTTCGCTCGCCTTATCAAAACCTCCACTGTCATCGTCCTCCGCGTGCTCGTTCCCATCCGAGTGCTCGTTCACACTCGGCTTGACGAAATCGAATCGAGTGACAAAGTACAAGAACTTGGTAGAAAAGGGTTCCTGCCTGAAAAACTCGCTCAGTTGCTTCCGCAGACTCGTCATGTCTTCCACATGCGAAGCCGTGGACTCTTCTATCTCGTCAAACTCGCCTGCACAGCACAAGTAACAAAAGAAAAAACAACACACAGACCAAATTAATAACCGCTCGCCCACGTCTCGTTGTGCAGCGTCATAGCAGCACACACACACATCCAGCACTCGATGCACGCAACGCACCGTGATCAAGACACTCTAATGCATACGTCGCCGTCGTGTCAATCGTCGCTGGATACTTGCACTCGCCTGCCAATAACAATACCAACAAAACAACACACAAACAGCCACAAAACAGCCCACACCAGTTGCAAAACCGCCAAGAAAACAGCAACACAGCGAGACACACCCCACACCAGTCAGCATCCCATCATGCACCAGCCTCGGTACGCCAGTGCAACCACAGCTGAAACAAACGTACTCACGCCTGCGCGCACCACGTCCTTGTGCCTCCCGCGCAGATCGCTCTTGAGGTCGCTAAAGTTCGTCCGCGTGCTGCAGAACTTGTTGTAGCCGACCCAGTACTGCGCATACGTCTCGTTGAACACCAAGTGGCCGCGCTGGATCGTACTGGCGCAGACGAGCCGCGACGGGTCGGTCGCGCGCAGCCGCGTGACGTTTTTCCGCCAATCCCGGATCTGGCCCGTCTTCACGCCGTGCTTTTGCGCGGTCGCGGCCACTGAGCCCGTGCGCTCGGCCTCGTCGAGGATCTCGAGCTTCTTGCCCACCGTCAGTGCCCGGTCCGCCTTCCCGCGCGCCATCGCACGTGCGTCGCGGGTCCCCACCGTCCAAGTCGCGGGTCTCCTCGCAGCGCGTGTCGTGGTGCACGTGTTTTTGGCCAATCAGTGCGCGTCGAGCCGCTCGGGCAGGTGGTCCACGTGCACGAGCCAAGCGGTCGTACTTACGGCTGACCCCTACGGTACGGTGAATTGTTTTTATCGTGGATGCGTTTTTTATTTAGCAGTCAAGTAGGCGACCCGAGTTAAAATAAAACAGAGCGACGCGATCGACGGGGCACTTGTATGCGCCGAGACGACGCGAGGGACCCGACGCTTGCTCTCGCGCGCGTGTACTGGTCGACGCGTCACTGCTCAGCTGCGCGTCGATCGATTGATTGGCTGTAGCGCGCGCGCGCCCGTACGCGTACCGTACCGTGCGAACTCGCGGCCGCAACCGCGACAATGCCACGGAATATCCCGCCGTTGCGTGTTCCGTGGCTGCCGCACGACCAGTTTCCAGCCACGAAAGCAGCGTGTAGCACTGCTGATGGTCTCGTATCGAGCAGCAAGAGCTCGCTTGTTAAAGTTGTCCACGAGCTCAAGGTCTGGGATTGAAGGCATTTTTTTTACTGCTGTGTTGTTTTTTATTACTGCAGTTGTTGGTTGTTGTTGCTATGTTTTTCTTTAGAATTGTCGATGTGTGGTTTTTGTAATTTGGTTGTGTCACCACTGACGAATGTGTGTGGCTTTTGATTGTGGTTTTTGTTTGGGTGGGACTTGACGTTGACCTGTGCAGCGGGGACGGGCAAATGTGGACAAGCAATTGTCGCAACTGGATACGCAGCTCGTGGCTATCTCGGACTATCTCGATGGGAAAAGGAGCACCATGTTTCCGCCTAATGTGATCGTGTATGTAGAGGACACGCAGGACGCTGTGGTGCCATTGACTGGCGAAGGACGAAGACTGTGTGGAGCTGGTGCTGCTGCAGGGACAGATCAGTTTAGTGGTGTCGTCGTGAACGGTGATTCAGTGGTGCCAACACCTGCAGCAGTAGAAGACGATCTTCAGTCGGGTGGGAACGCAGCACAATGCACGATGCGATGTAGACAGTCGTGTATACTGATGCTTGTGATGACGACGGTGTGGAGGTACAGAGACGCCGTGCACGACGACTGGACTGTGGAAGTATTTGTATGCGTACTCGTTCTTCAAGACGATCACACCTGAATACATGGATCAAGCGTTATTGCTCGAAGGTAATGCTGCTGTCGCGCAGACGCGGATACTCTCGATCTGGTCGAAAATTTGTCGCTGATGATGTGTGCCGCTTCTTGTAGATTTGCACGCTTTTTTCGAAGACTTGGAACCACGTGAGGTCAGAAAAAGCGCGATCTTGACGGGTCAGAACGCTCATCAGCTACAGAGCAATCTGAATGGGAACAAGTCTACACCGCTTAATCTTGACGGGTTCTTCATGGAGGTATGTCGTAGGGCACAATGCGGCAAATGAACGCTGCAATCCGCATGTAATCGTGTTTGTTGCACTATTGCTACCTGCAGAGACTTGTGGCTTCACTATGTGTGGTAGAGGCACCCGCATCGACGAACACGAGTCACGAAGCTTGCTCGTCTGAGCCGGATGGTGATGACAAACGCTTGTATGATGCTACAGCAAGTACACTGGACACGGAAACAACAAGGCATCCAGTAGGCTTGACTGGTGTACAACCGCGCAGCCCTAAGGGTCTCACCCGAGTGCTGCGTCACGTCGGATTGGTTGAGGGAAACGAGACCGAAATTGCTCGCATCAGTCTGTCCAATCTGATGGACGACGAAGTATCGCAAGAGATCCGCTCATTGCAGCGTCAACTAGAAGCCTGCGTTAGAGAGACAAATGAAACAAAGCGGAAGTTGTGGAGACTCATGGACGAGTACGTTGGTATGCAAATTTGTGGAAAGCGCGATGCGCTGACGTGTGGGTGTGCTGCTTTGGTAGGACAAAGCCGTGGCTTTCGCAGAGAAGGGAGGAGGAGGAGACTACCATAAAGGAGTATATCACTATGTGGCGAACGAAGAAGGTAAGCGTCGCGGCATTTTAAAGACTTGACAGGCGGGTCAGCGCTGACGCTTCGTGTTGTTACAGGAGCTTGCACGGAAAAAGAAACGCCGAGAGAAGAAGCTTCAGCGGCGGCAAGGTACGGCAAACTTTCTCCTTACTTCCAAGCAGCCGTGGTGCTGTCAAAGTCGGTGACATGTTTCCGACTGCATGCAGCTTTTCGCCGCAACAACGGGGGCAACGGTAAGCTTCTGGTCAGCAATATCTACATCGAGCAACGATAGAGATTTTCGGGCTGTGGCCTATGTGCTAAATCGGTCTGGAGACCCACGCGCTATTGGCAGAGTGAGGCGCACACACACGCGTTATTTATTGGCATGTGGCAGCAGGTTGGGCTCTGGTGCTGTTCACATCAGCAACGAGTCCACCGTACTGTTTCGCTAGGAAACAATTCAATGGGCAAGATGGCTTCTTCTGCTGATGCGTATACTTGCTTAAATTGGATCGTCAGACATATTACTTGAGCGGGGGAAAGTCGTCATCGACAAATTCACTGTGCACCACTGCGCGAGGGCCAGCACTATGTGGCGGTAGCTGTCGGCCACGCGGTAAGGGGTATCCGTAACTACTGCGCCCCATTACCATGGATGGCGGCGGGTTCATCTGATGTGGCTGGAACTGCTGCTGCTGCTGCTGCGGATGGTACTGCTGGTGCGAAGACCTCTGGAAAAGGTTGGTGTCTACTCTATTATTGGCAAAATCAGGGCCGCCGCCGTGGTATCGACCACGTCCCGCCGAGATCATGGGCATGAGCACTGGTGGATGTAGCGACGGTGCACCGCCACTTTGTTGATGCTGGTAGCCAGAGAACCGATCGTACGGCCCCTCATGGAGCTCGCCATGTCCAAACCGCACACCGCCTCCAAAGCGGTCACCGTAAAATGGTGACTCACCTCCACTGCCACTTCCGTTAGCTGCCCCACCGCTCAAACGAGGGCGGAACGCGTCGTGGTTGCGCGCAAAGTCCGGGTCATTCAGCTCTTGCTCGCGGTTCCGCCACAGAACCTTGCTTTCTTTCCAGCTCGCTGCATTCGGAGCACTCGGCTGGACGGCCCGCGAATACTCATTGGGGTCGCTGACGCTCGGTCGTCCCTTGAGCGAGCTCGACTCGCACGTCTGCGACGCACCATCTCCATCGTCCAGAGCATTGGCTCGACCGAACCCGCGACTGCCATCGGGTCCAGCTGCTTGTCGATGTCCGTGCTTACCACCGTCCATTTCAGTGCGGACAGCACGTTCGCTGCTGTCGTGCGCCAACGACGGCGACGACGGCAACACCGACTCTGTAGCTGCTGCTGCTGCATTGCTATCGTCTGCACCAAATATCCTTGCACGGGCTTCGGCGTACGCTCGTTCCCGGTCCTGTAACGACGGCGTGGCCTTGTCGGTCCCGCTCCCACCGCGGCCATGACTGCCAAGCCTCGGAGCACAGCGTTTGCGCATCATGATCTTCGGCGCACAGACGGGTGCCTTGGCCGACGCCTGCCGCTCGGTGGACAAGTCAATCAGCAGCAGACGAGGCACAACGGACTGCGCAGTCTTAATGAGCGTCACGACGCGCGCCGAGCTGTTGTCGGCCGAGCTGTAGTCGGCTGTCTGGTGCTCGAGGCCGCAGCGCTGTGCCAAGCGATGGACAATCAGTCGATGGTACGACGACAAGGGCGGAAAGTGGAGGTGCAGCTCCCTCGAGTGCCGCAGAAAGCGCACGATTTGGTCTTCAAACTGGAGCACTGTCATGCGCTCGCGCGCGTTTTCCAGTCCCGTGACCAGTACAGGATCCAGAGGTCCGTAGCCGCTCGGACTCGATACGTTTCCCTCAGTACACACGCCGTGAGTGACTGGCTGTTTGTATTGCTGCTGCTGCTGCTGTTGTTGGACTGTATAGTGGCCGCCAGAATCAGAGGCGGCAGGCGGCGGGAGGAGACAGAGGTCCTGTAGAGCGTGAGCGGCTTCGTCCACGTCGCCGGTCGTCGAAGCGCGTGCAGCGGCAGTTGCGAGCGCCGCGGGAGTGCGCGCGGCCGTGACGTCGAGGAGCGCGCGCTCCCACTCGTCGCAAGTGTCTCCGGCCGGGTGGATCATGGCGTCGCTCGACTGCCAATGAGGACGGACTCACGTGATTGGGCAAAAGCCAGAGGGGAAGTGGGGCGGTCGTTGTGGGGGCGAGTCGGGGGTGCGACCTGTGCGAACGCATGGGGTATGCGGTACGACGAGGCGGATCGAACTGCGCGGCGATTGGACTTGGACAACTTGCACGCGGCGGTGGTTTGTTTCTTTTTGCGCTAGAAATAGGGATCGACGCATTTGGGGACCAAAGGACTATAATTGGTGTCGCTTTGCCACGAAGCCACTACGCACGTGCGACCGATCGTGCTGCGGGGCTAAACTAAAATACGCCGCTTCTCGATGTTCGGCGCCAGCATGCGGTGACTATAAATAGTGACTGTATCTTCGAATAGCGCTTTGGCCGATCGCTACGAATGCGGCGGTTGCTCTCTAACTCTATCGTGCACAATCGAGTTTGACAAAACGTGCAGGGCAGTAGTGGATAGCCGGCCGCCCTTTGCACTCGCTGTTTCGTCAGGCCGACATGTATCGTGTGGCTGCTGTGCTGACCAGCTGTCTTGGGTTCCGAGAGCCACAATCCACTTTAAAAAAACGTGGGCAAATTCAGCAGGAGAGGACGCTGGTCCAATCCACTCGCAGGGCCCGTTCCCTCCTGAATATTGGGCCAACTGCTGTCACAATGTCCATCAACGCCCGAGTTGGCACGGCAGGCAGAGTCCGTACGACACGAGATGGCAGCTGTCGTGACGCGAGTTCGTCGAAAGCGCGTGATATTTCAACGGGCACAGCCGACCGAGCGGAGAATTAATTGGTCGCGAGAAAAAATCCAATCGATAGATAACGACCGGTCCACCCGTTCCTTCGAGAGCTACTGCAGAGCGTGGACACCCATCCCACTCGACCGACGTGAGAGCAGTTTGTCTCGAGCCAGCCATTGTGTCAGTAGGTTGGCGCTGACGTTGACGAATTAACCAGCGCGGGGTCAGGCAGACCCATTAGCGTTCGACGAACGACGATACCGCCATAGCAGCAATGAAAGACACTTCGAGACTGACAGCTAAGCGGATCGTTGACACAGCCAGCGGCGCTCCAACTCAATCGCTCTTGTGGTCAGTCGGCGCTGACCGGAATCGTCGACTCGCGCGCGTGTGTATCGCCTCGTCCCCCTCTCTCTACACCCGTCTGTCTGTAGAACACGCAACAAGGCCGGACGCCGTAGTACACTTTGGGCGACAGCGCACCGACAAAACATCTCCATCAATCGCTTCGCTCTGCTATGATGCGCAGGTCCGCTTCGGTCTTCCTCGGACTGGCTCTCTCGATATGATTACACGAGGGCTCGATGCCGTCGGACATGTTGACGAACTCGCCCCACCACAGCCACTCTCTTTCCCCATTCCCTAATCACTCGATCGCTCTGTCGCAACTGTCTCTGTGGCGACTATCGATCGCCTCGGTTATGTCCCACCTCGCACGGCTGTGTCCGCACGCCAGGCGCTTCTCGCGCAGACGAGACACGAACCACTCGCTGCGATAAAAAATAATCCGTCTCCCGCCTCGTCACCCCCACCCCACCCCCTCCGCGACAACCGGCTCAAAAAAGCACATTTCTTGCTCCACCCCACCCCACCCCACACCCGTACGTACGTCCACCACACTAACTCTTCCCACGTCCACATCGATCGGCTCCGCCCGTCACTCACTCACTCAGTCGCTATGTTCGCGTCGCTGTCGGAGGCGCTCGCGTGGCCCCCGCGCGGCAGTCGCCCGCAGCCGCTCAAGCAGCAGCGCACCCCCACCGCCACGTGCTCCGACTCGAGCGACGACGTCTCGGACCGCGAGAGCGCACCCGTTGCCGCTGCGCCAAAGCCAACAACGACTGTCTACGCAATTGCGTCCAAGTTGTTTGTCGCTGCGACAGCGCCACGGGACGACGAGACGCCAACGACGCCGACAGCAGACACTGCCGACACTGCAGCCAAATCAGACGAAGCAGCGGCGGTCGGGACGCACGTGTCGACGGCGTTTGGGCTCGGGACGGTCGCTGCCGTGCGCCACGACGACGGCGTCGTTGCGGTTGATTTGCCACTGGCGGGACTGCTGTACCTGACAAGTGCCGCGCAAATGCAGGTGGTGCCTGCACTACTGGGGGACCATGTGCGCACGCGGGTGGGCGCTGGACGGATCGTGCAGTACAATGCAGAGCAAGCAGTGTACGTGCTGCAACGAGGCGGCGGCAATGGGGACGAGGAGACGAAGGAGAAGGTGACGCCGAAGATGATGAAGGAGGACGATGACGAGGCTGTGCTGTTTTGCGTGCCAGTGTCGGACGTTATCCTGCCGGACGGACGGACGTTTGGCCGACTGCGGGAGCCAGTGCAGCGGGCGAGGAGTCTGTCGGAAGGCAGCACGAGCAGTGAAGACTGCGGCTTGCGACGGACGCGTCCGAGGCTGTCGAGCACGAGCTCGTCGAACGGCTTGACGCTGCTGAAGAGCATTGCTACGACGTCGTACTCGTTCATTGCGAGCAAGTACCACCAGGGACAGCCCGTGATCACCAGGTTTGGCGCTGGGCATATTGTTGCTGTGGATCCACAGCGAGGGTCGGCTCAAATCTACCTCGTGTGGGGGGCCATGGCGTTCCTGAACGCTGACATGATTGACTTTTACCCCAAAGCGTTGGAGGGCACGGACGTGCACACGAAGTTTGGCTCGGGGATTGTTTTGGAATTGCGGCCCGCTGATGCGATTTATACCGTGCGTCTGCACGACGTGCAGCCTCTGGGCAAGTCGGACGTGGTCTTTGTGCACGAGTCCGACTTGTCCCGGAGTCGAAAGATTGCAGTCACGGCTGCGAACGTCCGGGACAGACTGAAAGCAATGGCACATCGGTGTTTCGGTGAACGCATCGTTGTCGCGCACCAGAGCCACGATGCAGAGCCAAACTCTGCCGGTATATGAGTCGTGCACTCTGGTCGATGCCGTTGGAGTGCTGACAGCGTCAGGGCTCACTATTTTTGGTGAAGACGACGAGCAACGAACGTTTTCGAGGCCGTTCGTGGCCGTCATGGCTCTATGTTGTGAGTGTTATATATTCTTTGCAGCTGCCGCGCGTACCGCTATGCAGCTGAACTATGAGCTGCTCGGATAAAAAGTATCTGCAGTGTGTGGGTGCAGTGCCAATCAGCCTAAACTATCGATTGATGCCATTCATCACTCGAGGGGTTGCTGCCCAGTCCATGAGGTACAGATAAAGTAGCGACAACGTCGTGTCGCTACGTAGCAATGGGAGATGAAAATGCGTGATAGACCATGTGTGGACTTGTGTATTGCGATGCTGAGGATTGATTTGGTTGTGAGTATAGGTGCGGTGGCACTGAGATCAGTTCTGCGCGGTGCTGGTACTCACTCGTGTTATTACGGGCTGTGCTGCAGTTTTTCGACAATACGTAGTGAGGGGCGCAGTTTGTGTTCGTGTCCGTCACGACGCCGCCACGCTCACGATCGAAGCTGCTCCACGTGCTTACAGGCGGCTCGTCAGGTTTCCAGCACACTTCGCTGGGACTTGTCTTGTGTCGATAGTGTCGAGTGTTGAGGTCTCATGACATGTTGGTGCAGTCTGGCTCGCGTGGGCCTAGCTGCTGTCACAGCCTATCTGGATAGAGCCGAGAACGAGTGTTGCTTACGAATGGCAAGACATGCACTGAGCGGCTACAGCTTGGGACTCGATGGATCACGAGACTGCAGCAAGCAGCTCAGAGCAGTATTTGTTTCGTTCATGACGACAGTTCCAAACTGGACAAGAAGCGTGGTGTGAGCTTGAATGCCAGCCAGCACACCAAGTCGCAATCAGCCGCGCTTGGTCTTACGAAGTACTGATGTTCCCGAGTTGAGTCGAGTAAAAAGGGGTCCGTCAGTTATCTCAGGACCATGTGGTACAGCATGAGGAATTTCAAGTCATGCAGTCACTGTTTCCCACCATGCTGGTAGTGAAAAGGGGCACACGACATTAGCGATGCGACAGGAGCCATTTTGTGAGGAGATCATAGGCGGCGCCTCGTCGTCCGTACAATGGCAGATGCCGTTCCACAAGGCTTGAGTTTGGCACGATCGGCGTGACAACTAGTCGCTCACCACAGCATCTTTCGGTCTAACCGAGCACCATATGAATCGTAACTCGGTCTCGCTGGCAGTCGTCTGCACCACGAGTGATCATCGATGCACGTCAGGTTTGGTCGCTTGTACATCACTCGCGTTACAGACTTTGAATGCTTGATGCAGGTCCATTCGTCACAGTAGCACACGGCACGGCAGAAGTGCAGGCAGCACAGGACGATGAAGTTTGCGATAGCTTGTCGCTCGATGGACGGGTAGCGCTACCTTTCGGTCGCTCCAGTAATGGTTCTTACCGTCTACTGCTTCCGCCGGTATGTTTGTGGACACAAACGCACATGCGGTCAGTGCAGTACAATTTCAGGTCAGTCTCATGTGCTTCGTATCAACCGCAACGCAGCAACGCGTCGCCGATCAAGTGCAAAACGCGGCAGTGGGTTGCATTATTGTTCGGCCACTGCTGTTTGCATGCCATGTTCATGACATGACGAAAGGTACCGTGTTTCTCCTGATTGAATTGCTCGTACGGGCAGTATCCTCAGATACAGCAGCTGGGCGTACAGCAGTCATTCCCTCAGCTTCAGTGGACACGCAGATCTCCTTTCTTGCAGCAGACACTTTTCGCGATACGTGAAAGTCATCGGAACACACGAAATGTCTGCCGAATTCCCAAATACTCTTCTCGACCGTGTGCAAAGCTCATGTATTCCACCTTATGCCAGAAACACCCGTCTTTGCCTGCGGCGGAAACCCACCGACTGCCATTGAGCACGTACTTACACCCTCAAGTGTACTTGACACCACCCATGAACGTTCTCGGGTCTGGTGCAGCACCACTGAACGCGGCGTTTGAGAAGTCAAAGCCCGGGTTCTCTTCCTGGAAACGCTCGAGCATCATGTTTCGTTTCGTAGTTTCCTGCTGCATCGGATCCAACTACACCCGCAACACGACGTAGCGTTGTCAGCATCACAACCTGACACGAGCAGTCCAAACACTACGAACTTCACGGCACCCAACCTCTCCATGGCCAGCAAAGACGCTCGGCCAGATGTAGCCCTTTTTCATTTTCTGGAGGTTAATGTTCAGCTCTCCCGCGTCTACAACACGCCACCACCAATCGATCCGAAAAATGAGACCCCTTACGTTCCCCTCTTCATTACAACAAACGCATACCTACCTGCCAATCATCACCATCACCATCACCACCGTCATACTCCTAGCACCATACTACTGTCACTAGGCACGCATCAACACATGCATACTAAACTCACCCAGCATCCAATAGCTCTCTGCAACGACCACAGCGCTTGCGAGGTCGTGCTATCGTCCAGCTCAGCAATCACTTCAGCACAACGTCGCACCTCTGGCAACAAACTGTCATGACCCAACAAACGCACGTACATTGAGAAACTTGTGCGAGGCGCCACAGAGCCCCAAAGTCACGTGGTTGGCGCGAATCTCACACTGGATCTGAGAGGCTGTCACACCTGTTGGGGGGCGGACGTAGACATTCACTTCTTCCATCGACTGCTCCCACTCGTAGATGACGCGACCTGCGGCCAAGTTGAATACCATTGTCGACGATGCATTATGCATTAGCAAAAAGCGGTTAGCGAAAGAGGACGTGTTGAATGAACAATGGATTGGATGGGGATATTGGGAAAGCGCGTACCGTCGAACTTGTACTCGCGGCGCTGACTTCCGGTCGCCATGCGGTCGGATACTTTCGAGACGTAATAAGCGAATAGATGTGGATGTGGCTTTGCGCTCGTGCGCGATAAAAAAAGTGATCACGACGTAAGGACAGTTAGAAACGTACCGACGGATTGATCGATTTCTCTCTCGTGTTGACTGGTGAGGCGACGTATATGCTCAAAAGTGAAGTAGCCTCCGATTTCCGTTGTATCGCTCGATTGGTTTTTGACGGACCAGGTTTGCGTGATGTGCGTACATGTTTCGGTAAATGTGTACGGTGAGAAACTGCAGCAGATGTTGTTTCCAGCATAGCTTTCGCTTTCGCCTCTTACGTTTTTTTGTTATCTCGATCCTGCACCAGTGATCGTTGCTAAGGCGAAGCAGTACACGGAATCAAAATGTCCTCAGTCAGGCGTCGTCGGCTTCGGTGAATTGTACTAGCATAGCGCACATACAACGTGGCCACGGTAGGGAGTTGGGAATCGAGGAGAGAAGACGACCTATTGCTTGGTTCTATCTGGGCAAGATGTGGACCATTAGTCTTGACCTCGAGTTCTGGAGTAACATGTAGCTAGAGCTGGATACAGCGGTCTTCAGTTTGCTATCCAACGTATCGAAAGAGTGAACTGGTTGTGTGAGTTTTGTACGAATCGATGAGTCCACCGTACGCTCAGTGTCGCAGCCGAGGATTCTGTAGCTGACGGGGGCAGTATGAACAGCAAACGTAGCTGATGCTTTGACCAGCTGCAGTGAAGAAAACAGGAACAGTCCACACTGAACAAAGATAACCAGAAAACAGAGGGTACGAGCTGAACGCAAGGGCACATGGACATCAAGATCGTCGATTTCGATGAATGGATCGTCGGTTTTCATCGATGCTTCGTTGGTAAGTTAGCGACAAAAACAGCGGACCGAAAAATGCGATAAGCGTGATACGTATCTGCTGGAAGGTAAGAAGACGACGACGACCAGGATGTACATGGTTCGTCGCACACGATCGGTGCGATCATTTACGATAGCGCCGTTTCCTGGAGAAGACGCAGCTGTATTCCCGCACGACGCGAACGAGTGTACGAACGAGGACAAGCTTGAAAGACAGTGTTGAATGGGAATGGGGATGAATGTGACAGTGCTCGAGAGCTTACTATATCTGCCTGAGTTTCAGCACATAGGTTGTCAATCAAATGTGGATCAGCTTCGACCGGTTCACCGAGATACGATTTCGGAACCATTTTGCGTGCTGCGACTCCGTAACGCAAGGACAGGTGGGGAGGTAGTAGCAGACATGTATGCGTATTACCTTTGTCCATACTTTATACATGTTGATGTGGTTGCTGCGGTTGACAAGTGCACTTTTAGTTCTTCGGCTTACCATTCACCCCGCACCGCTTGCATGTTTATTGTACATGGACTGCATGCTGCTCCCAATATCAACGAAGACGAAATGGGGCCAGTGCTAATCAATTGTGGCTTACATACCATACTATTCGTCATTCTAACGTTTAGGGCAAAACATGTCACGGGCTCACACACCGGTACATGAAACGAAGGAAGCACCAGTGTATGACTGTAGTGGCAACGATCATATATTGAGTGTACAGGTCTGGTCAATCGCATAACAAGAGCGCAAAACACCACGTTCATACGCTCAGCTGCTTTTTTGTCACACCCTGACAACATCAGTAGTAGTCCCTTAGCTCACATTACCGCGACCATAGGTGCCTTCAGGACACTTGTACTCGTCAGGGAGCAGGGAGCGCTGCAGCGAGTTGAAAGCGTACTGACGCTTGCCAGTGTTTTTGAGCGCGTTCTCCAGTCGAACGCCATTGCTGCGCATCGTTGACACTGTGCGTACCACATACTCCTCGGGCAAGCCATGGTTCTCACTCAGTAGCCGCACCTGCTCGAGCGTCACCGACATGCTCGTGCGATCCTTGGCGCTTTTGCAGGACGTCGCGCGCCCTGCGCCGAGTAGGCGACACAAATTAGAGCTCTCCTGAACGATCTTCGGATGCTTCGATTTGACTACTTGCCGCTTGCTAGCTGTGGTAATACGCTCCTCCAGCGAGTTCAACAGAGGCTCGATTGTCGACATGGGCGTCAGCATGGCGTCCGGCTGCATTTCGTGCACACAGCAGTCAGCATACATGATAAACGAGAGCATCATGAAAGCGCCGATCAGCACGTACCATTTTAGCAGCAAACAGCTTGTATCTCTCGACGTAGCGGGTCAGCACGAAAAAGCTCTTGCGATTGATGACATCCTGCAGCGTCGTCTTCTTGCTGCTGGCGTTATTTGCCAGCGTCTGCATTTCGTTGATACCCTGCGTAAAGACGACCGGCGTGACAGGAATCGGGCCGCCTGATCGAATGGTAGATGGAATGGAAGCTCGCACGTCGTTTGAGCAACGCACACCGATTACAACGGTAAACGTGCCCGCGGTAGACCCCTTATTCAATCGAACGGACACTACGCTTGGAAGCGTGGTGTTTGTCATGTGGAGATTCAGCAGTGTTGACGGGAGGTGCGATGGAGGCAGCGTATCGAGGACAAACGCAACGTGCTTGAGTGCGTCCACGGCTGCTGAGAGGTCCTCTAGCATTCCGATCTCCTTGCCCTGTGTAGACAGCAATGACTCGACCTGGAAGAGGAAGCCAACGCCATCGATTATATGCAGAAACGAGCGGTCCACTAGGTGCTGCAACGAATACTCCAGCTGACGGCAGAAGGACGTAACCAGCGTGGTCAATGCTTGCGAAAAGCACATATCGAACCGGGTCGTGAGATGCCATCGCGTCTCGTCGGCAGAACGTGTATCAGCACCGCTCCAGTCCACCACATTGGCGCCACCGCTGAACGAGACGTTACTCTGCACGCGGGACAGCGACCGTTTCTGCAACATCGAGCGCAAACTTAAAATGCTTCCGCCATGACGGAACTTGAAGCAGTGCGCAGCAAATGCGCCTACTGTTATAGTTGGGTACACCCTTACGCTTGTCGACGTCCTCCTTGATCGCTGAGAGCGCAGGTCAGCACTCGGGCCGACCCACATTTCCTGCACGTGCAGATTGATGGGCAGGAACCGCAGGACCAAACTCTTTTTCTCAGTACTGGCCTTGAAATTGAGCCCCTTTTCTGCACGTTCGACGCACACTTGGTGGCACTCGCGCAATGCCTCGACGTACATCTTGCGTTGCTGCACACGGTGATTCAGCCACGTTTGGACCAGCGTCCGGTCATTCTCACCCTGAATCTGCTCGATCAAGTTATCGTACAAATTGCCAACAAGTCCACTCTTCACTCGCGCCTCATAGTCTGCAGCTTCAGCTACTGCGCGCGCATGATCATCAGCCCGCTCGGAGACGAGCAGCTCCAGGTACTGTCGAGGTACTTCGTTTGTAAGAGGACTTTCAAGCATGTCTTCGATCACCATTTCGTCGCCTTCAGCAAACTGAAAGCTCTTGGTGATGTAGAATCCAGAGTTCTCCTTCAATTGGCGCGGCGACGAAGTCATCGACTTGACTCGCAAACAAGGTATCGATGAACCCGCATCTGCGGTAGCAACCCCAGTGGCAGCTGCTGAATTTGGTGACGCTGTGCCAGTTCCATCCTGCAAAACAGTTGGACCAGACGAAACAGAGCGGTGCGAAACCTGTCGTGCTACCAAATTCACCTCGTCTGCCGCAAGAACGTCGTCACGCGTACACAAGAACTCACAAAAGACCTTGGGTCGTGAGGGTGGTGCCATACCCATTCCAGACACACGAGCGATCCTGGCACGTTCGTCCAGCTGTAGGGAAGATGCACGCGTCACTTGGAGAGACTCGGACAAGTCACCGCTCGACGACTGCAACGAAGTCTGCTCCGGGATCTCGTATACGACAAAGCGAAGAAGTGAATTGACGTGCATCGCAGGTATCTGAAGTATCGACAGGAAAGTGGCGGTTTGGGTCACTGCGCCGCTACCCTCAACTTTGCCAGTCACTAGTGTCGGCAAAACCGTCTCGGTAAAGCTCACGCGAGACCACTTCGCTAGTGGAATAGCAACGCAAGAAGCCGTGCATAAGGCCCCAGAACTAAGCATCGATTGCGAGTAGCCACGGCGGCTGAAGATTCCTTCTTGATGTATCCCGCTCTCAATAAAAGAGCTGATTGACGAACGACGATAACTCATTACTGGAAGATCCTCGTGGTACTCGTCCTCACCAACGTCATTTCCACCAGCTTCTGGTGTAGTGTTTTCGGCAACATATAGCTCCACGAAGCACGCCTGCGTAAGAGGAATGGGCGACAACAGCTGGACTGCTAGCGCCAGCACATTCTGCGCACCATCCACTATCTCCTGGCTAGTCGGGTTATACTCAGTGTCAGGAAAATGCAAAATGCCTGCCCAACCGTCGCTTAGCCCTGTATCATTCGCTGATATGCCAAGCTTGCCACTCTCGGCCTTGTCAGAAATACTTGACACCGCATGATGCAGCACCTCCGAGTCTTTGGCATGCATCGATGGGTTCCAATTCATCCCACGTAGTCGTGGGTTCCATTGCAAAATCAGAAAGCCAACTGGAGGTACCAGGGTTGGAAGCCAAATGGAGAAAATGTACCAAACAACAGAGTCAATACTCCGATTGTTCCAGTGCAAAATGAAGTTCATGATAGAGGATGTTCCGAGCACGAGCGCAATCGATAGTATCACCACCGAATATGTAATCAACGACTTCTTCATCACTTTCACCACGTGGTCGTCGAAAATATCGCCGGACTCATCAATCAGCCGCACGCCTCGTTGGATCACGAACGTGCCGAGCACGAGCAACGCCACGGAGGCGAGAAAGATCAACAGTATGCCGCTCTGATGGAGAGGGAAAAACCAGCCGGAGTAGCTCACATCCTTGCATACACTATCCACCGCATATTGCCACTGTCTAGGTTGTAGATCGGGGCAGTAATCGTTCGAGCACAGTCGCATCGTATAAACGGGGTTCTTCAGATAGTCGTCGTAGGCGCACTTGTAGAAATCTGTAAGACTTATGACACCGAAAAGTTGGATACCGTAGAACACCACATTCATGATCACGTAGATGGTAAACATTAACAAGCGTCCAGATGGTCCCACGTCGTGGAACAGCACCGTGCCCCAATGAAAGCACACTGAAGTCATCATCGTCCACGTAAAGCAGATAGATATCGCGTACAGTAAGTAGTAAACTGCGGTTCCTCTCGCTGATGACGCATTAGTCGCTACACGAATCCAAATTGCGTTGCCGACGATACAAAGGACAAAAATCATCATCACAGACAAAGATGTCATGTCGTTGTAAAACGTCAATTTCGAAAATGAGATGCCATTCTGCCAGTAGCATAGGAAGCATCGAGTTAGTCATCAGAATCGCATGGAGAAGCGGCAGGCAGAAGATGTTACCATTCGTGTGATCAGCACAGCACCAGCCAGAGCAACAGCATAAAATGTGATTGACATCACGCTGTACACACTCAGATTGTACTTCGAGTCTATGTCAACACATTCAAACACGAGTAAGCGCATACGTCTTCGTACAAATGGTCGAACGAGTCATATACGTACTTGTTTTCGCGTGCACCAATACTTGAGCACAGTCAGTGCCCAACACACCGCCGTCATCCGTCAAGACGACTTCGCCGAGAGGAGGCATACTGAACCCGCTTGCATTAGCACTCCTCTGGTCCTCATCGCCAGCCCAGGCAACATGGGTCACTTGAATCTGGAACGTGAACATACTCCTTATCTCCCAAGAATCGTTCGTTTTAACGCCAGAAGGAAGGAGGTTTGTCACGCAGAAGTAGGTAGAATTGTCGCTCTGGAGGCTCAAACTTGTTTTGCCTGGATTAGCGTACAGATTGATGAACGGGTTTCCGCCTTTGACATATGAGACCGTCGAAGATGAGTCGAAAAACACAGTAGAAGCGGGCTCACGCCCTTTGCTGGCGCAGTGCGGGGAACGCAAATTTACGCATACTTTCGGGTTATTCGACTCGGGGCCAACGATAGTGGACGTCGAAAACGACAACATCATTATCTCCATGTCCTCTTCCATCCACAACAGCGACGAATCCAGCCGGCCTTCCTGGACAGAAGGCAACGCCATCGTAGCAAGTGTTAGCGCGCCTAAACCCGGAGGCGAAGCGGTTGAGTCAGCAGCGGCCACCATCAATTTACGCTCCCGGCGGGAAGCAGCAGCAGACATAAGGGCCCCAGATGACGTCTCATATGATAGTGACACGCTTACACCCGCTGAGCCACCAAACGCGCCGGAACATGCACCTGTGATAATACTTTCCGAAAGCACAAACGACATAGGGCCTCCAGAGCTCAATGTCATCAAATCCGTTCGGCCTTCGAGTAGACCCATCACATCGATAAAGCCGTACCGGTGAGTATCGCTGTCACAGTTCGCATCTTTTGTTACATCGAAGCAGCTATACGCGCGCACGGTGGAAACACTGTCACTGTTGCCGTTTCGTAGCGTGACTTTTACCGCAGTGCTCTCCCATGATACGAATCGCCAGCCACTAGGGAGCGAGATAGTGATCCACCAGTTGCTTTTGCGGGTCATCGGATCTTCCTCGCCCAAGTTGAAAAATGCTCCAATGATGTCAGCCGCCAAGAGCGTAAATGTCGCTTCTGCAACACTGTGAGGAGTGACTGACGATGTCGACACCTTGTAAGAATCCGTTGATACACATGTCTTGTATCCTGGTGAACACGAGCCACCGAAAAGTCTGCGTTCGCACATGGGCCTGCTAGAGTCTCCAGGGTACATGTTCTGACACTCGGATGCCTTACACCGACAGTACGTCGGTGTGTAAGGCACGTGCCGACTGCTTTCGTTTTGCTGCAAAAACAAAAAGAGAAGCAGGTCAATGAGCTCAAGTTAGGCAAGATATTACCATACGCCAGATCAAGATCAGTGACGCAACTAACCCAGATTTTGCTCCCGATCTCTGATGCACTCGAAGGAACGCCGTGCTCAGCGAGAGATAACACCTTGACGACTTCGTTTCGACCACTTTTCAATCCCGACGTTGTTGAGTTGACTGCGAGCGATGCCTCGTCTGGCACTGACACATCGTCGTCAAGAACTATCAAGGGTTCATCTGCTGTAGGCGCGACCATTTCCGTTTTGGCAGCAACGAACTTAGTCGCGCATGGTGCAGTCGCTGGAACATCGCTGATTGGAGGTGCTTTAGCGCAACCAACTGATGCAGCTTTCATCGTAGATGCGCTATCGTCGCTGAAGCCGATAGCAACCCGAACCCTACTTGATCCCCCGAGCTCGTCCACATTCAGAGGGCTCGCAGTAACCTGAGCAACTGTATCGATACCGGAAGAGTCGGTGGGGCTCAGTGAGCTAACAGGGAGGTCAGCTACTTCAGAACCAACTGGAGCACGAACGTCCACAGAGCTGGCAACGCTAAAGCTATCCGGAGATGCTACAGGAATATCAGCATCCGGTTGTTCTGATGCAACGTGGGTAGACTCGAGCTCAACACATGCATCCACATCTTCCTCTTCGGTCTCGTCACGACTCCCGTGAAAACCAACAGCAATGTCCGAGTCACCAAAACTCGCAGTAGCACGAATGCCGTCAGCATTTGCCGTCACATCCAGGTCAGCGGACCCGAGTGAGACGTCCAACCCGTGCGACTCTGTCAAGGTTTCCATACTTTTCCAATCCACAGATGCCCCGTCATTTCCAGCACCCATCAAGGCGCCAAGCTCCATTAAGTCCAATACTGTCGATTCGACTGTGTCTTCGGATGTAGCTAAAATACCGCCTGCAGAGTCCGCCACGCGATCGATGTCTCCAGCACCAACTGTGACGCCAGTCCCTGCAGTAGTCATGTCCAGTCCAGCTCTGTCGATCTTCGAGTCACGCATCACATTCGTGTCTTTTGCCACGCGAGAACCTGCACCTCTGTCCCCAAAAGGACCACCGTCGTTTGAGTGCCTAATCTCCACCTTCTCCGCGTCCTCTGCACTCGGCGAGCGGTCCGGAACCGTCTCTTTCTCCAGCACCTTTTTGTACGTACCATGACGCTGTTTTTTATCCTGAGCACTGTCTTCTGCATCTCTTTCCATCGCAAACATCCGGTACAGCACCTCCTCTTCTTGCTTTATCAAGGCCGCACTTGCAGGCACTGCGTCTCCTCTCTCTACCACACATCACAGCGACAGACGTCACACATGAGGCAGAAAGAAAGTCAATACACCGATCGAAATGACTCGTCCAGTGACACGGCGCGCACCTTCTTTGGCTACGGACACGAGTAGCAGTCCCGACGCGCATAGGAGCAGTAGACACAGCGCTGCTGCGCCCACAGACGTCCCGCGACGTTGCACGAGTTGACGCTAAATGGAGCAGATATACATTAGAGACACACCGAGGAGAGAGAGAGAGAGAGAGAGAGAGAGAGAGAGAGGGGCGTCGACGTACCCGCATAAAGTGCCGTCCAGCAGTGCGCACTGCTGTTGTTGTCTGAGTCGATTGGGAGGAATCGAGGGGTAGGTCAACGACGATGTGACGAGAGGCTCGTGCATAGGTTAATTTGGGACGACCAAAAACGACAGACATTGGCTGTAGGGCTCATCGCCACTAGCACTACCACCAGCAGCAATAGCCACAGAAAACATACCGACACAAAGGTACTCTTCAACTGATTGAAAGCTGTCAAAGCCGAGCGCCTTTCGAGTGCAGTTGGCAGACACAATCGATCACTTAGCCCTGTGTGCTTTCCCTGTGCGTGCAAAGCATTTGCTTATGCAGCCTATAGACTCCTAGCTGATCATTGCCAGGAGGCGTCGACACTTGTGCCTGCGACAGCTACTCGTTCGACCGCTGCGACTTGCGAGCAACAAACTGCATGCAGTTCATAACTGCTGGTCGCTCACGACGCTGCCACACATGATAGCGTGCTACTGGACGCACGCAACATATTGTATGGCTCAGGAACAGCCATCGATGTATGTTGAGGCCGATGCTAGCAATAGCGATATCCAGCCAGTTGCAACAGTCATTGAAGCGCATCGAAGGGACCGACGAGAAGAGCCCTTTTTTCCTCCCGATTGACCAAACGGCAGCTTTTCTTCGCACCCAACCAGTGCGCTGCCTATCGCTCCTGCACCTCGGAGCGATCGGATCGAGCAATAGACGACAACACTATCGTGAACCTGAGCTAACAACGAAGCCCTGTCGTCTCGTAATTAGCTGACAGGCGATACGCGTCGGTCCGTCTGTAGAACACCAAGCGCACGTTGCAAGAACGGTGCTAGAAAAAAGCGCACGTTGCAAGAACGGTGCTAGAAAAAGCGCATGTTTAATTTCAGGTGCACCACACAAGTCACTTTGTCCACTCGATTCAAAAGAGAGCTATCAATCACCACGTGCAGCGATGGCGGCGATCGACGAGGAGGACATTGAGCAGATCGTGCGCGAGGCGCCCACGCGCTTAGGGCAGAAGGAGAGGCGCGGCAAGCCCAAGCAGGAGAAGGTCAAGCACGTGGCCAAGTACACGCGCGGTGGGGCCATCTCGCAGCGTCGCATCCGCAACATCCGCGACAAGAAGCTCAAGGGCTCGTTGCAACGCGCGTATGAGCAGCACCAGCTCGCCGCCGAGTCAGCGGCCAAGTCGGAGATCTTACTGCCTGACCAGGCCGGGTACCTGGAAGCCGAAGGACTCGAGAAGACGTACAAGTTCACGCAGAAGCAGCTCGCCGACAACGTGGACCTGAATACCGCCCGCAAGATCTTTAGCTTGGACTTGCCCGACTACGGATCGTACCGTGTCAAGTACACGCGCAATGGACGGAACATGCTGCTTGGGAGTCAGAAAGGCCACTTGGCGCAGATGGACGCGTTGCGCATGAAACTCACGTGTGAATTCCAGGCCAACGACTTGGTGCGCGACATTAGTTTCTTGCACAACGACTCGCTGTTTGCTGCAGCGCAGAAAAAGCACGTGTTCATTTACGACAACACGGGTGCTGAGGCACATTGCATCCGCACGATCCCAGAGCCTCGACGGATGGAGTTTCTGCCGTACCACTTTCTGCTCTCGACCGTGAGTGGCAATGGACTGCTGAGCTACCACGACGTGACTGAAGGGAAACAGGTATCGACGCACCGAACAAAGCAGGGACTATGTGACACGATGGCGTTGAACCCGTGGAACGCTGTTGTAAACCTCGGACATGCAAGCGGGATTGTGACATTGTGGACACCAAACATGTCGGATGCTGTCGTCAAGATGCAGTGCCATCAGGGACCGAGTACGTTGTTTGTCATTGTCGCTGGGGTTTTTCATGAGTGTACTTGTGGCTTACAGTTATTCGACTGGTTGTGGTTTGATCAGTTCGCTCCATGAGCATTGACGGCAGTGGAAAGTATCTCGTCACCGCTGGTGCGGACAGGAAAGTGAAGGTGTTTGACCTGCGCAAGTACCAAGAGTTGAACAGCTACTACCTAACAGCGGCAGCTAACACAATGAGCGTGAGTCAGCGTGGACTCGTAGCAGTAGGCTTTGGCCCGAACGTACACGTGCTCAAGAACGCCTTCACATCGGGCTCTCCTATCCGGCCATACATGACGTACCAGATTCCAGGCTCAATGGTCAGCTCGATCGCATTCCGTCCGTTTGAAGATGTGCTGGCTGTTGGCCATGCCACGGGCTTCAACTCGGTGGTGATTCCTGGCGCAGGTGAGCCGAACTTCGATACGTACGAGGCGAACCCGTACGAGAACCACAAACAGCGTGACGAATCCGAGGTGCGCTCACTGCTGGAGAAGATCCGTCCAGAGATGATCACATTGGATCCGAATGCCATTGGCCGTGTGGACATGGACCCAGCTGAGGAGCAGGAAAACAAGATTTATCAGATGAAGCGTGCCAACGAAAGTGGCAGTGTCAAGAAACCAAAGAAGAAGATGCGCGGTAAAAACCGTCCGTCGCGGCGGTTGCGCAAGAAGCAGCAAAATGTCGTCGACGCTCAGAAACAGCAGTGCCGCGAGCAATTGGCGAGCAAGCAGAAACGCGCATATCGACAGGAGCAGCAGCGCGAGTGGGATGGAAAAGCTGAGAGCGCGCCTACAGCGCTTAATCGATTCTTCAAGAAATAGATGCATATCATGCTGGCCACTTTCATTAGACGTACCCATTGCTTGCCCTGCATCATCCTATCTATCATCATGCGTACAGGGTAGAAGAGCTGCATCGAACGAAGCGAGACTACCACCGACCTCTCATCACAGTCAAATAAAATCGTGCACGACCATCAAGACCCGTATTCTGCCATCGATTGATTCATGTTCTGCTCACCCGGTGATTCAAGAGTAGATTATGCGAGGTAGCGATAGGTGTTGGCTTGATCGGGGTCGCGCTCGAGATACTCTCGGTCAATGAGAGCCTCAATACGGCGCTTGATGACCTTTAAATTCGGCTTGAAAAAAGCTAGCTGGCTCAACACTTCCGAGATCAGCTGCTGGTGCTGAAGCGTCTTGCGCGCCTTCATGATACGTACGATCGCAGCTTCTATAGCTATGCTGCGGTCTTCCTCCACATTCTTCTGGCTGTGACTTTCTTCCAACGACGCCATAGGGATTCGTAGCTTGCGCATCGGCGACGCAAACGTTTCGTTCACAGCGAACTGGTCGCTCGTCGAAACAGTCTTGCCGGCAGGCGTCTTGGTCAACAGCTTATACTTGCCACACGACAGCGAGTGCATGATACGCTTCACGACGTCCACACTCAGGTTCAGTGACTCGCGCACAGCTTCAAACGACAATGCGCCGTTGCCCTCGTTAAACAGTAGCATCGCCACGGCCTGCAACGTCGTGACCTGTAGATCGTACCACTTCTTCGTAGGGAAGTTAGCACGGATCGTGGCGTTGCCAAGCGAGTGCACCCACTGCAGTCGACGGTGGCTTGTTTTCGAATCGTAGTACACCTTGAAGAGATTCATACACCGGACCATTAGCGGTGGCATCGTGACTTCCAAGATGCGGTAAGACGGCCAGTAGCCCGTCGTCAGCACTTGCACGCTGAACTCGAGGTTCAAAGCAGCTTCGTTTGGACTACTCTCACGTTGCTTCTTCAAGAAGCTGTCAAACTCCTGGTGGTGGTCACTGCCGATGGCCAAATCGTTCATCATACCTTCCATCTTGCCTGTAAATTGCGCACCGCAACGTAGCTTCAATTTACCAATCATGAGCACTTCAGCATCGTCGGAAGCAGACCGCTGGTTCAGCAAACGCTTGGCTAGTTGATTGCGGTAAATCTCAGCAAAGAGGTCTTTGTCCGTGAGGTACGAGAACACAAACACCACTTTCTCGAGGTAGTCCTCCACCTGCTCATCACTAAGCTTCTCGCCACCAGTCTTCAGAATGCGGTCACAAAACGTACTCATGAGCTTCGCCGAGCTGTCGGGACCAACGTCCTTGTTCACAAACTCAACAAATGCTTCCTTCAACGCCTTCTGAAACAGCGAGTTGCCTGCAAACTGCTCATTCACGATGCTGCGGAACTTGTCGTGGATCGTAAGGATGTCCTTGATAAATGTCGGATCCGAGCTGGGATCACGGATGTTGCCCGATGCCACAGCATTTGCGCGCATGATCACAATGTCGTTACCCACCGCTGTAATATGCTGCTGCACAAGGTCCGCGATCGGCTCGAGTCCATTCTTCAAACGCGCAAACAAGCGGTACATGCGCGCCAAGTCGTCCAGCTTGTTGTTCTTCAGCAACGCAATGACACCAGAGTTTTCTCGCTCAATGAGCTCTTTTTGGGCAGCTTCAAGCAGCACGCTCTCGAGCTTCTTTACAAGTTTCGGTTCGGTCGACTTGTGCAAGTACGTGTGCACGCGACTGCGCTCGCTCTGCAGCGCGTCCTCCACTTTCTGCAGGTACACGGGCGTCGAGTCTTCGCTGAGCCAGCCCTTGGACTTGCGCTCGTAGTACGTGGCACTCGTGGTCACGAGGTCCGCTTCGAGAGCACCTTGGTACACATCCAGCGACTTCATCCCCATCACCTCAAAGATCTCGACGCAATTGCGCATGAGCGTCGCGTCAATGATCTCGCCATTGCGCTCCTTCTCAATCAGCTCAATCATCGCGTCCTTCACGCGGCCTTTGACCTGCTGGAACACCCTGCGGTCAAAGCTCTGGAGCCCCGCGTCGTCCAGCGTCGGGAGCGAGTGGTGCTTGACAAAGTAGCGGTCCAAGTACATAAAAAAGCGCGTCATCCACTTCATCATGAGCTTGTGGTTCGTCCAGCGCTTGACAAGCTCTTGCAAGAAGAACTCGTCGTGCGCGTGCTCGAGACTGGGCAGGACCTTTTGCTCCAAGTACGTGTCAAACGTGCGGCCGTGGCGGTCGTAGAGCTGCTCCGAGAAGTTGTACGGCGACCGCTGCGTGCACATGTTGTAGCACGTGGTATAGATAGGCATAAAGGCATTGGGCGGGAAGGGCGACACCTTGACGTGGTCAAACCCCTTGTCAAGAATAGCCAGCAGCACGTCGATCGCTTTGGGCTTGATCTCTTGGTCCCAGCCTTCCTCGAGCGAGATCATGTTCTTCCCACTCATGGTACCTGACAAACACACACACACACAATCGATTGCCTCGCGCTCGACAGAAGGAAGCGGTCGCACGGGCGCGTGGAAGCAGTCGCGTCGAGCAGCGCAGCGACGCACGAGAAGCGTTCTTTGCGGTTCCGCGCACGAGCCGAGCGAGATAATCCTCTGAATAGTGATACCACCGACCCCGGCCGCTCGCCCCTCTTGTATCGAATCAACGCAACGGGTACCGCACGCACGGCCGTTGGCGGAACGTTTGGTCTCTTTTGACAACTTTTGCGGTTGTTTCGTGTTATTGTTCTTGGTGTTGTAATTGTTGTTCTTGCGTGCAGCCCGTCCATCTCGTGGTCGCCAGCTCTTGCTGCAGTATTGTTTTAATCAATAACACGGTCGCATTCCACTGGGTGGCTGATCGCTGGCTTTTGATTGGTGCACAGTGCGCCAGTGAGAAGCCGACAGCGCCTGTCCCGCCATCGACGACGCCCACGGCCGCGCCCGCGATCTCTCTGCGCCGCGTCGGCTCGAGCTGTCAGGTCCACGCGCTGCTGTCCGCGTCCGCGTTCCCATCAAGTGAACGAACAGGACGAGACGCGCGCGCACGACCGGTTTGGTCGCAGTCGGTCGACTCTGTCAAGCGCTGTCCGTCTTTCTTCCTATCAGTACTGTCGTCGATGCTGCGCGACGTTGCGCTGGGGTCGTGGGAGTTCTCGGCCTCGTTTTGCGTCGGGCGCAGTCGCGGCTGTGAGGTCAGTATCGTGACGTCGGAGGACACGCGCACGGTCAGCAAACGGCACGTGGGCTTTATGCCTCTCACCGAGACGTTTACTACGACTGCTGGCTATGGCAAACGTCGCTGGCTCGTCCACGATCTCGAGACAATGAATGGCACCGCAGTGAACGGAGAGGAGATTCCTGCCGGTGGCAACCGAGAGCTCCGAGGTGGGGACGAAGTGGTGCTGGCCTCGGCCATGAGGCAGTGCGTGCGGCTGCAGGTCCAGTTCTCAGACGAAGCGCGCTCGCGCATTGTGGTCAAAGCACTTGCGTGCTCGACTGCGCCGTCGCCTGCGCCACTGCACCGTCGTCTCGTGACTCCAGGGACATTGGCTCGCCGCTCGCCACGTCGAAACGTTGTGACAACCGCATCGGTAGCGGCAACGGGCTTGGACCGGTCAATGGCTACGATTGCTGGTAGTCCAGCAGTCATGAGGACGGGCTGTCGATCGGGCCGAGTTGCGGGAACACTGGGAAGTGATGCGAATGCGACGACGCCGCTGCCACAGAGTGTTTCGCAGAAGCGGAGTCGGGCTAGTCCGAGGCATGTAGTAGGTGAGGTGAAGAATGTGGAGAGGAATGACAAGCAACAGAACACGCCACAGAGTCAGCAGAGGAAGCGCTCTCGACGTGGTGGAATAAATGAAGAAGGAGACGAAGCAGTAGCGCGAGGAGGTGCAGCAACGGAAGAGGAAGTTGTTTCAGCTGCGAAAAAAGCTCGGGAGCATGAAGAAGAAAAAGAGCGGCTCATGATGTGTTCTGTGTGTCTGGAATACTTCCACGGCAGTGCCACGCTACCGTGCTCGCACACGTTCTGCGGATACTGCATCAGCAATTGGTTCCGCCACTCGCTGTCTTGTCCCGAATGCCGGAACGTCGTCAAGACGGTTCCCGTGCGCAACCGCGCCCTGGACGAGCTCGTGGAGCGACTGGTAGGCCATACCGAAGCGTACAAGTCCCACGTGCGCCGTCGAGCACGGATGCAGCGACGGCTTGTCGAATCACGCCAATACACTTGTGGAAGTAGCGACGACAATGGGGACGTGTCTGAAGGCGCTGTTCGTGGCGTGGGCTGTCTACAGCTTGGCAGGACCAGCACTGTGGAGTCGTCCAGGGCGCATACCAGCGTTTTCACGCGTTGGTCGGTCGATAAGAGACTCGTGTTCTCTGCTTACATCAGCAATCAGTTCGGCGAGACGCGCCTCGCTACGTGCAAGAAGGTGGGCCTCACGCAGCTTGCACTGGACGCTTCGAGCATGAACGAGCTGATCACCGTCGCGCAGAATCTACTGCTGGACTGCGTTGGCCTCCGCATGACGAGCAACGAGTGCCGCCAACGCCTCAAGATCTTTGTGCTGTTTGGCTGAAGTGGACCACGAAGCGCCGACCATCACGCAGGCCCCGTTGGTTTTCCACCCGCAGTCTTCACGACGTACACACAGAGGCCGCCACCGAAACGTTATAAAAATCTCGTGCTCCAAACAGCAGCGTGCCGAGCCCCTGTAACCTCTAGCAACATATGGCACTACCTGTCTGCAAGCCATTCTTTTTCCTCTGGATCGGTCCAAACGTAAAACCTCACGCGAGGTTTTGAACCAGCGCCCCACGGTCTCTCGCAATGGGGACTTGGTGGTCTCCGTTAACGCGAGTACGAACGAAAAGAAAAAAGAATACAACAACAACACAGAGAGAGAGAGAGAAAATAATACTAAATAATAAAAAAGCAGCCGCATCGACTCGTCCCGCCTTTACGACAAAAGATGTCGGCCGCGATCGAGCGCATCGTCGACCGCAAGCTGATCAAGCAGCGCGTGCACTACTACGTCGTGTGGAAGGGCTTTGGCGAAGAGAACAACACGTGGTACACAGCCAGCAGCAGCAGCCCCGAGTCTTACGTGGTCCTCGTCCCACTTTGCGTGCTCGAATACCAGTGCTGACTTGTCTCGGATCCCCGTGTGACGATCATGTAGGGAAAGCCGCATCGACCTGATCGCGGATGGCTACACGGACGCCATCAAGAGCTACGAAGAACGTACGAAACGGGGCGATCGCCCGCTCTCGCTCTCTTTTGGTGCCGTGGACACAATTCGCGTCCTGCTGAATTATGTAGAGACACTGACGTGTGGTTGTTGTATATTTATTATTTTTTTCTATTTTTATTTATCATGGGGGTGTGGCTATTGTACGTGCGACTTTTTGGTCTTCTTGTCATGTACTAGAGCGGAAGAATGCGTCGGCGGCGTCTACGCCTCGCGGCCGCAGTCCTGGCCGCCCGGCGTCCAAGAGTCCACGGACAAAGAGCAAGAGTCCTGGACGTGGAGTCGGTCGCCCTCGATCGCGACGCAGTCGCTCCCGCAGTGTCTCCGTGAGCAGGAAGCTGCCCATGCACAGCAAGGACGACGGCGAGCACAGCAGCAGCAGCACGGCCACGCGACAACGGAAGAACAAGCCAAGCGATGACGTGGAAAACGATGATGATCGTAGCGGTGTAGCGAAGGAGACATCGGGGCGTCGGTCGACTCGGCCACAACAGGCTGCGACGGAGACGAGCAAGTTTGTGTCTCGACTGGACGCGCACAAGATTGGTGATCCCGCGATGACGGATGAGGAGGACGACTCGGTTTTGTTGCGGTCAACTATTGCAGCGCTGGCGCCGGGGATGCACGGAATAGCTTTGTCGACTCCGCCGGTGTCGGACAAGAACGTGCACGAGAAGTCGGTGGTGCTGTCGTACGAGGCGGACGAGGAGTCGGAGATGCCGTTCAAGCACGCGGCACTGAAAAGGCAGAACGCAGCATCTTTCAAGGCCAGTCCATCGTCGGCCAGTACTGTTCACGAAGACGCCAGATCGGCTCACGATGGACTGGTTGCCAAGACTGGGACGAGCAACTATCTCATGTCGTTCGTGAGTGCAGCGACCGTGATAGGCTCCCTCGTGGCAAGCCATGTGCTGCCTCGTGAGGATGATGAAGGCTTCGATCTGTGGCAAAGGTGGCTTCCGTTCCTCACGCCCGTCGTGGCGCTGCTACTATTCTTCCACCAGAAGGATGCGCACGCTTCGGCGAAATGGGTGGCTACTAGTCTGACGTGGCGTGCTGCTGCCGAGCTGCTACTGTTGATCGGGAGTACGCCGCGCGAGTTCGAGATGATGGTGGCTGGCTCGGCCTTCGTTGCGAACGCGTCACTGCTAATTGCTTTCGTGTCCATGCTTTGCAATGGTGAGCACGAGCAGTCCAAGGCTACACTTGCGCTGCTCGGAGTTGGAGCTCTGGCGCTCTTCCTATCAGACAGGTATGTTTTTATCGGGCCGGGTGGAGTCCACTTGCCATACAGTCGTTGTTGTGCTCTAACGAACGTGCCTACCTGTTGTCTGTTGTCAGCTGGGTGATTTCTACCAAGAATACGGAATTGGAGTCTCGTGTAACTCTCATGTCCATGGCTGTTGTAAGTTTGCCTTATTCTGTGCGGGGTGCCGAGCAACGAATGGCGTAACTGATCTTTGTTGTCGTTGCATGCTCAGCTAACAATTGCACTGTCGCCAATGCCATCGGCATCTTTGGAGGACGATGATTAGGATAGGGCGCATCAGGCCCACCACTTGACGCTGTAATTAGTTTTCGCTGACTTCATTCGGAGGCAGTACTGTGGCTGCTTAATGAGTAATAATGACCTTGCGCCGTTGCTAGCTCGCTGTTCTGGACATCTTCGTTTTCGTTACAGCAAAGCCACAAATTCCGTTCGACGTCGAAAGCGACCGCTCAGTAGTCTGATATTCTAGAAAAATCAGCAGACGGGTGCACGCACCGGCACTACTGCAGCGCCAAATGCAGCGTCTTCATCAGCAGCTGCTGGGTTTGGACGCTCCTAGCAATGTCAACATCACCCTCGCAGCCCACTAGCTCCTCAATAACCTCAATCGTCAATGCTGACACAGTACGAGCTCCGACAGGATGCTCCGGCCGCGACGCGTACTCCTTCATAGCCTTGTACATCAGGGTCTGCCGCATCAGCGCCTCTACGTTCTCCTCATTTACACCTGCCGCCGATTCCGCTGCGATATTGTCCCATAACTTGCCATCAGCGGCAACGCAGGATCGCCACACACTGACTCGCATCTCCTTGTATTTCTCGGTCAGCGGATCGGTTGCTAGTGTATCCAGCGCGTCCAGCGTCGCCAAGAAAAGATTGGTTCTAACGCACGAAACAAGAATTGCATCAACGTGAGTGCGGCACCTCCAGCCACGCACAACATGACAGTCAACAGTACCTCACGGGGTCGTCTGTTTCGACCGAAAGGGCAGATGCCACACACGCGTCAACTAACGCTTCGGGTGACAGCGGCTGCGGGTCAATGGGCACCTTCAGTGGTAGGCGCAGCAGCAGCCCCTGAAGTTTCCCGCGCAAGAGCTGCAAAACACAGACGAAACAACGCTGTCAACATGACCATTGTCAGCTACATGCTGAAGCAGTCGATGTACCTCGTGGTCAATTTCCTGTACACTGTCAGGATGAGACAGACTAGGCGAAGCAAAGGCGGCGATTTTGGCAATGCTCGCCATGGTCTTACGCTTCGGCAACGACCGTTGCTCTCTCTTGGCTTCCTGAAGTGCAAATGTCGCCGCCTGGTCATATCGCTCGATTGAAATTGCAGTCAACCAGCAGTACTGCCTCAGGTGGTCGCGTTCGTTCATGAACTTGTGCAAAGCCGGCGCAAATAGCTGCGAGTGGGCGAGCAAGTATGCCAGCACGGTCCGAGAAGACGCATCCGCTTTTTGGTTGTTTCGGGTCCAGGGGTTCCGAACTTCGCCGTTATACCAGCGGAAGATAAAGTCGTCAAAGCCCTCATGCTTCTTGCAGTATGACTCCAACCTCTTCGATGCGGGGCTTTTTGGAAGTTTGCCAAGCACGCAATCCAGTTTCGACAGGTTCTCGGAGTCTTCAATCAATACCAGATAAACCATGCCCTCGAAGTAACGATACGTTTCGCAAAGCTCAACGCACTGACAGAACAAGTCGGCGCGCTTACGGGTAATGACACCATCCGTACCAAAGTCGACTGCAATATCGCTTTCTTCGCACGACGTCTGGGTTGCAAGGTAAACAAGAGGGTTTAGAGTGGCGCGCTTCGTGTACGCTTCTTCCGCGCGTAGATCGTCTGCTTCCTCGCTCAAAGCATGAGGGATGCACCTTGCGTAATCATCCAGCAAGACGATTCCTAGTCTCCGAATCTGATCCGTCAGCTCGAAGATATCGTTGTGCTGCCAGCGAATTTGCCTCTCAGACGCTTCTGACTGCGAGTATCCCGAAAGTGCAGACAGACGAGATATCTGATCGACCACGACTTTTCGCACCTCATGCGCAAGTGTCCAGCTTTTCGTCGATGCAAAACTTGCAGCAGAGCCTTGCACGGGCGTACACAGCATACTTAGCATAGCACAGCCGCTTTCTAGCAAGCCGCAAAGATACGCTGGGTCGCTCTCGCCAACTGACGTCGACAGGGACTGAACCTCGTCGCTCAAATACTGGAATAGCTCCGCGATCTTACTCACTTCGCTGTAAAATATATCGAAGGAATTGTAGCCCGCAAGACGAAGCTGCTCTGTCTGATAGCCACGCTTTTTTACAGTTTTCTCGATCGCGCGCACCAAAAACTTTCCGGTCAACCGGCGTTCGACTCCCGATGGAACCACATCGTCGGAAGAATTCGATGACACAATCGACGCCTGTAGCTTGCATAGAGCGATTGCAGCCTGAAGCTTCTCTTCGTTTTTCGTCAACTCACACTGGAGTTGAGGGGAATTCTCAATAAACTCCCAGACCGACACACAACGGCGCTGCAAAAATTCCAACAATGCCACATGGCGATTCCTCTTTTCTTCCAATTGGTAGCGTACCAGCTTCGGAGTAACAGAGCAAGCAGCAGACTGCTTCTCTTGGCCATCGATATTGGTCGGTGTACCGTTTTCCCATCGCAAGCCTGATGACGACTTGGCATCCAAGATCTGAAGATCCACAACTACGGCGGCCTGAGCTGCGTATCCCACATCCCTTACGCTCACGCGCAGCGCTACCGCAGAGTTCGGCGAGTCGTGAAAATGCGTCAGAATCAAGCGGACGTAATCCTCGACGGCCAAGTCCGTCTTCTCGAAACGGGACAACTCGTTCGCGTCGTTGTTTGCTTCGCGTCTCCGACGTGTCCTCTCCGCAGATGCCTCGGACAGAAGTGGGGTTGCATGACGTTCCAGTCTTTGCATGTCCGAGGCGGTAGCCATGCACACTGATCCACTCGGTGACTTGACGCTCTCTTCTATGAGCAAGAACAAAACCGATCCCTTCACGGCGTTGTTGTCAAACAAGCTCTGGTCCGCACGCGCTCCAAATGCCAGAGCCAATCTTCCTTGAGTACCTTGAAGTGGGAACGCCGTCGACCGTACACTAGTGTGTCCAACCTGAGGCAAAATAAGCGTACAAAACTGGACAGGCTGCATCTGTGTCCACACGAGGTACAAAGCGCCACGTGTGATAGATAAGCTTTCGACCGCAAATAGCTCAGCCTGCCCGTCAAAAGCTGGTTCATAGTCCAGCATGTGCACCCACTCTGGCGTTGGCAAAGTGGTGTCACTCATTGTCTCGAGTGAGAAATGGAACAGCGCGTACTTGACCGTCGCACTTGTTCCAGATCGAGACGATGAGCAGACGAAAGCCACTAACACACCGACGCACGCGTCGTGCGCGTACGGTATGGAGACAACGTGTGCTTTTGTCAACTGCGCTTCCGGGAAGTTGGTGCTAAAGTAGCTCATTGCTACGCGACTGGCATCGAAATGCCACTGAGAAACGCACGAGCAGTCCAGCACGTCAGCATTGCTAAAAGAGCGACGCGCCAACATCCCGTCCTGATACAGCACAAGCACATCTGACGTTTCGTCCACTTCGTCTCCATCACTGTCCATCAACGCCACGTCGTCCATCGACGATGAAAGTACGTTCAAGCACGTAATCGGCTGGTTGACATTCAGCTCTCTTCGACCTGCACCAGCTTTCGACCCTGTCGACGAGAAGAAAAACTGCGACACTGACTTGGTCAGTCCTGCCAGCAAACCCGCACTCTGCTTCTCAAAAGCCCGCACGCGAATGCGTCGGTCTTCCACTGCAACTTCCCACACATTTCCATAATTGCTCCAGCACAGTACTCCAGTCGCTCCGTATTGTCCCTCGTCGTCGTGGCCCGCTCGGTCGTCTCTTGCTACAATCGCAGCCTGTGCGTGCGTCGAAACCCGTTCGTGGCTGTCCAGCGGGATCTGTATACTCAGCGGTAGGCTCTCGTACGGCAGCTCAATGTCTTCCCAAAAGAGCACCAGCCCGCTCGTCGTCACGACCAAGAGACTCAGACTCTGACCGTAGAGCGCAAAGAGAAACGGACACGCGACGTCGTCCAACGCGAGGGCACGCGGGAGCGGCAGTGCAATTACTTTGTGCCGCTCTTGTTGCCACAGCAGCACTTTTGTGCGGCAACTAAACACAAAGAAAGGGATCCACTGCCGTCCACTGCGATGACGCGCCGACGGCACTGACGCGCGGCAGCAGCGCACGTAGTGTCGCAGGTCGACAGGCGACAGCTGCTGGGTGGCCCACTCGTTGCGCACGTGGTCCAGTACCGACTGCGGCAAACGACCGCCTTCGACGACCGTAGAGCGACGCGTATCCACCAGCAGCAGCGACGACGACGTGTCGTCAGCCGCGTCGCGGCCGCCGCCGGCTCGACGCGCGTACAGAGCGTCCCAGTACTCGAGACGCTGCCGCTTGATGGCGCTCGACACGTCCGTCGCCAGCGGTCCCGTGTCGCCCACGCGCTTGGGAGGCCCCTCGCCGAACTTGCGGGCGCGGAACATGGGTACACGAAAATGACTTGGGGGCCACTGACTGACTGGGCACAGATGCGAGTAGCGGGTGGACGACGACTATACGTATACGCACAAACAGATGGAAAGCGGGGGTTGGTCGACATGGCTACATTTTACGTTTTGTTGCATGGCAAATGGCAGCATGCGTACTGTGCGCGTGCGTGTGCATGTTTGTTTTTCCTTCTTCTTTCTCTCTCTCTTCACTGCGAATAAATACGGCCCTGGTGCGTAGCGTGTGCGCAGCAGTAGTCACTCCGACACCATCAAGTCCCCGCTCGCGTACCAACTTTATAAACAAGCAGCGGGGACTTGGCCGAGCTCTACTGGTGACTCCCCATCAACTCAGAACCCAAGCGTCGCGCGTTTGTTTCGATACGCGAGTTCGGCGTCTGCTGTCTCCGGCGATGCTGCGTTCGCCGGCTGGTCGGCAGCGCTACCAGTAGACGACGAGACGCTACCTGGCGCTTTTCGGCCGTCATTGAACCGCTGCCGAAAGTAAGCATGGGCAAGTCCCAGCACCTTTACCCATTGGAGCATCTCTTCCTGATTCTTTGCAAGCATTCGCGTCTGCTGGGTAGGTGAGCATATCATAAACTCATGGGGCTTGCCCACATCCTTGCCATACAGGATCTCCAACGACTTGTGCTTCAGTGGGATAGCACCACGTGGTTCCCGGTCTCCCTCGCGCTTGTAGTAACGGAGATACCCGTCCGGCTCAATGTTGCACCACCGCTCGCGAACACCACGCAGCGACATATTACCAAATGCGCCCTTTTCGTTGGAGTGCGTGGCGTGCTTGCGCAGGATACCACTCATCCTTGGCAACAACCCGATCTGATTCGCGTCTTGCATGAACGAGCTGATCGACGCACCATTGTTGCTGTCGCGGCCGTAATCAGGTTCAAGTCGTTCCGAACCTCTTTGTGCGCTGGCCGATTGCCTGCTGACACCCTGCACAATCTGAGCACCGAACATGGACACTCTGCCCCCGAACGAGCTTCGGAGACCACTGACGGACACACGAGAGCCAACGGTGTTCCTTCGGGCGACTTCTTGCTGTGACGGTGGGCCAGCAACAGTTGATCGCGATTGCGGCTCCGTTGCATTGGCCACCACATTCAGCGTCCCATTTGTCAATGCCTGGAACTGATCTTGCACCACCTTCATCTCGTCTTTCAGTTGCAACCGATGCTTGCTGAGCTCGCTTTTTCGTACTTCGTTCTCATCACCTGCAGCCTTCGCGAGCTCGGCAACGGTTTCATGCAGTTTCGTTTGAAGCTTGCCAAGCTTAGTCTGTAACCGCATCGACTCCGACAGACGTCTCTGTGGCGCTTCATCAATGTCAATCGTATCAATCGACGAATCTGCGGGCTGCAAGACAACGTTTTTGCCCTGATCGACGTCAAAGAAAACCTGCAAGTCGTTCTGCATGCGCAGCATCTCGTCCATTGCCACTTTCAGATCGTCCTTCAGATCTGCTCGCCGAAGCGACAAGTTGTCGGCCTGTTGCTGATCTCCGCTGCGATTTGCTTGCGCGATTCCAGCCACGGTTTCTCGCAAGCTCTTCCGCAGCAGTGCGATCTTGTTCTCCAAGAATATCAATTGCGGCGGACGTTCCCCACTAATGAAGGCGTCCTCGCGCTTGACCGCTGCTGCAGCTACGTCCATTTGATTCCGGAACTGGTATATCTCTGACTCCACGAATCTAGTTCGCTCTTCTTCCATTTTGATCTCCTCGGCTAGATGGTCACATTGTGCTTTAACTTTGATAAGAAGCTGCTCACGTGCATCCACAGCGCGAGTATCAATTGAGCCTCTATGCACCATCGAGCCCAAGAACGCCGGCGAAAAGAACTTGATTTCCTGATGCCCGCTCGGGTCCTCCATACCAAGGTCGCCATACTTATCCAGCTCATTTTGCAAGCTATCGAGAGTCTGCTCTGTTTCGGCGCGCGCTGATCGCAATGCGCTGTTCTCGGCAATAAGGTCGGTGACGTCCTTTTCGAGTTCCATTGATCGCCGAACCAGTTCTGCCGTCCTCAACACTTCGGGTGACTCAATTTCACCCGCTGCTTGCTTGTCCAGCTTCTCGATCATCACTGTAAGCAAACGTTCCTCTTGGATCAAATTCTCACGCTCCTTTCTCAACGATTCTTGATGCTGCTGCACTCTTTCGACTTGTGTCTCCATGATCTCACACTTCTTTTCCATCTCAAGGCGTTTCAAATACATATGACGGTCTGTCGCTGCCCATACCTGTTTCTGAAGCTCACTACACACCAAGACCTGGAAGTACTCCTTGCGGAGTGAGTTCTGCATCAATCGAGCTGCACGAGCTTCTTTGACTTCTTCCGTCTCCTCAAGTAGGGCTTCTTCCTCGACCCGACCCACAATGCCTTTTGTAATGTCAGCAAACTTAATGCGAACAGGGCGTACCAAACGAGCAAGCAGTTCAAGTACCTCCGAGTAGGTGTAGCCGGTCAGTGGAATCCCATTCATCATCGTAACACGCATGTTCACAGCGAGACGCTTTTCGGGCTTCATGCTCCAGTTGTAAATCTCAGCGGGACTCGCCATTCCGTTTGGCAGTTTGTAAATCTCTGCAATATGGACCTGAAGGTCAGTGAACACTGTACCTGGAACACCAGCAATTTGTTTCAGATTGAGTCCCAGTCGGCCGTGTCCGAAGGTCACCTCAATCTCATGTACCCAATTGTAGATGACACCTGTTTTCATGGGAGGGCGCAACCACTGCGTGTGACCGTAAGGCGACACATAGTACGTTTTACCATCATTGCTTTTGCTTTGACGCGTAGACCAGCCCTTAGGCAAGGCAAGTATCTCGCCAGATTCCAATACTTCGACTGTTTTGCACGAAAGCTTGGTTCGAATCTTCTCCAAAACCGCCTCCAAGTTCGCATCGACGGGTGTCACCTTCTCAGCAGAATCTGTGACGGCTGTGATAGTCGCGTGCTCGCCGTGCTCGGTCGTTTCTTCACTTTCATCCTGGTCGTCAGACTCTGATTCCATGTCCACATCTAGCGCTGCAAAATCAGTAACGTCCTCGGTACTCTGGTCTGCAGCACTGCCGGGTAGGACATGCCTGACAGCTGGTGAGTCCGGTGCCACTTTCTGTGGAAATCGCAAAGCACCTTCGGGGCTCGCGACTGCTAGCTCAGCGACTGACCGATATCCCGCAACACCACTCGCGCGTGTCAATCCGTCTACTGCGTCAGCTCCACTCGGCAACGCCAATTCCGAGTATCCTTCTACTTTCATCCGCTCTTGCGCCATATTACCACATGGTTCTAGCGTCACAAATGTCAACGGATCGTTCAACTTGCCGACATCCTGATCAGCACCTTCTTCAGCTCCATTAGCAGCTGCCATCCAATCACCTCCATCTAGTGACAGTTTGGCTTGTGTCGCTCCATCACACTCGCGCTTCCACACGTCACTTGATTCAACTTCATGCACAGCATGTACTGCTTCTTGCGTAGCGACAGGTGCTGCTGCCAGCTCTCCGACCGCACCGTTCCGCTCGTCTTCCACACCAGTGTTTTCACTCGCTGCCACAAACTGAGTGTCCACTGTGTCGGCCGTTTCCTCCGCGCTCAAGCACTTCTCGACATCAGCCACGTCCTCGTCCACATCCACGTCCCTCTGCTCATCGTCTCCATCGCTTTCCTCGGCCGTTCCCACTTGCACGGCACGCACGACATCATCACCTGCTGCCGCATCGTCACCAGCTCTGTCGTTTTCGATTTCCAGCGCCGGCGCGACCGCTTCGGCTTGGTCGGCTGCGAGCTCTGTCTCCTCGTCTTGCACCTGCTCGGCACGCAACGCGTCACTGCCGGCGACGACGTCAGCAGCTTCGGGCGACAACGCATCCAGACACCGCGTCGTCTGCGCCGCGTCCGCCTCTGGCCGCGCGTTCTGCTCCATGTGCTGAGCGTATTGGCGATTGACGGAAGTGGCGAGCGGCGTCGCGTCGAGGCGGGCTTGCTAATACGACCGTGGGGGGCACGGTGACCGCGACTAAGTGCGAAATTGCACACTCGCGTGGAGTATGCGTCGGAAGCCGCGCGCGCTTGTTCAGTTGCTCGCGAGTTGCGCTCGGGCACGAATGTTGCCCGTCGGTCGTAGTTTACTTGCGTATCAACATAAATGACGACAGTTTCGGCGGCGGGCAGCGGCCGAAAATCCACCCGTTGTTTTACCATCCTCGAGGACGACGTCGACAGTTCCCGGGGGCAGTAACCGTTGCCAGTAGTACCAATCCCTTGACCGCAACTGACTGTCCGTGGGCAGTAACCGTTGCTACTGTTACCAATCAACGTGTTTGCGTGAACGATCCAGTGGCCAGCTGGACACCCGTCAACGTGCGACCAGATGCTTTCCAAGCTCCATCTGTCGCCGTGCGTTTGGCATCATCATCAACGAGGGCATGGCTTTCCCCGACTCACTTTTGTAAGAAAGGCGCGTTGCGGCGCTGTCGACGCGTGCAGGGGCAGGAGCCAGCACTGCATAGGGAGACATACAGTGCACGATGTGCACGGGGCGGGCTCTTGGTCCGTCGCGTGCAGCATCGCAAAAGTCGTTGCACGAATGCCGTCGACGTAACGGCCGATATCGGACCGACTCGTTCGTCCACGCGGCACACACGTCGAGAGGCATTCAGCTCGAGACAGTTGTAGTGGATGTCGTGTGTGACTCACTCATCACTCGAGTCAGTCGCATTGGGATGCAACAGCGCTTGTCGAAATAGCGTTACGCAGGTGTGTGCTCACATGGGCTGACGCGCTGTCCTGTCCTGCGTGGCGACTTGCACGGCTTTCCTGAGCGATAGAGGGCAAAAGTCGTAATATACGGTCATCGAAGTCCCACATGCGTCGTTTGTGAGGGTCGTGTACGTATCGGTTGCGTGCGTAAGCACGGCAAGAGCTGACGTGAAAGGGGAAAGGAAGGAAGGAGCGACGATACTTGGAGCGTGCCGCTTTGGTCGGTCGTTTGCTTTGTTGTGGCGTACGATTGACCGGAGACACCGTCGGTCGCGTATGATTGCACCGTTTGATTGTTCGACGCAGCACCCGTTGCCACAA